TATATATATATATATATATATATATATATATATATATATATATATATATATATATATATATATATATATATATATATATATATATGCCACACCAAAAGAATCCACAACAAGCATACCGTGTGAATTAGCAATATGCGGCATGGTGTATCAGATTCGTCTACTCTCTTTTCTTGTTCGACGTAGTCCTACTTGGTTTAGGAATCATCACTTGTATATCCAAGTTTCTTTCTTATCCCTCAGGTTGTTTGGCACTGATAAAGGTTATCGGAAGCTGAGGGCCATCGAGGAAGTAGAAGGAAAGAATTATTAAATCACATCCTAAGTCTGTCTGATATCATCACCAGAAATTTGCTGACTTTTATGTCTGGATGGCACGATTATGATCTTAAAATTGTAATAAGGAGTTGCAGGGCCTTCCTAAATCCTTCATTGTTTTTTCTTCAATAGTCTCTCTGATCCAGGGATGATTCTCTCTCTCTCTCTCTCTCTCTCTCTCTCTCTCTCTCTCATCATTGGTGTTAACTGTGTAGAATTTGGTTGTGGAACTTGGACTGTCATGAGCACCATTAGTTTTGACTTATTAATCACCAAGTTTCAGTTTTCTTTGTACCAGTATGTAACAAGTAATCAAAGTCAGATTAATATGTGATCTGAGTTCAATTATTGGAAGTTGGGGAAGTTCTGCGTGTGGTGGTGTGAATCAAATGGTAAATACAACAGTCATGGAGTTAATTCCACTTAAATCTTAGTTTATTTGATGCATGAGTTTTGTGTAACACTCCAATTTATTCTCATATCGGAAGTTACAAGAGATTGCATAGAGCATAAAAAGTGATATGTAGAATATATGGAGTCATCACTACTAACCTGCTAAGAAGACTACCACAAGCACTGCCAACAACGGCAGTTACATGGACGAAGCGGCTGAAACCTCAACGGATATCTGATCTGTTGGCATCGATACCGGAACCAACGGCCCTTGTGGCTGCTGCGACGACGTCCGTCTCCGGGGATTCATCCTCCGGCCGTAGCCGCTCGTTGGTGCATTCGAGCATGTGGCTGCCACCACCATTACCGGGCCCGAGGCGGCCAATTTGCCCACGACATTGCCGCCCACCACCTGGCCCTCGGCGCCTGCAAAACTGACTGCGAGCCCGGCGGTCCCTCGCGGCGATGGCGCCGGCTAGAAGGTCGCGGAAAGAGAGAGGATGTCGAAGCGTCCATGGAGGGTGACGACCCCGGGCGGCGATCCTTGCTTGCGAAGCGTGACGTCGGTGACGACCCCGCTGCCGCTCAGGATTCCGACGCCGCCTTGCCTCCGCGGGCGAAGGAGGTGACGGCTTCCGCGATGTCGGGCTCGCTCGCGATCTCGAGGACATGCGGGCAGAGCGCGCTGGGGCTCTCCCTCGTGATGATGACCGGTGGCCTCGGCTTGCTCTAGGACCCAGGCGGCCGGCACGGGGGCGCCGGCCTGTTGTGCCCGTCGCTCTGCCGCCGGCAGAGTCTTCGGCATTGCCGTCGTCGTTGTTGGGGTTGTTGTTGTTGTCGTTGATATTGGCAGCGGCGGCGGTGGCGGCGGTCTCTTTCTCTCTTCTCTTGAAGTGGTGTTTGCGGCGCTGTTGAGGTTGCGGAGATGTAGGGAAGGGGCCAAGGTCATGGAGGTGACCCCGGGGACCGCCCCTCCCATCACCACAGCTCCCGTCCACCACCGTTTGGCCATCTCTTCGGCCAAGTATGAACCCAATTACAAGAAGAAGACGACGACCATAAGAACAAGAAAGGAAGGAGAACTACGTGAGTATCTATTAAGCTTTCTACAGTGTTCTGATGAGCATCATTTCTTCAGCTTTTTTCTGTTCTCTCTATCATCTACCCTTTAGAGGCCTACAAAGAAGAAAGCTGTACACAAGAAAATATTGTTACAAAAGAGATAAAAAAAACTCGAAGTTTACAGAAGCAAATCCATAGCATCATCTAAATACCAAAGTTCAAGGACAATAAAATTACAAATGAAGTTGGGATTGATGAGAATGGTATCATCTTATAAGAGGATCTGTCACAGAGGCTAATTGAATGCAGACAAGAAGCTGGTTGTCTCAGTTTCAAGTTTGGGGTGAAGTAGATGGGTACTGGGAGTGCACTCTTTCACATTGAAAACAGTTCTTGTTCTAGTCATCTGCTCAATTATTGCTTTGTGCCATAAGTTGATTTGGGTTGTTATTCTCTTTATCTTGTGATCTTTACCATGTAGCTTATAATTAGTTTCCAAATTAGAGTAAATCTGACCATGGGACAGAGATAGAATACAAGATGACCTGGGAAAGGACAACTGCACCAGTCAGTCAATTGCATGTCTTTATGCAGCTTAGCCTTGGTCTTTCTTGTTCACAGAAGCTTGTCCTGGCTCACTTATTTTTGCCAGGATCCACATGGAGAGTGTTGCTTGTTCACATCCACTGTCACTCAGCCTTAGTAAATTCTTTCCTAATGTACAGAGGAGGAACATTTATGTTATGCAACTGGTCTTGGGTGCACAAAATTGGCAATTTCTGTTGTAGGGTAGAGATGTGATCTTTCTTATATGTTTGATTGTTTACACTGCAAGTAATGTTTTATTTTTACATCAGGACATTCTTTCAAGTTCCATCTGACTTGCTTAAATCATGTTAAATGTAGTTCTGATTTCATTTAACACAAACAGAAGGCGTCCATGGATAAGTACTCTTTTGATGATACTGGCTTTCTGATTTTAGCCGCTTGGTCAATCATTTATGCTTAAAATTCAAGCTTCATTCTTAATAGAGAAACAACATTGTAAGATGACCTGTGTTTCTTGTTACATTTGACTCATTTGTTCTTATTTATCTGTCATTGCCATGAAGAAATTTCTGTAGTTGAGAAAACTGAAACTCTCACTTGTTTTTGTGCTCTATTTCATATTTAATATGTAAAATCAATAAGCAAACCTTTTTTCTTTTTTTCATTATGCCTATGGTAAAATGCATTCTTTGTCTCAGAGGTAGATGCAATCCTTATCCTTCCTTTTCATTGACTGGAACTCTTTAAGTGCCATGTTGTTGGACTTCAAATGATTGTACCCTCCATTGTCAGTATACAGAATTTATTCGGTTCATTAAAGCTTAGGTGGCAAAGTAAATTAATACATTTGGGTTAAAGAAGGCGAATACATTTGGATTAATGAAGACCCAATGAGATACATGAAATCCAGTTATAATGCATAATACAGTCCTTATATTTCTCGGAACGATGTTCTTTTTTCCCTTTGACAATTTCAGTGCCCTTTTCCTTTGTTTTCCTCTGTGAGAGATTAAATGGATGCAATGGTATGCATGCTCTCTCTATTGCATGAAGCCAGCTGAATTGGCATCAGCAGCATGGATTTAGTGAATATAATACAAATTATATATTAGTTATACACATGTATAATATACCACAGGGTATCCAGCTAAAGAAATGTACATGGTAGATTTGTATAATTTGTGTTGATCCATTGTGAAATATCTTTTTGAAGCTAAAATCTAACAAAACTGACAATAATAACAGTGTAAAAGCTGAGGCTCTAAAATTGAAGTGGGTGTTTTCCCCTCAAGGTTTGGATGATTATATAAACAAACACCATTAACCTTATCAATGCGGTGAAGAGGATGTGTTTTGGTGGTTTCTTTTGATAAATAAGAATCAAGATTTTCTAGGTCTTACCAGGGGCTGGTCCCTCTCACTTTCCTCTGCATGTGACCTGGGACAAAAAATTTACTCTTCCGATAAATGCAAATGTTTTTTGTGTTTTACTTTGGTATACACCATGTAATTTACACATGCTAGTAACACAGGCACACCTAGTTTCAGTTCACAACTCCGAATGATGCTGACGGATTGTCTAAGCCAATGACATACAGTTCACAACAATGTTCTGCCAACATTAGACATTTATTACACTGATAATGACCCTAGAAGTTTTTGATAAGGTTGTGCACATAGCAAGGTTATGTTTTGTTTGTTCTTTGGAAAAATATTGTCCTCATCACTAGCTAGCTTCAGTACCACTTATATATCACTCTGTATCTACATGGTGCCATTTTTTCTCTTTCCATTTGCTTGTGGTTCTTTTCGGCTAATATTAGCATGGTATCATTAACCATTCTTGCTCATCATGTTGCTGTACTTCGAAAAAGGATATGTTCTTTTCTTAAAAAAATTACACTGCAAGTTTGCTTCATATACCTTTTCAAACCAGTTTGGGCATAATTTTGATTCTGCCAATTTGGGTGTTTATCATCACGTATACTTTGTTTTTTCTTAAATTCGAGTTGATGTTGAACATAACATACTTGCATTTTTTGAGTCTTCTGATAACTGAGGACTACATGATAGTTCCATTGCATTCTGAGCCTTCTTCTACATGATACTTCTCCCACAAATATTGGAAGTTGTCAATGGCTTCTGCTTGCATTTTAGGACCTCTTATGTTGGACTCCAAATGCCTATTTTAATGATTAATTTGCCTTTTTTGACTGTTTGCAGACAACTAATTGATCACTTCTATTCATTCATCTGCTTGAAATCAGCACTCTGTAAAGTCAGTAAATGAGCATTCTCAAGTCAGATCAAATCTTTGTTTTTTTTTTTGTTGTGTGTATATATATATATAAGGTTTTCGCATTGTATCTTTTTTGTCTTGTTATTTCGTCTTCTGCATCATCTTCATTATTTCTCATGAGATTGGCTTGTTCTGCAGTCAACACATGCTTTTCACATGGCGCATGAAGATTAGCGCGGCCTCTCCTACCTGCCGTCCGCTTTTTGCAGCATGATGGGCTTTGATACTTTGGACAAATTCAATGTTTTCTATATCCGATTGAACAGTACCCGCCTGGCTACCTGCCTTGTGATTGAAAGAAAAGGTGTCCCCACGAGATGGATGGCACGTGCTCTTTCAGATTATAAGACGGTAGTTTGGACGGGTAAAGTTTTGTCCTTGAACTTGAAGGTGGCGTCGGTTATTTCTGGACTTAAAAGCGTTTTGGTTCGCTGGAATTCGACGGAGGAGAAACGTCGGTGTTTACACGCGGATGGCGAGCGTTTTGGCCCCTTCCGCCACTGTCCGGCCCATCGCCGGCGGTTACGCGTCGCCGCTTCCGTCCCGGCTGACGCCCACCAAAGTCCACTATAACCCTCAGCCCTTGCGATCTATGAAGAAGAGCAAGAAGAACGCTGCCGCCTCACAATCTTCCCGCCTTCCCCTCCTCCCCACCGTCATCACGCCCAATCTCAGGGTACGCAGCTCTCTCTCGTTCGTTCCGTTGCCGTTTTTGCCTTCTTCTTGCTCTTCGTTTCTTAATTTCTTGCCTTTGAGAGCGAAGCTTCGTCCCCAAGCGCAAGGCCCCGATTACTCGTCCCCGTCCCCCTCGGATGATGCGACAGAGGACGCCTTTTCTTGGTCTTCCGTCGTTATACCGTAAGCACCCGACGATCTCCTTCTTCTTTTTCTTTTTATTTTGAGAATTGGCGTTGTGAATTTGATGGTCAAGTTTCGAAATTTAGGTTCTTGTTCCCTGCTTTGGGTGGTCTTCTCTTCGGTTATGACATTGGTGCCACGTCCGGAGCTTCCATCTCTCTCCAAGTAAGTGAATTGCCAATTTTATGATCCCTCATTGAGATAGATAGAAAAAAGAAGGAAAATTTTGGAATTATACTCGACTTATTATTCTTGCGCAGTCTCCTGAGCTCAGTGGTACCACCTGGTTCAACCTCTCAGCTGTGCAACTCGGGCTTGTGGTAATATTCGATTTTGCATATCTTAAAATGGAACACGTTCCTGGTTTTATAGAGAAATATGGGTTGCAGATTTTCTTTGCAATTTGTTGATTCAGGTGAGTGGTTCACTTTATGGAGCTCTTGCGGGATCCCTCATTGCATACCCCACTTCTGATTTTCTTGGTACATATACAACCTTATCCTTTGTAGCACTTTCAATCAGTGTGTTTTGTTTGTAGTTTGTAGGATACTCACTGCAGTTGTTTTGGTGTAGGAAGAAGAAGAGAATTGATCACAGCTTCTGTGCTATATCTTGTTGGTGGATTGGTCACGGGATGTGCTCCCGATCTTGTTGTTCTTATTATTGGTCGACTTATTTATGGCATTGGTATAGGTATGGTAAGTGCCAAAGACTGGCTTCTTTTTCTTTTTTTGCATCATTTGTTATATTGAGTAAAATTGGAAGGCCTTAAGGTTGAGGACAATCATAATGGTGTTCCAAACCTTTAGTACTGAAGTCCCACAAAGAAGAAAGAATGCCAATATGTTGCCTTTTAAACTTCAGGGCTCCTTTTATTCTTTCTTCAACAACATCAATTGAGCTACAATCCTACTTTTTAAACAGCCCTCTTTTCTCTAGGTTGCTTTTCAGTTTCACCAAGATGCATTACAAAGCCAACCTTTTCAAAAATGAGGATTTAGTTTAGATTGAATTGATAGTTCTACAACTATGAGTTAAATGTCATTCTCAAAATTCAGTTTGGTTTTTTAGTTTTTACAACTCTCAAATTGTTGGACCTATTGCAATAAATAGATTTCTGATGAAATATTTGGCGTGTAAGCATGATCATTTGGGTCTATCATGAAAAGCGTGATCATTTGGGTCTATCACAAAGACTATAGACCAGACTAGTTCATTTGTGCCACATTACATTCTCAAAATTACCGAAAAAAATAAGAGAGGAAGGAGAGAGAGAGGAAAAAAAAAAGAGACAGAGAGAAAAGACGAGAGGAACTAAACCTCCTTTTCTCCATTCATGAGACGCAGAACTATAGTAAAATTAGCCTCCTAGTTGGAGCATTACCTGTCTAATTAACACTTAATTTTAATCTAGGACTTGATGTGATGGTCTTTCGCTTTAATTACACACTTATGTGATATCTAATTCTTTGATAATTCATGTATGTGCAAAGCTTGTAACCACAGCACTCCCTCTTAGACTTGAACTATCCATTCAATAATCTTTACTTGTCCTTGGAAGTTAAGATATTAGGGTATAACAGAACTTTTGTGTAAGCATATGTTGTCCTTGGAAGTTTAGTACTGCAACCTTGTTTTAGGCATTCAATCCTTACACAAACCACACTGGTAGGGTCATCTCTCCATGTGTACTCTGAATATGTGATGATCAACATAATCAACAGTTCTTTTGAATGGTAGTAACTTTACTACTTTCAATGACAAGTCTGTGCGCCTTTACTGTAGGCCATGCATGGTGCTCCTCTTTATATTGCAGAGACATCCCCATCGCAAATACGTGGAACATTGATATCTCTCAAGGAGCTTTTTATTGTTCTTGGGATATTGGTAACATCTTCTACTTCTTGATGACTGACGTCCCCCTCATTTTAGAAGTCAGAAAACTTTTGATACTGAGAGGATCTTTTCATATTAATCCAGTTGGGGTATCTTGTGGGAAGTGTTGAGATTACTGCCGTCGGAGGGTGGCGGTACATGTATGGTTTGAGTGCTCCAATTGCACTTGCAATGGCTATGGGCATGTGGACTCTGCCACCATCTCCAAGATGGTTACTTCTCAGGGCAGTTCAAGGGAAGGGAGCTTTAGAGGATTATAAAGAAAAGGCTATGAATGCCTTGGCCAAGCTTCGTGGTCGTCCAGCTGGTGATAAAATATCCGAGAGACAAATAGATGAAACTCTGGTTTCACTGAAGGCTGCATATGCCGAGGAGGAATCTGAAGGCAGTTTATTGGAGGTATTTCAAGGAGCAAGTTTGAAGGCTTTTATAATTGGAGGAGGATTGGTCCTATTCCAGCAGGTTGGTTGCTATATCGTTTTAGATTTTCTATGTAGCTTTGGCTTACAAGTTGCACTTTTGGAAAACTGAATTTTGTTTTGGCAGATAACTGGGCAACCAAGTGTTTTGTACTATGCTACTTCAATCCTTCAGGTGCTTTGAAAGGAATTTCTATGTTTTGGATGATGGAGTTAATCTGTTCAATCTTTTGGGCTTCGCTGGTGGTTTTTTTTTTCTTCTTCTTCTTCTTCTTCTTTTCCTTGCAGAGTGCTGGATTTTCAGCTGCATCTGATGCTGCTAGAGTTTCTGTTGTGATTGGGCTATTTAAGGTATGACCTTAATAATTTCACTTATTAAGATTTTTAACTTTAAGTATGGATTAAAAGACATGTAGAAACAAATATGATGATAGATCTGACCAATTATTAGTTGTTTGATACCTCAAATGTGACAGTACCTAAATAAACACAGAAATGGAGAACAATTCTCGTATAATCATCTTGTTATATCTTACCTAAATTTTTTGCATCATGATTAAGAATGAATCTTTACGTTCATTTCAATTTCTCCCTGGAAGTAAAAAGGGAAGTTTATCATACCTCATCTGTAACTTGAAAATTCGAACATTACTGGCCCACCAGAGCTGAATACCTTCATTAGTAGCTTAGAACCTACATCAAAGAGGAATAGTGTCTGCTAAACCATGCTTTTTCTTGCTAGCTTCATTATCCTGTAGTTTGTTGACATAATCAGGATGTTACCAAATTCGTCTTGTGGTATGATCAATGGGATATAAATAGAAGTGTACTGCGAAGATGTTTTAAAGAGCAGTAAAGAGTTCAAAATCGAAAATAAAATAAAATAACAAGGATGTGAAGATGTTTTTCAAATGCTTCACACACCTAAGGGTATGTAATTTAGTTTTATTTTCTGACCTACGTTATTATGTGCCCACTTGAAGTCTGTCTAGATTATCCATCTACCAAAAAGAGAAGAGAGTCTATCAGCTTCTTTTTTGATAACTTATCTGATCCTCTATGCAATGGACCTTGGTACCCATGCATTTATGCATGTTACAATATGCACATGCTGTATGCATGCAGATTGTACCATATGGATGTTGTGTTTTATGTGTGAATATTTGTTACTATGAGCTGATATTGTTTGTATGGAGATTGTATTATTAATCTGCAGACTGTATGTAGGAATAATATAAGAGAATTTGGCACATAATCATGATTATTTTCATCACAACTTGCAGCTGCTACTTTCGCTGGCTTATGCTTGTCTTCTAATATGTATCTATGCATCTATCACACTGTGCATGGTTATTACCAAGCATGAACGGAATTGAGTAAGAAACAGACCACAGTACAACCTCATAATTACTTGGTTTTTAAGTTCATGTCATTCATGTAGATATTTCTGAATGTGACTTGATGCTTCCTGATTTTGTCTAATGTTATAACATTTTATCTTAATCTTAGTTATTTTCATGATACTTTTATTTTTTTCCAATACAAATTTCCTATTGTTTGTCACTTTTGGTATTGTTTGCGATACCACTATAGTTAATACATAAAAGAAGTATCATAAGCTCCTATGAAGTGAGAATTTTTCTGGTTGCTTTGGTTTTTCAGCTGCTGATGACTGGGATAGCTGTTTTGAAAGTTGACAACCTTGGGAGACGGCCGTTGTTGATAGGAGGTGTTGGTGGAATTGTACGTACTTATTTTTGCTTTGTTACCACTTCAAAGTTTCCTTGATGATTGTTGGATGATAGTGCATCATATGCCTTTGGGCAGAATGGTTCCTTAGCTTTCATATCCTGACTTTGCTATGCGTCAAACTTGATGTTAATTGATATCTTTGCTTCATTATACAAAGATGAAGAAAAACCTTTCTTCTTGGGTGGTGCAGGTGCTCTCTTTGTTCCTTCTTGCAGCATATTACAATGTTCTTGGAAGCCTTCCCCTGGTGGCAGTAGGTGCTTTGCTTCTGTACGTTGGCTCATACCAGGTAGATTTCTTATGCCACCTTATGCATCCTCAAATGTGGTGCTGAGAATATATTTGATTTTGGCAGTGTTTTCACCTGTAATTCTTTGGAGGACTAGCTGTTCCAAATTAGTCAACTATATGTTCCAAATGCAATCAGATGGGAGATAAATATTAAAATTCAGATTCCATTTAACTTATATCACTTAGAAATAGCCTGTTAAAATGACTACCAAGATGCTTTTCTGAACACAATTACTGTGGTGTGATTTCCAGGTATCGTTCGGTCCAATTAGTTGGCTGATGGTGTCAGAAATATTTCCACTCCGTACAAGAGGACGCGGAATCAGTCTTGCAGTTCTTACTAACTTCGGATCAAATGCACTAGTCACATTTGCTTTTTCACCCCTGAAGGTATTAATGCTACAAGGGATTTTTTTAATAGAAAAATATAAAGTTATTGACATATCATTTTATCATATTTATAATGATTAATTTAGCAGCCAGCTAGCCAGTTGATGCTGACAATATCTGATCATTGTAAATAGTTTAGACCAATATAAATGCCGATATCTATGATCCATGAAGTTTGTGTTGTCCTTTGAAATTTTCAAAATGATTAAAAATTAACTTGCTATTAGCTTGGATAATTTTTTACTCTCGTGTTTAATCTGCTCTCGGATTTATATTGGTAGCAAACCTTTATGGCATGTCTATCCTTATCTATGTTATCACGGGTTAGTTATTTGGTGCCTACCTGAATCTTCTTTTGATCTCTACTCAAATTAAGTACATTTTAGCTTTTGATTTAATACCCTTTAATGTATGATTTTGTTGGTACTGATGTTTTTACATCTCATCATGTAGGAGCTTCTTGGACCAGCTAATATTTTTCTTCTCTTCGGGGCCATTGCATTGCTGTCGCTTGCTTTCGTCTTCTTCTATGTTCCGGAGACAAAAGGCTTGAGTTTGGAGGAAATCGAAGCCAAGATCTTGAATTGAAGGCCTCCATCATCTTGCTTTCCATCCAAACATGACAGTAAATACTGTTTTTGTTGCTTATGTGCCTCATGCTTAATGTAATAAGCAAACTATGGTGGACAATAGTCTTCTCAAATGTACATTCTACAAATTCTATCTCACTTTTTTACATACTATTTATTGACGCAGCCACAGCTTTCTTTTTCTGGTCTTTAATAAGATTTACTTTTGGTCCAAATGTGTTGGAAAGGGATTACAGAGAAACAATGTCTTGGCTCAATTATTGTCTTCCTGTTGTTGTGTCAAACTGCAATCAGACCTTTGTCTCTGATACCACATTGAAATCTGAGAGTTCTCTTTGAGGATTCACAATTCTCGCAGTTTAAAGGAGATGTAATGACCGGATTAAATGAGTTCCAAAACAGAATAAAGCAAAGGAGATGAGCAGAAGAGGCGCAACACTGTCCTTAGCACTGCTTGTTAGCGCCACCAAAGAAGTTAAACAAGGGCTGGTTCTCGCCGCCCACCTCTTCTTTTCCTTCGTCTTCCTCTACGCTCTCAATCTCGGTCGAAGCCGACGTCGGAGTGCTTCCTGGCCTCCTCTCCAATATGCCGGTCGGGTGCAACGGGAAGAGCTGCAGCGTCTCATGACCGCTCTCATCCGTATTGCGACAACCAGCACGAGAAGGTGTTTGGTTTCTCCCTTGGATCATTCCCATCTTTTGGAAGTCCGTCCTCTTCGCAGCCGCCGGAAAGATCACGTTAGGGAACTGCGGGTGGAAGTAGCCGACACCACCGACCTGCGGCACTGGTACGTAATATGGACTGCAACCAACTGCAAGACACATGAAGAACGATGAACACTGACAGCAGAGAGAGAAGGAAGAGGCAGCGTTTGCACTCTTAAGATAAATACTGCACCATAAATGATGAAGAAGACAATGTATCTGATATTTGGACTGTCGTCCGATCCTATACAAGCATGAAGTATATAAGAGGATTCAGAGAAGGGACTGTTGACGAGTTCCAGGAAAAGTGTGTTCAAAGGGCGTCAAGCAGGGAGGACTTCACATGGACGAGTCAAGGGATCTCAAAGCATCAAAGAAATGTCTTCCCACGAGACCTGATCTTTGTACTTTGCGGTAGTACTTCACATGGTCGAGGCTACGACCAGACAAGATCTTATATACACATGCAAGAGAAGAAGTACAGATTTCATGTAGGTGTTTCTTTTACTTGAGATAGCCAATATAATTGGTGAGCATGCATTCATGCATGCATGCAAGCAAGCAAGAAGATTACCGGATGGTACCGGGGAAGGCAATGGAGAAAAGAAGAACCCTAATCAGGGAGGTGTACGGACATATACCGTCGGTGCAAGTAGGAAGAGGAGGAAGAGAGGAAGCGGTGGGTGGGAGGACGGGAGGCGGGGCACGTTGGAGCAGCCTACTGAAGTAGGCGAAGCTCTCCTGCTTCTGCTTCTGCCTCTGCCTCGCCTTGTGGTTCTGAAACCAGTAGAAGACGTTCTTTCCCTCGATGTTCCCGTACTCCCTCAGCTTCCCGGTTATGTGCTGTATCTGCTCCGCGCTTGGGGTCCTGATTCCCTGCTTGTAGAGGCCTTCCAGTACGGATATCTGCTCCTTGGTAGGGTTCCACCTCGAGCTAGAAGGGGAGGAGGAGGAAGACGACGAGCCCTTGCCTCCCTCCATAGCACTGGAACAGCTACGGCGGAGACACAGAGTGAGAGAGGAGCTGGTCTTTTATGCATGCATGAGAGGAGAGGATAGGAGAGGGAGGGAGGAAGAGCGTGAGATGGTGTGTAGTGCTTGTCGTGTAGCGGGGTCAAAAACGTGAAGGGTTTGACATGCGTATGGTTCTGGGCGCAGGAAAAGCTCTGAAAACATGGCGGGGAGCGGCTGGGGTGGCGCCAGGTGCTGCTGCTGCGTTTCTTCTCTCTCTCTCTCTCTCTCTCTCTCTCTCTCACTCTCTCTCTGTAGGGGATACGGCCATCGAATGGTGGGTGTGTGTGGGGAGGTGATGGTGCTGCTGCTGCTGCGTTAGGCCTTTTACAGGTAAATGGGATTCGAGGAGGCCTCCTCGGGAATGAAATGTATTCTTTCCTTGCGCCATTGGCCTTCTTGGAGATTTGATTTGTTCCCTTCTGCCTATGGTGGTGCAATGCTTGGTGATGATCATCGATCAGCTAAAGATCCATGCAGGCTTCTCTTGATGTACATTCGTCGGTGCATCAACCACATAGAAAGAAAGCACAAAGACCAGAGGGGAAGAGTCAAGCAATTAATGCCGAGGGAGGGAGGGAGGGAGGGAGGCGTCGATCTCGGGAAGAGAGAGGAGGAGACTGCCGCATGCTGATCCAAGACACACAAATGGCACGAAATCTCGCCCTTTTCTGCATGGAGATCCGGTGGGAATTCGTAGGCTCATCGAGAAGGAGAAGGGAAGCGACCGAGTGCAGCAAACAAAAGAAAAGGAAGGCAGAGGCGGGGGAGGAAAAAGAAGAGGAAGAGGGAGGCATGTTTGTGATGTGCATGGTAGTCAGCAGCAGCGGTAGCGGAGTTTGGCCTACTGGCCCATAGGTAGTCCTCCTCCTCCTCCACCGCGACGTAGCTGAGGTACAGGTCATTCGAGGCCGGGTGGGATGTGGTGGGTGCGTCGGGAAATGGCGATCTCTACATGGAGTGGGAGACCAAACGGCGAGGGCGATACTGCATATCTCCACCATGCATGGATGGGGAGCGCGGGGAGGAGGGCCTTCAAACCCCGCTGCTTCGCCTGTTTCGGGAACGGAGTCATTGTGTACGTGAATGGATGAGAGAGAGAGAGAGAGAGGCGAGGATGTGTTCGCCTCGTGAGTGCTGACTGATTCTACGAGGCTGTAGCAGCAGCGGCAGTGAGAAGTATGTGGATTTGTTGTGGGGTGGGTGTGTCAGCGGAGACCCAGCAGCGGTGGTAACAACCATGGAGAAGGACAGCGTTGCGAGCATCGGTCGGTCGAGTTCAGGAAGACGAAGACGAAGACGAAGGCATGCAGTGACAGATATTAGGATTATTTGGATATCACAAATATTAGAATAATTACGTCACTATAATAATGCATTTTGCCAATCGACATTTTAAAGAATAATATAATTAAAAATTTTGAACTAATATTTAACCCATTATTTATAATAATATTATTATTTGTAATATTTTTTGCTATTTATATTTTTATTTTTTTAAACTACCCTAAATACTCTTTAAAAATGGGGCTAATATTTAACCCATCCATTACTCTTTTAAGGATATTATTTTTATTATTTATATTTTTTATAAATTTTTAATATTTCTAAAATATTCTTTTATAAATAAACATAAATATTCTCTTTTTTTTCTCCTCCTCTTTCATCTCTTTTTCTCTTTCTTTTTTCTCGTCTTCTTCTTTTCACGAACAACAAAGAAAGATGGAATGATATCGAGCGATGTCGACAACGATGAAGTAAGAGGTTGTGAGGAAAGAATAAAATGAAAAGAAAAAAGATATAATCGATAATATAGAAACTATAAGTAGTAAAAATATATATTTTAAAAAAAATTATCGATAGTAAAAAAAAAGATATTGTTAATAGTAAGCTTGCGAAAGTTTTGGGCCACAGAGTGACTCATTTGGGCCTATCATGGATAGAGATAGGAATGGCTCCCTATATTACATGGACCTAATTCTACATATATTTGGATGGGCCTACGTTTGATTTGAACTCAGAGCATGAGCTTATATAAGCTTGACTAAAACTCGGTTTATAGTCCCTTTTCTTATTGCTGTTTTTGATAATTCACTACAATTTGGAAAATTGATATATATTTGACGACAAACTCGAGTAAATTATTCTTTTTGTTTGTAACAAAAAGAATAATGATAAAAGCTTTTGATTGCCTCACTGTTGACTTCTATTGGTCAAAATAGAACACACAAATAATTGGCTGCAATCAAACCGAGTGTTAGCTCATTTGTCCCCGACCAAAGACAGATTGGCACGTTGACGATGATGGTGGTAGCCAGCTCACTGGTGAGCTAAGTGGGACCCGCAGGACGCGAGGTATGGGCACCAACAGGGAGCTCCTCTTCCCTGAGCCCTGAACCGGTACGGCACAGCAAAAGAACCAGTAAGCATCCTTCTGCCGCAATTCGTTCCAGACAGAGATGATGAACGACAGGCTATGGTCATTGGCGTTGTAAGTGGGACCCCCAAGACATGAGGTCAGCGGTCCAACGGGGAGCTCCTCTTCCCTGAACCCTGCACCGGTACGGTACAGCAAAAGAACCAGTAAGCATCCTTCTGCCGCAAGTCGTTCCACACGGAGATGATGAGCGATAGTCTATGGTCATTGGCGGGGTTAAGTGGGACCCACAAGACGTGAGGTCGGAGGACCAACGGGGAGCTCCTCTTCCCTGAACCCCCAATCGGTGGGGCACAGCAAAAGAACTCGCAAGCATCCTTATGCCGTAAGTCGTTCGAGACAGCGATGATGAGCGACAGGCTATGCTCATTGGTGGGCTAAGTGGCACCCGGAATCAGAAGGTGAGATAACCAATAAGGAGCTCCTCTTCCCTGAACCCTACATCGGTGGAGTACAGCTAAAGAATCCGTAAGAATCCTTCCGCCGCAATTTGTTCAAGACAGCGATGATGAGCGACAGGCTATTGTTTCCGTTTGGGTAATGCTTTAATGTGATGGCACGGGAGGAAACGACAGCGCTCTTCCTCAGCCCATGTGAGCCGCTCTCGGAATCAACGCATCCTCCTCGCCCATCCGAGCCGTCAGCCGAGCTCCCAAGGGCAGCGCCGGGCCGTGATGCTCTGGCCCGCCCTCATGGTTTCCTTTATGGTTGGTGCCTTCTTCTGCAGCAAAGCTGAGACCTTTTGGCCTTGATGCTCCAACACGAAGCTAATGTCCTATCCACGGAGTGTTTGGAGCCATGGAGGGATGTCGAAGCAGTGTCAGATGTTTCTCAAACCGTGATTTTGGTGGCAAAGGTCTGATCTTTGATATTCTTTCATGGGTGATTGGTCTCGAATCGTGATGTTGATGCTAAAGGTGTAGTCTTGTCGGAGTTCCTCCACCCTCGTCTGGTTTTGAGGGAGAGCAAGTTAAGCCTTTGATGTTCTTCCTTTCTCTGTTCCATTTCCTGGCGGTTCTTCTTTGATTTACCCATAAAGGGAGGCGATTCTGAGGCAGTTTCCTATCGAGATATGCTGCTGAGGGAGAGATGAAACCTTTGGGCTGTTTGGGCGTTGGCTTGAGCCTGATCTCAGGCTGCATATTCTTGGCTCTTGTTGCAGAGTTCTACTATTTCTTTTGGTGGAAGAAGCGAGGAAGTAGCAGGGACGTAGAGGAGAACTACAGCAGCCCTGTGAAGGAGCTCCCGGATCTCTTCTGCTGGAAGAAGCCAACTTCTTTGAGCCCCACTGCGCTCAAACCTCAAGAAATCTGCATCTCGGTGAACGGAGCAACTCATTCCGAGGAAGAGCAGCCCCACCTCCGCTCCATCTCTGGTAATGATCTTGTCCTGAAGCCACTCGGAGGAGAGGACACGGTGGATGCAGAGCTCATGTGCCTCGCCGGTCCTCCCAGGTCGCTCTTCACCATCGAAGAGGAGACTCAGGAAGAGCTGGAGTCCGAGGATGCGATCGCCAGAGGTGGGAGGAGCAGGCGGGGTTGCACAGGGAAGAGCCTGCGGGATCTGCTTCTCATATCGGAGACTCCGACCTTGACCCCTCTGTCCTCCCCTCCCCTCTTCTCTCCTCCTCTGACTCCAATGGCTTGCTACAAGCAAAATGGATTCAACCCGCTGTTCGAACCCACAAAGGACGAAGCTTTGGCCTGGATGTGGTCGTCTCCGCCTCCGACGCTCAAGTTCCTCAAGGATGCCGAGGAGAAGCTGTACCGGAAGACGCTGGTGGAAGAAGCACTGAAGGTTCAGAAAGGCCGTAGCAGGCATGTCGAAAGCAAGGAGAAGAAGGAAGCTTCCGTTGCTCCTCTTCTTCCTCCAGTTGCTGCCATTTCTCCGCAGGTGATTCCCTTAGCCAATGGGAAACCGCAACGAGATCTCATCATTTCCAACGAGTTCCCCATTGAATTCTCATCGAATGCATGAGATGTTTCTGTAAATTTCGTGACCATGGATATAATTCAAACATCTACATGTTTCTGTGCTTGCAGTGGAAATGGAAATGGAAATGTTTGGTCATGCATGTTGTCTTCCTTTTCTTCTTGCTTCTTCGTCTTCTTGATGCAGCCACAAGGGAGCTTCTCCGATCAAAGAGAGGCGGATGACGAGATGCAGATTGGGTTCCTAGGAGAAGCGGCAACAAACATGTGATGATTGACATCATTGTTTGATCTCTGACACCCCCATTCTGATACATCGTGGTCGTATACCCTCCATGGAATTGTTGATCCAGAACAATGGGTTGCACCTGATGCTCAGTACCCATAAGGGAAATGCTGCCCACAGCACATCAGCTCTGACTGCGCCATCTCTGCCGATGTGCCCAGTTTTCTTGGCTTATCATTGGAGTTCCCTGTTCCTCTCTCTCTCTCTCTCTCTCTCTCTCTCTGCGACCCACTTGTACGTCGTCCTGTTCATGTCTGCTACTTATCCATGAGGATGGTCACGAGGTGAGGAGGACAACTCAGAAGCTGAAACACCTCGAAGACAGAATTTGAGCTTGTCTTCATTTCATGATTCGAATAGGGAGAGCATGTGATGAAGCAGCTTGGCATCATTTTTCTTGGCAGTGGAGGTTAAGGTAGAAGATAAACTATGCATGCATGGTGGTCCAACATGGATCCAACGCATCTACTGTGAGAGGATGATACAAGAACATGGCTCATGCTGGCTTCCACAGTATGACATTTGTGTTATCATCACTGTCCATCATGATTCATTAGTCTATGTTGATAGCCTCACCAAAATGATATCACAGAAGGAACAAAATAAACATCTACCTGTTCCTAAATATCATTCGAAAGATATCATTCTTATTATTTCATATTTAATTAATCAGATATTTATCAAAATATTTAATTTTTAAATATCTCTCGATCATTTATCCTTCGTTTATTCACATGTGAATTTATTAACTGTTTTCCACCGAAGATATTTGGGTGTATTATTTTTATCGTTATTCATAACTATCGTCGAAATAAGTTTGATCATTATACATTAAAGTATGTGTTTATTGGTTATTCTCCGACTCAAAAGAGTTACAAATATTATGATCCAATGTCAAAAAAAAATTTGTCGCTATGGATGTTACATTCTTTAGAAATTAAATAATTTTTCTCAAACTTCATCTTCGAGGAATTTTAGCCAATAACTAACTAGTCCTATCGATACTCCTCAATCCAAATCTCTAACGTCACAACATAGTATTAGACAATCTAATTTAGGGGGAGATATCACTCTGACTACACTTAAGCTTCATACGTATTTAAGGTTGTGAAATCTATAAATGATTGATGTTCATATTCTCGAGTATTGGCAAATTCAGACAGACATGGATTACTCTATTTCTTCCTCGTATCTTGATTTTCCCGTCAATTGAAAATGAATTAGATTGTTTATAATGCATCATATATCTAAATGTATCCGATCATAGACTATCTAGTTTTTAAAGCCTTTATAGCTCACTTGTTTAATTTAGAAATTCTAAAAAATATAAGTGATACTTTATTAATTCCAAAATAAAATGAGATAATTATGAAGGAGATGAGAGCTCTTAAAAAAAAAATTGATACTTGGAGCATTTGCTAAAGGGGAAGAATATAGTGGGATGCAAATGAGTGTTTAGTGTTAAATATAAGATAGATAATTCTTTAAAAGATACAAATTGGTTATAAAAAGATTTACTCAAACATATAGTATTGATCACCAAGAAACATTTGCTTCAGTTATAAAACTAAATACTATTTGAGTATTGTTATCTCATGCAATTAATTTTGAACGGTCTTTATATCAATTAGATATGAAAAATATCTTTCTCTATGGAGATCTAGAAAGTTAAGTAAACATAGATCTAACTCGACTTTGAGAATTTGTATAGCATAAATATGATGTGAAAGTTGAGAAGATCTTTTTATGGTCTCAAGCAATCACTATATACACACATAGTTTGAGAGGTCCACAAAGTTAGATTTATGGTCATAGATATACTCAAAGTCATAGGCATCATACAACGTTTTATAAACACTAAAATAAGAAAGAAATTGCTAGTCTTATAATTTATGTACAAGATATTATCCTAACAAGTAATGATATATCAAAACCGGAGAAATTGAAGCATATCCTAGAAAAAAAAATTTTGAAATTAAAATTATTGAATAGTTAAAATATTTCTTCAACATGGAAATAGCAAGATGAAAGAATGTGATATTTGTTTATAAAGAAAATACACTTCAAACCTTTTAAAAGAAATAGATATGCTTGGTTGTAAACTTATGGATACCTCGATATATCTTAATCATAAATTGAGATATTCTTCTCGAAAAGTCATGGTAGATGTAATAAAATATCATAGATTGAAATATCCTAGACTAAGAGATTTATCTATCTCTTACTCTAAACATAATATTTGTAGTGAATATAGTGAGTCAATTTATGTATTCACCATATAAATAACATTTAGATACGATTATTATATTTTTAAAAAGGACTCGACTTATTATTTAAAAAGGGCAATAATATGAGTATTATGTTGATTGCGCAGAATCAATAAGTGATAGGTGATCAACTTTAGGATATTTTATATTTGTTAAAGATAATTTTATGACTTTGAGAAGCAAGAATTGGACAGTTATTATTAGAAATAGTATTGAAGCAGAGTTCAGAATAGTAGCACAACTCTTAGTAAAAAATGTCTTTAAAAGAATTATGAATACCCACTAAAACTTCTATAAGATTATATTGTGATAATAAAATTACTATCAATATTTCTCATAATCCAATGCACCATTATATAGCAAAGCATGTTGAAGTAGATTGATATTTTATAAAAGGAAATAAAGAAAAAATTATTCGTGTTTCTATATTTTCTTATCAAAGGACTTCAAAGATATTTTGATTTAAATAGTTAGGAATGATTGACATCTTTGAGCTAACTTAGGAGGTGTGTAGAAAATCACATGATTAAGAGATTTAAATTTTATAATTTAAAAATTTATAATTCTATAATTAAAGAAATCTATCCCACTCAATCATTATCAAATCAACTCATATTATAGGAAATGAATTAGAATAAAATATTATATACAATCAATTTTTTTAGTTGTATAGATTATATATATATATATATATGCTTTTTATAAAAAAAATAATGAATTAGAAAATTATATTATTTTATATTCAAGAATTAATAATTTTCTTTTTAAAAAATAAATTATACAAAATAATTAAATATCTATAATACTAAAAACGAAAAGTCTTTCTAATTTGGCGTAATAAATACTCACCTAATTTATTGTTACACTATTTATAATATTTAATAAATATAATAGGAGTTCTTTTTAAATATATTTTTGTTTTCTAAATCAATAAAAATAATATTTAAAACTCAACAAATGTTGAAAGTTAATTCATATTTTTTGAGAGTTTGTATAAGTTAATGTATATATAAGTTAATATAACACTCGCAGGCACATGCGAACGCGGACGACGATGAACGGTGGATGAACGACGGACCGGCAATTTCCAACGGCTGTTAATCACCAAAGGGCGTGGTAACGATGCGCTGCCGCAAGATCTCGCTTTTCCTTCCCTTATCGTATCACTGGTAGTGTGCCTTGGAACGGGACACCGCTCACCGAAGCCGGCCAACGCCACCAGGTCCGACCACCATCTCGCTTTTTCTTCCTCGTTGAGTTGGTAGCATTTTGAGGTGGGAAGGAATGAAGATCATCCTTGTTTCCCGCAGCGCAAAGGAGGTCATCAAGGGTGGGATTGAGCTCCACGATGAGGTATTATCGGATTTTTCGTGGTTTTTGTCGGAAAAGTTTTGTTTTTTATGCTTAATTTGCTTGGGGGAGGGTTTAGCATAGGGATCCGGTGAAAGATTACTTTTTTCGTCTTTAGGAAAAACTTCCAGTATTTCGTATGTCAAAATCTGGTCTTGTGTTGTTCGGTGTTAATTCCCTTCCATTTCCTTGTTGTGTGTTAATGGGAAGTGTATGAATTTGATATTCTTTATCATAGATTTGTACATATCTCATCGATTTAAAGCAGAAGTTCCTTTCTTGGTGCGTTTTCAGGCCACTGTGAGCGATCTGCAGGAAGCAATTTATGCCCGAAGTAAGATATCTGGAAGCCCGTCTTGAATGGCCTCTCTCTCTCTCTCTCTCTCTCTCTCTCTCTCTCTCTCTCTCTTAACTTGAGTCGGTATATTTCAATATTCATATTAAATTCAAAATTTTTGCCTTATTATATTAATATATTAGATTTTGTTATGTGGTGGTTAATCTTTTTGTGAATTCTCTTTGCTATCATGGTTTTGCTTTCCTTTTCTGTCTCTTCTTTGCTTCCTCACATGAACATAACATGTTTAGTATTCTCACAATTTTACTAGAGAAATACTTGTATTATATATAATGATTTACAATAATTCGTTGTCTGGATTTGAAACCGGTTGTAAAAAATCTGAGCGGATATAGTGCTTTTAAAAGTTCTAGATTCACATACTTGATTACAGATGAGAGGTTTCAGTATGTTGTAGATTGTGCTCTGGTTTTCCCTTGTGGTTTATGTTAAACCTGTTACATAAGAGAAAAAATATTAAACAATTGCTTTTAGCTACATCGAAACTTAAAAATAGCTTATTTTGTATTTGCTCGAGACATAATTTGGCATAACTTTTTCTGGCGTGAAAATTTATATAGACATCTAATACTCATGATGTTTCAAATGTAATATTGGAATTTTGACGAGCATAATGCATTCTACATGTCTTAGTTAAGAGCTTATTGAGCAAATTGGCTGGTAAGAAGATCTGTATATCTTGATGAGTTCACTAGGACAAGTTAGTGGATGTTATTAGTTTCCTACATGGATTTCAGTTGAATTATATGATGATCTTTTGGTTTCATGTCATACCTTTGGCCAGAGATTTTGTATGTAAGACAACCATTACATGCATTAGGAGATATCATTATGTTAAACTGTTGCAATTCTTCCTCTTTAAGGTAAAGGCATTGTCTCATACCCTCATATCATGCTTGTTCATTCTTTTACATTCTCGTAAAATTGCATTTGTTGCGTCTTTTTCTCAGATGTACTTGTCTTTTGCCTTGATGATTCTCTGCATTTCTTTCTTTTTATTTTACTGTTATATTTTTTCTTGATTTACTGGATTATTTGTCAATTTACCTTTTTATTTTAAGTACTATGGATCTATGATAATCTTCTTATATGATTTGCCTGTGTATGCTCTGTTGTTTAAAGCTTATGTCATGCTGATACTTCTCCTAATTTTTGCTTTTCCCTTTTTGCTTCAAAAGAGTAATTTTGTTACTCTATTTATGCAAACTTGGAGTTGTACCATATTAATCTTGCAAGTTACAGAATTTGATGAATATTAAATTGGTATTTTGTTTCTTCTAAACTATTTATCTAACTTCCGATTGACATACAAATATATAGCATTCAAGATGTAGAGCGAAATAAAAGTTATTTTTGAACAACCACTGTAAAGTTTTTGGATCTCTGTTGTCATTGGCAGTTAACTATGGTGAATTCTGTTTCTGTTTTCAGAATTGTTTCCTACTGATCGAATTTGTTCTACTTTTTATTTTCATCTGCCTGATCTCCATCGTCTGATCCCATACATTCCACATGGGAAACTTTATCAAACAATTGAAATATATTTTCCACGAGTAGAAAACCTGTTTATTCTCACCTACACTAAGGGAAAATTTGAGGGCCTCATCTCATAGTGTCTCATAGTACTTCTGAGTCGATGCTTGTCAAGTAGTGGCTATATCAATGGATACCAGAGTATTAGACCAAAGTAGTGGCCATATCAACGGATACTAGAGTATTAAACCAAAAGAAGAAGCGCCTCTAAATTTTGTTGGACATGATGTTGGTTGATAACAAAGTTTTGGGAGTTCATTAGTTTCGGATCAACCATAGAACTAATATGAGCACTGGTCCGGTACAAGTGAATATTAGATGGTTGTATTGGATTAGAGGATCAGTTCATTGTGAGACAACTGAAGATTCGCTAGAAGTAGAAAATTGTCTAGGACTAGCATTCCCACCGGACTGGTCAATACTGTTGGGAACTTGGCTGTCTCGGTCATGGTGGATACAAGAGCTGCTCTTCAGTTTACAATATACAAGTAGTTTTTATTGTAAATCAGTCAATCATTCGAGTTACTTGCTTTGGCTCTCTGATGAGTCTTTTTATTATATTATATGGAGTTCTCAATACCAGTACCAGTGTGTGTCTATTGTGCTAGACTTACCTTAAATTTTATGACTTCTCTAATTCTTGGGTCAGATTACTAAGAGTATGTACCTAACTGTTCCTGTCCCAAATTACAGCCAAAAAATTCTATCCTTCAAGACAGCGCCTCACCCTGCCATTGCAATCTGGGAACCAGGGAAAGCCAGTTGTCCTTAGTCCGAAGAAAAAACTGGTAGAATATTGTGATGGGAATGCCAAGACTCTCACTGTGGTATTCAAGGACCTTGGAGTACAGGTTTTATACAGTACTCTTTTCTTCTGGGAGTACCTGGGTCCTTTAATTATCTATCCTATCTTCTACTACTTTCCAGTGTACAAGTACTTTGGTTATGAGGGTGAACGGGTCATATACCCAGTCCAGACATATGCTACGTGTTACTGGTGCCTCCATTACTTCAAACGTATTATGGAGACTTTCTTCGTTCACAGATTCAGCCATGCTACTTCACCTCTCTCCAATGTGTTCAGGAATTGCGCCTATTACTGGACTTTCGGCACATACGTTGCATATCATGTGAATCATCCCCTGTACACACCTGTCAGTGATCTGCAAATGAAGATTGGATTTGGATTTGGGTTGATTTGCCAAGTCTCTAACTTTTATTGCCATCTTATATTGAGGAATCTCAGAAGCTCTGATGGTAATGGTGGTTACCAGATTCCTCGTGGCTTTCTGTTCAACATAGTGACTTGTGCAAACTACACAACGGAGATCTATCAATGGCTTGGTTTCAATATTGCTACTCAAACAATAGCAGGTTATGTTTTCCTCGTGGTGGCTACACTCATCATGACAAATTGGGCCCTCGCCAAACACCGTCGCCTCAAGAAGGTAAGCGAACAGTATTTTTTCAGTATTTGGCAATTGCAAAGTGATCATCGGCCTGTATAATTGGTGCAATTTCAATTCAGTTGCTGTATGTGACAATTGTATATCATAGTCAATATTGTTTTACATACAAATCAATCGAGTGTCTGTTCTGGTGCATGTAATGTTTTTCGTTTACTCTTCTTTGTTGTAGTTATTCGATGGAAAAGACGGACGGCCTAGGTATCCACGGCGCTGGGTGATACTTCCTCCATTCATCTAAGTAAGATGGAAAAGACCGGCGGCCTAGGTATCCATGGCGCTGGCTGATACTTCCTCCATTCATCTAAGCACAGGCATTTTACTTGCTTCTAAAGTCTGAAATTTCAAGCCAAACATGTTATGGGAGTTGGAAAATACTCATCTTAGGCAGCTGAATTATGTAATTGCCATGCACAACTGAAATGCTTGTTGCTGCATGCACATTTTAGCTTTATGAAATCTGTTGTTTGATTTATTAACCAACTGTTGCACTCAAAGTAGTTCATTTTTAGGTTAATCTGCTGGCTGTGCAATTCTAGTTCTTACTACTTGCATCTGCACCATTTTTGTTTGCTCCCATATGTTTAAGTACCAATGGTACTTATGCTGCAATATGAAGTTAATCTGTCAATTCTCCAAAGTTTGTCTTGGTCAATTTTTGAGTTTGATCTTTGAGAAACCAAGTGATTCTACTAGCTGTTTACATATGAATCTTACTCCCACAATAGAAATTGGAATGTCAAAGTTGTTTCATTATTCTATCAAAGAAGACATATAAACATCTTTTAGAGATTAATTAAGGGATTGAGGTTAGGATTGCATGACCACAATGTTCCCTTATTCAAGGCCTGCCTACCTCTTTCATGTGTCTTTATTTCAATGTTCTTCAATAGAATATTGAAAGAATTCTCACTATCATCATGAAAAAAAAACAAAAAAAAACTTCTTTGTTTAAGAGATCTAAATACCATTTTTTCACTTGAAAATGTAAAAAACTAAATTGAAGAAAATTCATGAAATCATGTTAGTATTATTCTTTTATAAATAATATGAGAGTTTATTATAAGCCCGTCTAGCTCAGTAGGTAGAGCGCAAGGCTCTTAACCTTGTGGTCGTGGGTTCGAGCCCCACGGTGGGCGTTTTGTTTTGCTATGTTTAGATATATTCTAATAAAACAATTATGAGAATGTAATATAAGCCCGTCTAGCTCAGCAGGTAGAGCGCAAGGCTCTTAACCTTGTGGTCGTGGGTTCGAGCCCCACGGTGGGCGTTTTATTTCGCTCTTTTTGGGGAAATTCTTAAAAAAAAACTATATTTTCATTATTTGCTATATAACACTCTTTATTTTTCTAAATTTAGATGACCCATCCTCGTTTATTTTGTTATTTTTGAGAAAATTCTTTAAAAAAATTATATTTTCATTATTTGCTATAGAACACCCTTTATTTTTCTAAATTTAGATTATCCATCCTCGCTTATGTGTCTTCGCCTTTGTTGTCATCTGCTTTGTCACTTTCGATGGGTAGGAAATAACGTTCTAACAAAGTGAGTGTTATAGAGACAACAAAGCCTCGTAATTGAGTGGAGGTGATGATGATGATAGACGAGGGATCATTGAGAGCTTTAGTGATGTTTGTGTGGAATAAAAATCCTAACTACATCTCCTCTAATAATTAGAAGAAGGAGAAGGAGAAGGAGAAGAAGAATAAAAAGAAAAGAAATAAGATGATGAAAGATCGTATAAAAGATTAAAAGAGTATATTAAATTTAAATAGTAAATTAAAAATATACTTTTACATTGATTTCATACCAATATTAAGGGTTGAGATTGTAAATAGTAAAATGTATTAAAATTTTATTCTTCACCGGAGAACACCTTTTATTTTTCTAAATTTAGATTACCCTTAGACCTTATCGTCATCCTTACCCTCATCGTTATTCTCGCTCGTATGCCTTTGCCCTCGTTGTCATTTGCCTCGTCACCTCGTCTTATTCTCTTCTCGAACAAGCAATAAGTAAAATGTGAGACAAGAGTGTTAATGATGTGGCATTAAGAGGATAAAGGTGATGACTTAGAGATCGATGGTCAATATAAATAATGATAAAGAAATTTCTAAAGATATAATAAGATAGAAATATAATGGATAGATAATGGTGTTCCAACAAAATAAGTGTCATGGAGGCGACGACAATGAGTACACTTTTAAAAGTCTTAGCGACGTTTGTGATGAATAAAAATCCTACCGGTACCTTCTTCGTGAAAAGAAGAAGAAAAATAAAAAGAAAAAGAATGAGAAGAAAAATGATGTATAAAAGGGATTAAAAGAGTATTAATTTAGATGGATTTCTTACCAATATTAAGAGTTGTGATTGTAAACAGCAAAAGGTGACCCATATAAATTGAAAATATTCACAGACTCTTCCCAAAGAAACGATCGCAATACAATCTAACGGTCAGACAGCGATCCGACGGCTCACACTAAGTAATCACCGATCTTCATGTCAACTATTTAGGCGAGGGTTTTTGGTCGCAAAGCTTCAGGTCGAATCGATTCTTCAACCAAAGCCCGAGCAGATCGAGAGGCGAGGAGGAGAAGCGATGGACAAGAGCCTGCTTGGCGATCTCGATTCGCTCCCTGAAGAGGACAAAGTCCGGATGTCCGCCATGATCGAGCAGCTCCAGATCCGCGACAGGTCTCTTCTCTTTTCTTTTTCTTCTTCTTCTCGTTCATGGTTGTTGCATCGTGCTCGATACGCAATCGGCTTGTCAGAACGGTCACGTTTTCGAATGATATGTGTCATCGTTTCTTGTTTTGTGATAGAAAGCACCTGTTCCATACTTTCCCCACAAAAAAGGGGGTGCGCTTGTAGTTATAGTTGTCTCGAAGTAGAGATGTAACAGATGTGAGTATTAAGCGTCTCGATGCTTAAAGTCCTTTTTAACAATCTTGAAATCACAATTTCCTATGATGTTTCAGTTTATGGACCAGGAGAAAAAGGTTCGAAATAAGTACTCAAGACACCATGGGGTAGAGGATTGGTGGTGATGGTAGTAATGCTCCTCTAGTAATTGAAGGGCATATTAATTTCATAGCAGGAATGCTCTCCTCTGGCTGGATGGAGCACCTTTTTGCTGCGTGATAGGGATTTCATGTTCATGAAATTACTAAACATGATTATTGTATGCAATGCCCAATTCAATACAGTTTTGACTATGACCATTAACAAGGGTTTCTCTCACAGAACTTGATGTTACCTGGAGGTTTCTTTATAGATTTAGTTGTCATTCAAAGAGTATCAAGTCACTGGCCAGCACTATCTGAGAATAACTTGTGCTATAGGCCATGCCCATTATTTTGATCAGAAATGTATCAATGTTTATAACTGGATTGGCCAGCATGGCAAGACAATCCTTGAACAATATTACAGCACAACAATGCTTTGGTGAGATAGTGTTGTTGTTAATTATCAAGGGGGTATGAAGTGTTGCGTGGATACTTCAAACTACTTATGTCATTATCGGATGTGTGGGGCTTCGATAATTGTTGCATACATCATGCAGTCTCTCAGCTATATCCTCAAAATTTTTCTATTAAAATTCTTCTTGGATATGTATTGATAATTTTTCAAAGTATTCACTTTTTAATTATTCAGAAAATTGGATACTTATGGGATAGTTGTGGGATAATTCATTGATGCTTCTTGAGAGGTGTTTTTTGTTTTCCTTTGGACACTTGATCTTTTGATTATGGACATGATGTGTATCTAAACATATCGTTCGGCATTATTTGTTTTGAGCATCTTATCATTTTTGGGTCATTATGCTAAAAATAGATATTTCTATCTTGCATAATCTACAAATGCTTGTTATAATTAAATGTTGATAAAAAAGATATGCTTTGTCATAATAATATTATGTATTTGAAATATTTTCGTTATTGTATCAGTTGTAATATATACAAATCATATCATTAAAACATTTTTCATTATTGTACCTGTTTTATTGGTGTATACTATCAACTCAAGTTAGATGTATCTTAGTAGCGATATTGGCATTCCACGTGCATACATGCTTTATAGGTTCCTTGCCAATTTACCTTTTGCTCCAATTTTTTTCTTCTTATTAATTTTTTGTGCATTATGGTTTTATTGAATGGCTTAAGTTGTGTCTAATGCTAGATTGGAAAATTATTTATCACACCTGATGCATTTTAGTTAGAGAAGTGATGTCCTTTTGGCTAGACATTTAAGAGCATGTGTGCGGTGTGCCTATATGGTCTACAATTATTGTGCTTGATATCTTGGGCTTCAGCAGACTTTGTTTAGTAAATCAACCACTATAAGTTGACCTGCTCAGTCAAGCTATTGCCAACCATACATTAGATATATTACAACACGAAATGATGATGATTGGATATTTCAGATCTCATGTTCATGTTATCAAAGACAGCTCAAAATAAATTGCAAAAACTTTGTCACAGCCTAAAAGATCCTAACTGCTTAGACACTTGTAATGCTACGATGAAAGCAATTGTTTTCTTTGGTTGTGAATTAATCAGAATGTCTTTTGGCTATTGAATAGGCTGACCTGTGTGTTGATAAAGTATGACAAACAGATGTTTTTTTAATCACTTTACTTTGATGTGTGGAGATTAGGTTTCCATTAGGGCGATTTTGTGATATTGATTTCTTTGATTGAGGGCATATTTTTCCTCAGAGCTAGCGTGTACTTCATGTTTCATTGATTAAGACTGCTTAATTACAACCTGCTTATTGAACTCGCTTTATGCAGGGTCCTTTCTCCCCCCAGATTTCTTGCTCTCTGTAGAAGCACTTGGAACCTACGTAATGGACTTTATCGAAGCTAGTCTTGTGATCTTCTCAGGTGGTATTGCATGTTGAAACAAAAAAAAGATCAAATTGTTGTAAAGCACACAGGGTATGACAGACAGCAGCTTGATCTCTTCCTGCCACAAACTAGCTGCTAAAACGCTTTATAGACATAGCTCAATACACTATTAATTAAACTAGCATCTATAGCTCAATACACTATTAATTAAACTAGCATCCTAGGGAGGTTTCACAATGTCCAGGCTTTCTCTTTTCACTACATTGGCATTTGTATTCACTTATTATGGCTATTAATGTTATTGCTGTGATTAATTGTTGGCTGATTTGTCATTCTTTTTCTTTCAAATCAATCTTGCAGTTTGAGGATGTATAATACATTGGTAGAGAGGTGTTTTACGGATTGCGTGGATACCTTCCGGCGCAAGTCACTTGACAAGCAGGAAGAGACATGCGTCCGCAGATGTGCCGAGAAGTTCTTGAAGCACTCGATGAGGGTTGGCATGAGATTCGCAGAATTAAACCAGGGCGCTGCCACACCAGATTAAATCTCTTTTAGTTTCTCTCCTTAGAAGCTTTGTTCTACAGCTCAAAAGTTTGTATCCTTCCTTGCAAGATGGCACGAAGAGTTTTGATTTTGTATTTTTCTTGGTTATTTTGAAGACTCAGAGAGGTTCGAATTTCCTAAATTTTGCACTATGGTAATGGGTTTATTAATATCCATTGTGGTTAATGATGGTGATTGCCATTCTGATATAAACGAGAAATACCGGTGACGGCGAGAGAGGGGATGTCGCGGTGGCGACGGCGATGTCGATGCTAGCTAGCAAAGGCCAGACCGAAGTCAAACATTTCAAACGGTGACGAACGCGAGTCTTTAGCGGGCTGTACGCTACCATCAGAAGGTTGACCTGCGTCAGTGATCATCGGACAATTGGCGGCGTAGGAGAATCCGAAGCAATCCCGTCGTTTGCACGGCGGCGGAGGTGGTGGGGCCATCGGAGTGCGGGCGATTTTGCCGAGAATGGGAGCCAGCAAGCGTAGGCCTATCTATTCAATCGTGCGACGATAAGATAACCACATCCTCTTTTATACGAACACGAAGGTTGACCAATTTTGACCCATGTCGGATCGGGCATGGATCCTGCACCCTCCCCGTAAGGACGCAAATCCGACCCTTCTTTACATGTTGTTAGGTCGCTTTTCGTAGTTAATTACCAATCTGACCTGTAGGCCAGTCTTCGCAAAAGGCCGATTTATTTCCTCGCTTCATTAAATCAAATCCCGGTTTCAATAATTATAATCCGTTGATTAGTTACGCAGTCGATCTCGTAATCCCCGACTTAAAATAACAGAAGAATAAAACAATAATACGTTCCCACCAAATCCGACGGCCAGCAACCGACCCGTCCCCACCTCAACCCTCCATAAACAATAAATAAAGGGCGAAGCGAAGAGTGCCGTTCGAGGTTCAAACTTTGTTGTTGCCAACGGTAACGCCGCCGCCCGTTAGCAGCCGTTACCGCGAATCCCCGCCCCTCCAAGCCTGATCTTTAACGCCCCCGTCACGGCGCCGTCACCCGCCCTCTCCTATCGCTTCTGCCCCTTTCTCCATATATAATATTATTTTAATTCCCCCTCTTCTCTCTCTGCCCTTTTGCTTCAACGGGCGAGGTTTCCTTTCGAACGCCTGCGCGACTTGGGAGTTCCGCGAGCTTCCTTCGATTCGAGGGTTTCGTATCCGATCTCGATCTCGATCTCTTCTGCCGCCCCTCGCCGCTCCTCGTCCCGTGAAGGTGATTGATTCCGTGATCTCTCTCCGTCCTTTTGCGCCACTGATTAAGAGATCTTCGGTTCTTGGATTCCGTTCGAATTGCTCTGGATCAATCCTTTTCTGGGGGTTTTGTCGATCTTTCTCGGTCTCGGTCTCCTTTTTCTTGGCCTCCGACACCTGTCTTTGAGGCGATTGCCGCTGTTGCTGCTGGTTTCTGATTGCGGGATCTATTGTTACTTGGGTTCGGCCGTTGGTATTGTTGATGATGCTGTGTTTTGATATGATCCTTTTTGGGTTTAGGGTATATCTTTGGGGCATGGGAGATGGTGGATTGTTGGCCGTCGCGACGATGAAGGTTGAGCAAAGTTGTGTGGAGAACAAGCAATCCGCGGCCGCCTCGAGCTCGTCCCTCTCCGAAGGAAGTTATGGGCTATCTAGGATGTCGCCCGCTGTTTCTAGCCCGCGAACATCTTCACCATCCAAGAGGTTTGTTGAATTTCAATTTGGATGCTTACTATTATACTGCTTAAAGGACGGATTTATACCTATATTCCCATTGGAATTTGAGTTGATTGTCTAAGACGAGCGATTGGTTTTTGAGCTAATGGGAGTTGTTGCATATTTGTTTGTGTTCAATTGTTAGAGCATGCGGAGAATGTAGCTTGGGTCAGCTAATCATTGTATAGTTTTGTTCTTTTTCACTTTTTATCCGGACGTTGTATCAATTCTTTAGAGAAACCGTTGTTAAATATAAATTGAGTTTATCATAGCAGAAATCCTATATAAAATGGTACCAGAATATGTCAAGATTTTAGTGCTCTTCATTCTTGATGATATCACAATTCAGAATAAACCCTAACATTCTTTTGAAGCAACTACCTTAATGAAATGATATGTTTAATCACTATGCTTTCCTTGGCTAAGGACCTAATCGACTTCTCAAAACAATAACAGTAGGAATCAGATTCGTGATGCAAGATTCCATTTAAACTAAAAATGGGAATACAGAAACTGAAAATTACAAGAGCAGTATAAAAGGAGCAATACTTGAAAAGGTTTGGACCCTTGAAATAGCACTTCTACAATGTGCAAAACTAACCATATCTTATCATGATAAGAAAGAGTGGACGAGAAGGAAAGTAAGTGAAGAAGACCAGAGAAAAGGAGAAGAGATGAGTATATGATAGAGAGGAGAATAGAAAAGAAGGTAAAGAAAAGAGAAAAAGAAAGTGAAAAGAAAAGAATAAAAATATTTCAATTTTGACTTTAAAAATAGTTTGTCCTATTTTTAGATTTGAAATAGTATTATAAATAATCACATATTTCATCATATATATAATGTTGTTTTACAATTTAAAATCTGTAAATATATAATTGTTTTAGGTCGTATCAGGGATATTATAAATATACAAATCCATGCCAATATATTGACATGCCATTATCTTGAATTTGGGCTTTTTAAGTTTACCCATGTATCCTAAATTATGTCATAAATCATGCTGACATTGGGATTTGTGTGACACCGGAAATTTTTATCAAAGTTTAAACAACATAGATCTGCAATCTTGGCCTGTTTAGTGTGATTCATGATTTTATTGCCTTATATCGTGGTGTTACAATGATTTTTGTAGAAACTTAGTTGTTACAACCAGAATAGTATATTTCTGGGCAATGTAAATTGTGTTGTTTCCAGGTGCTTGTTATATGTAGACTATGGGAAGATGGTAGAGAACAAAAATGATGTGGTCACTTAATGCATGCATAAGCAAATTTGAAAGTTGAAAGCATTTCAGCATTAATTATAAGGGCAATGAATGTAGTGATTGGATCGAGTAACTTTTTCCTTTTAATTTTGCAGCTAGTTGTATTGATGATTTTTTTTTTGTTAGTTTGTGCTTTAACTATCCACATACTTATCTTTTGATTGGGACATATCTCTAGGATATTGGATTAAAAGTCATTACATGTTGAGACCTGTGGGTGTTGTAAGCCCTATGAGGTTTATCTAGTTCTTAGGAGGAAAGTCCATAATTCCTCAAAATGGGTAAATCTGCTTGTGACATTCATAGCCTATTATATCATTTAGTAAAATTTCTTCAAATGAAAAGTTTGCTAGAAGAACAAAAGCATCAGTTATGGTTTGTGATATATACTTCTAGATGTAATCCATAACATCTTGTATTTTGGGAAGGGAATTGAATAGGCAATAGCTATTTATCCAGTGACCAAGTGCACTGAGTTTATATGCGAGGACTGGATATTGTTTCTTTAAAAGATTTTATTCTTGTTCTATACTTCTTTCTTTTGTTGGGAAATTGCAAATTTTTTGATGTATTGGGCTCATTTGGATGATTTAATCTTCAAGAAGTATGGTTGTGCCTTTTTCGTTACACTAGTTACGAGTTGTATTTTTGAAAATTTGTGTACTAACTTCCTTTTATTATAATTGTTCTTTATGTCATATCTAGGAGAATTAGTGGTCCAATAAGGCGAGCTAAGGGTGGTTGGACACCACAAGAGGTATTTGGTTTATCATTATTCTCAAGTTCACGATGTTTGTGTTCATTAAGAACTATAGGCTATCTATGATGTCAATTAAATATTTTTAGAATTATCATCTTATTTGGGCTTATCAAGTCACATTCTCTACCATGCAATCTACCATTCTCCAAAAATATGAAATTACCAGTCATTCCATTTTTTTTCATTCCGAACCCAGTTGGGTATATGTAACTACTTGAGGCTGTCACCCAATAACTCTTGCTAGTACTGTGTATTACCAGTGTCTCATGGATAATGACATGTCTATCACAGTCAAAGCTTATATCTGTCTGATTAGGCCTGGACACTAAAGTAATAAGGTATACTGAGGAGAGAGAATTTGCTAAGACATTATATGAGTCACATGTTGTTTCATATTACAAACACAATATTGTGATGCAAGCCTATAAAAAGCTTTTTAAATGAAAATGGATCCAATGTAATTACATCTCTAACTTTCATTTTGAAATATCAGCAAAATCTTGGGTTAGTTTTAAAATTGTCTAGCTTTGGAGGATTTTTTTTAACATTCTTCTTTTCTTTCTGGAAAGTTGAAGAACATCAGACCAAAAAGTATTAGCTTGAGGGAAGGTCCTCATTTCTCCAAAATTCTAAAAGGTTTTCTAAGAAGCAGAGAATTCAATATAGTAGTATTGTAGTGCTCGAGTTTTGTATCAACTGTGGCTCCTTCATTGTCCTTGGCTTAAACTTTTAACTTTGATCTAGGTGTTTTTGCATGATTACTAATTTACTGAACACATGAAAGAATTCTTTTTCGTTTTTCTCATGGTACCTTTTCAAATTTTCCTAATTTCAATTTACATTGTGTAGGATGAAACATTAAGGAAAGCTGTTGAAGCTTACAAGGGAAGAAGTTGGAAGAAAATAGGTAATGTGATTTCTTGCTACTGCATATTCATTATGAGCCCTGGACCAAGATACCCTTGTTAGTTTCATTTGTCTACATTTTTCCAAGTATGCTTTGTAGTTTGTAGTGTGTACTTTCACGTGATAGATGCATATAATATTATGTGGATGAGCCTTGGCATCATAGTGAAATTGTTTTACTGCATATAATATTATGTGCATGAGCCTTGGCATCATAGTGAAATTGCTTTACTGCAACCTGGGTGATCAGGTTCAAGTAAAAAAAAAATACTCTTTGCTTGCAACTGTAAAGCAACATATATTGACCCTCCCCAAAACCCCACATTGATGGAAGGCTAATGCATCGACCATCCTTTTTTTACATTTATGCATATCATGAATGATATCAACTGTGACCGGAAAAAGTTTGCAGAATTTTAAGAGAATCGGGAGCACGAAGTCCAAGTCAAAATTAACTTGGCAGGTTGCATTTGCATTTATTAGTCAATGGCTGATATATTTTGAGTATATAGCAACGACAAGCAGTTAGTTGGGAGTTACGGCAGCAAAATAGGGAAGAAACTAGATGCAAAGGGAGCACAAATGCTCGAATATTTTTAAGAGAAACATTTTTTTTGTGGGAATCACAGCATTACAAGTTTATCTTGAAAGAATTATATAAGATGGCTCTTTAAAAATTTTGAAACATGCAAATCTAGACAGCAAGTAGCAACTAGGAAATATTACTTGGTGCTTATACGATTTTGGATAGTATACTAACCTACACTATCACTAAACAAAATTCAGTATACCGAGCAATCATCTTATGCCTCTTGCGACTTCTAAAACATTATGTGCTATCTCTTGTCCAGGCTTCTATTTACAGTTTGTGCAAAATCATCTTGCATGGTGAATCCAATTTATTTTTGTATATTACAATTGTTGCAAAATCCTTTCGGCTTTAGTGATTTTAAATATATAAAGCCTTAGGATCCTGAAGAACAATCTGCAACTTTTAAATGAAGTTATTGCAAACTTCCTCTAGTATTGATGTCATATGTTAATGTCTGTCTGTGCAGCTGAATTTTTTCCAGATAGAACAGAAGTTCAATGTCTTCATCGGTGGCAGAAGGTTCTCAATCCTGAACTTATTAAAGGTCCATGGACACCAGAGGTTTGATGCAAAGTTCTTTCCTTAATATGGTGTAGCTTTAGAAAAAAATAATACTTTATTTTTTATTATCATATCTCCTTGCGATTACAGGAAGATGAGAAAATCATTAGTCTTGTAGCGAAGTATGGGCCTAAAAAATGGTCTATCATTGCAAAATCACTTCCTGGTCGAATTGGGAAACAATGTCGGGAGAGGTAAATTCGAATTGTCTGCTTTGTTGCTACTAAAAGGATAGCTAATAATTTGTTTTGAGAAATTTATACAGTATATTACTTTGTAGTGCTTTCTCCCTTTGAGCCTTTGGTATAATAAAGTTTGAGGAGGATGAGATAACCAAAACAAGGTGTGTGTGTGGACTTTGGAGTTTACAACTGGCCCCTAGCTATCTGTTTAAAGTTTCTGTTGGCAGGGACTATTGCATTACAGCACAGGGGGAAATTGATACTGTTTTGACCTGGCACAATTGTTTACCATGTTGGATGGCACATGCTAAAAAGTTGGTTTAGCCATATTTTGCCACCTCCTTTACAGGTTGATATGAGGTGTCCTGTACCTTCTGCATGTTACATTTTGATCTGAGCCGACAGGTGCCATTCAGCACAACAATTCTTGCACGTCAGTGACATTCACGAGGACTTTTCCTATAAATGTTTATGATTTTTTCTTGATGGGATGTTTCTATAAATGTTAAGAATTTTTACATAAAATTAAAGGTTTTTTAAAAATTAAATGTGTCGAGAAAAATTAAAAGATATTTTCACGTAAAATGTTAAGAATTATGTGAGCTTCAGCTTGACAGATATATGTACTTGAGTTAAAAGAAAAAGAGGTAAATTAGTTTTACTTATCATCTAACTTGGTAATAATGTGATGACACTAATAGAAGAAAGAGTTCTGAAGGAATTACATTTTCTTTCTCTGCCTTCTTATTAAGATTATTGTTTGCCCATTTGTCACTGTAGCAAAAGAGACAACAAGTATTATTTTTAAATAATTCATAATGTCAGTTGAGTCCATTTGCATATATGGGACAAAGTCATTTCCATCATTCCATGTTCTCTCGGAATATATTAGTCAATACTTCTTGCAGTTTGCAGTCTTAACTTCGATTACTACATCTCTTTAACTTTTTAGTACATCTTGCAATGGATCTTCAGTTGACTAAATCGATTTTGGGGCAGCAAGTTATCGAGATGATTTAATATGATTTCAATATGTTATCCTTACATAGATACACTTTGATTGGCTTTTAGTGATATACTGGGATATGGTTTCTTGTTTTGCTTCAATTATGATTGATGAGCCTTTTCTCTTCCATTTTCGGTCAAACTTCTAATTTATCAGAGAGAATCATTTTTATGGACTCAACACCCAGTGAGGACCAATATCTTGTTACACCAACTTTTGTATGTATCTTTAATTTGATTGGATTCTTTATGCCGCCAAAAGCACTAATTAATATATAAACAAATGCACTTTTATGTTTTTTGATAACAATTACCTAAGGTCTCTAAGTTCTTTAGGATGTACCTTATGGTTTAATATTCTTCTGAAGAAACATCGTTTGACTTTTATAGGTGGCATAATCATTTGGATCCTACCATAAAGAAAGATGCTTGGACTGTAGAGGAGGAACTTGCACTCATGAATGCCCATCGTGTACATGGAAATAAATGGGCAGAAATTGCAAAGGTTTTACCTGGAAGGTATTGACTCTCATCTAACATGTTTATGTTTTACTAAGGTGCATTAAAGTTAATTTTAAAAATCTCAGTAACTGCATTTTTTTTCCCTTTATAGTGCTTTGTCATGTTTATAAAGTATCATTATGTTGCTTAAAAAGTTATTAAACATAGAATGCTTGAGGGAATGTATTTCTGTGTTGGTCTAGTTGGCTTCTACCAACCAGCACATATTGTGCAAACAATAGAGAGTAGTAGTGCATAGGGCAACTAACGTATTATCAAGTGTCCGTTGGAAGTTAAATGACATTGAGTGAGTGTGCATAGAAATGTCCCCCATATCATTGTGTACTACTATAAGATCATGAAGTGACTATGCCATCAATTTCCACAACTGAAAACCCATGTCTTGCCATCAGAAAAGACTACCAAGGTAGAGAAGCCTTATGTGGCTAATAGGATAATTAAAGTAAATTACTAATCTGATAACTTGTATTTGACACATATACATGGCCAAATATGTTCAAATCAAAGTTATTAGTAGATAATATACCATATGGCATATGCATATAGCATCAATCATCTTAAATTTCATAATACACTGTCAATTACTGGTTCTAAATTCAAAACATGTTGCGGAAGTTTATGGAGTTTAATCGATTACATTACATAATGCAACTGCTATTGTGTATTACCTTTGTTGTAACAGTGCTTTTATTGTCTTTTGATCGCGTCGAGGGTATGTTATATTTGTAAGCTATTATCTATGGGCACTTATGCTGTTTCCGACAGACATCTTCGTTCTGTTTCTGGACTTCGTATAAGAGAATGCAACTTTCAACTAATATCAACTGATTGTATAGTTACTTGCCCTCTTAAGTAGAGCCTCGTCTATGTCCTTCATTTGCTAGTGTAATTTTCTAATCTTTCGCTGTGGTTAGGACGGACAATTCAATAAAAAATCACTGGAATAGTTCCTTGAAGAAGAAGTTAGATTTATTCTTGGTTACTGGTAAGCTGCCACCAGTTCCAAAACCTGAAACACATGGGGGTTCAAAGGACATGGCAAATTCAGATAGTGGACGTTCACTTCGTAGTTCAAGCGATGGCTCAGACATAATTACCAGAGCCTTTTCTGGATCAGCCAGCTCCATGGATTCTGGTCTGCCTGCTAAACCATGTAAATTGGAAGACCAAAAGAGTTGGTTGGCATTGTCAACAGTTCAAGATTCTAACAGAGAAGCCTTAGCAAATTTGACAGTGAGAGGAGTTAATGATCCAGATACTGGCTACAGTATGCGTGATCCAATGTCTGATGTCTGTCCTAGATCTGATCCTGGAACTGAATTGGCAGAATGCAGCAATACTGGTGAGAACGATCAACTGGATGATACATCTCAGCCAGCATTAGCATTGCCTTCAGAATCACCTCATGGTTGTCTTTCTGCAGCCTCTACTCTGTTAACCACGTATGATTCTATGCAGCAATCATACTGCTCAGCAATTGTGACATCACCAAGTGGTTATCTGACTCCCTCCTCCGTGACTGGGAAGAATCCAGTTCAAAGTGTTGAATCCATATTAAAAAGCGCAGCTAGAAGTTTCCCAAATACTCCCTCTATTTTCAGGAGGCGAAAAAGGGATGCAGAAATGAGCCATGCTTCTGGTAGTAGTCCTTCACAGATGGATAGGATAAAATTTCTAGACAGTTCTGATTCTGCAGAAGGAAAGAGTAGACACAACTCAGAGGCAACCAACTCGTTGTTGTCAAAATTCAATTCAAGTCCTTGTGACAGAGGAGCCATATTATACAATGGAAAGAGCTTTAATGAATCTCCTCCATACAGGTTGAGGTCAAAAAGAACTGCGATTATAAAATCTGTGGAGAAACAGCTTGATTTTACATTGGAGAAAAATGAATGTAATGGTAATGTCATTCCGCAGAGCTTGGCTATGCACAGTAGTTCCCATAGTTCCAGCACCATCATTCCGACCATACAGGAGAGGGAACTAACTGAGCGTCCTATTGTGTTGTAAAGTGCAAAAATATAGAAAAATTCGAAGTTGGCCACAACCTCATACGTCAGTTGTAAGTACTTATGACCTTGCTTCTTTTTTTTTTCCCCAATTGATGCATGATTTGGTTCATACAAGTAGTTCTGTTTAGAGAGAGATTTCACCTAGGAGGCGGCTTGGCCTAGTTTTTATAGTGCTCAAATTTTGGTATCTATATTCCACAATGATACCATACTGGAAACAACCCCCTTTAAAATTATGAAATCATGTTTGCTTAACATATTCATTGTGGATATTATGAATTTGTATGCTATCAATTACGATGATGACCTCTGCTACTAAGATCCTTTTGAAGCTATTGTAGCTGTCACCTTGTTTGCATCTTCCTTACAACTGAACCGAATCTGGTTCTCTGTTTAATACAACTTAGCTACTGACTTGTTTCTTCTTTCTTCTGTTTGTCCATGTAGGTACAAGTCTTACTTGGATCAGGAAGGTCAAAGACCTGAAAAGTCTTTCCCGCTGTAGATCCAAAATAAAAAATCTAGTAGCAAATTTAGCTGTAGCTCCAATTAACAAACTGATGGCGAGAAAACCATGGAAGCCCGCATTGTTATCTCATTGGAAATGTGCAGAGTACAGGTAATTCTTCGCTTTGCTCCAGATGTTAGGGCATCCATAATTGTACATAAACCCCGTTCAAATAATTGTTTTAGCTACTTGCTGTGGAATAAGAGCTTGCTTGTCTTAGCTCATTTCTTCCCTCCCATCAACTCCTAACCTTCACACTGTTTACGATGCCTGCCAAGAAGAGAATAGAAGATACATGCAAAGAAATTCATGTCCTCTTGCTTTATACCTTGTGTTTGCTGTGTTTTAAAAACCATACGCATCACATGCCACCCACCACACTACTACTCTAAAACAGTCAGCAAAGAAAGTATGCTTTTAGTCTGTCTCCTGCCCTTTTGTTTTTTTGCGTGTCTGTTCTTTCGCAAGTTTGGAAATAGCGTATCTGCTCCTCAAGATTTTCATTTTGTATATATTCCTCTAAAATGTTTAGATCTTTCAGTATATGCCACTCCATACATCAACAATTCATAGAAACTACACACGAGTGTTCAAACTTATATTCTTTGAGCAGAACTGCAAGACTGACATATTCCGCTGTATCATAAAGAAAGCAAGTCTTTTGGGGGGGGGGGGGAATAAAAAAAGATCATAACAAGCATTGGAACGTAGCAACAGACGATTCCAAGACATCGATATCAGCAACTGCGGGCTACAACCTTTTCTTTATCCTTCTGCAGCCACTTCAGCCGCCGCTGCTACAAACTAATATATATGTTTATGTTCTATAGTCTCTGTCGTCGCTTAGAGAAACGCACCACCAAAGCCACGGTAAAAAAAAAGGACTCGCAGTCACACACAAGCACGCCTCTCTGCACTCATATCTCTACCACACACACACCACCAAATTCAAAAAGCTTGGCGCGGAGATCACGGATTAGTGATTACTACTTGTGAGGCGGGAAGGAGTTTGAGCTTGGAGATCAGGCTCGGTAGTTCTTGCCCTCGAAGGTCTGGCCGAACTGCCAGTTGGAGGGGACGATGTTCCAGGAGGTGGAGGTGCGGCGGTCGCTGCCGGTGACGCGGAAGGAGAGCGGCTGGCCGACGAGGACAGCGTTCGACTGCCAGTTCTGACCCCAGTTCCGGGACATGGGCATCCACCCGGTGCGGGAGCCCTTGACGCTGGCGCGGACTATGTCACCGGCGCCCGCCACGTTGGTGATCAGCACCAGGTTGAAGTACTGGAACCCGTTGATGGTGAACCGGATCCCTCCCGACCTCCTGCACGGCACCCTGCGGCCCCGGACATATCAGCAAACACATGGCGACCAATTCCGGATTGTCGCTATTTGAGTACAAAAATTTAGATAGATCAAGAAAACGGAGACAAGAGAGAGAAGCCAAGATGGATCACACGAAACGTATGCGATTAAAGCGATTTCGAAGACATCATAAACGGATGACCGATCACTAAAAACGCATGGTATAACTGACAGTCTCAGAGATCCACAAAAGCGCGGATGTCGATGACGCTGATCGCGTCTTCGTGCTCATCTCAAAGCGCGACAAACGCCGATCTGAGATCGTGGAGAGGAGGGCCGTCGGGGTACATACCTTCGGTATGAGACGGGGACGATGCCGGCGCGGTACTCGGCGATCTTGAGGAACATGGGCATGGAGAGGTCGAAGTGGGGGCGAGGCGGGTTGCACCACCCACCGTTATCGGGGGCGAGCGCGTAGTTTGGCGGGCAGAAGTTGGTAGCCGTGATGAAGATGGAGGGGCTCCCGGGGTGGCACCACCGCGGATCATCCGCGCACTTGATCTCGAAGCACGCCCCGCAGCTCTGCCCCTCGTCGAACAGCGCCGTGCTCAGCGCCGCCGTCTCCACCCCGTACCCCTGGCTGTACAGGTTCCCGTACCCACACGCTCCTCCTGCAAATCACCAAATCCCATCAAATTCCGCCTCCTCCGAGGTGCAACGCGACGGATCGGCCACCGGTAGAGGAATGCGGCTTACCCATGGTCCCGGACGCGTCGCTGCCGCCGTAGAATGTGGCATGGGCGCTCTGCCACTGGCCCCCAGTGTAGACGCCAGGAATGCGCGCAGCCGCCGGGGCAAGAAGGGCCAGTAGGGAGGCAACAGAGATGAAGGCGGCCAACGCCATTTGCTCCTCTCTCACTCGCGATCAAGGGTTTGGAGGATGGGGATGTGGAGGGAGGCAAGCGTGGGGTATTTGTAGGCTCGAGCAGAGGAGGTGTGAGTGTGAGATCAAACGATGGCACTCGGGAGTCTTTTCTGCTAAGATTAAAGGATTGGGGGCTCCACCGCACCACTTTCCCATCATAGCTGTGTCTGCAACGTGGTCCGTACGATGAGATACCAACGGCTGAGATTTTATCGGGGCGAGCCACGGGTAAGTAACGTTGCGTCGCGGTGAAGTGGGAAATCGGAGGGGCACTGTAATCGTACTCGGATCGCTTCCCTCGCAAGTTGTGCCGCCACCGACGGTTCTGATTAGACGACCTTTTATCCACGCTTTTTGACCTTTTTTTATTTTCGTAAAAGAAAATAAATAAAATAGGGGGGAATAATTTTCCTTCGAATCAAAATTCGGGGATTTGGCGGAGAGAAGCAGTCACCCGACGTTCGATTACCCGGAAATTAGCACCCGTCTGGGCTAGTCTTTCGCTTTGGTTCACATCTCACCCACCGAACTCGTGATTTTGCGGTGGGCCCATCGCGTATTGGACGGTCCAGATTTTGCGCGCCAGTCAACCTCGAGCGGGACCTACATCGTCCCATCCTTCCACGTGGACGACGGTGTCCGTCGGTCGTTAAGAACCAACTTTACTTATTATTATTATTACCGCATAAGAAAAGGAGACTGAAATAAGTCGCCTTACGCCAGAGACCGTCAGCCCACGAACTATCTGTCTTGTGATTGGATTAATTTTACGGACGTGGGTGGGGTTAAGCTAAGGGCCAATAACAGTACTGGTAGAAAAGGAGGGGGAGTCGTGAGAGAGGGTAGATGGGAGAGGCGCAAGTCGAGGGTGCGCAGCGGGGGGAATGGATGGGTAGCTGGGAAGAGGGAGGAGGGTGACTAGCCGTTGGGGCGTCGCTGTCGTGCGGGACCGAGCCACGTGGCTTTCCTCGTGTGGGGTCAACTTGGGCGGGTGGTTGTGGTGGGGAATCGAAGACGAGCAGGTTTATTTTCACGGGAACCCGTCCCATCGGGCGCTAACGTTCGCCGTGAACGGCGTGAATTCCCGCCACCTGGAAAATGCTTTTGGCCGTGTTTAGTTTTCACCCAGTTGGATTCCTGGCTCGCGATTTGAGGCAGCGATGACACCCCGCCGGGAAGTCGTACGCCTCCGGTCACAAGGCATGTCGGTGAGGCGGCATAGGGCACAAATAATATCGATCTGTTTGAGATTCGTGCCGGAACTGATGTGCTTCGTAGCACGCCTAGCTAACCATTATCTTGCTGGAAGTGATACGGTGTTAGGTGATCACTTGGAGCACGCATTAATGTTGTTAGGTGAGTTAGGAGTTACCTAACTGAGGGGGGTTGGGTTCACATTGACATTTCTTCCAGAGCTTCGGTTTCCATAGTTTTATTGTACGCCTCAGATTTTGTTATATTATCTTTTTATGGTTTCACTGATTGCAAGGTTAGACGTTTGGCTTGTTGGTCTTTAACGTATCGAACATGCTGGTAAGATGATAGAGCTTTACTTGTTTATTGGGGGAAAGTCGATGATGGAAGCGGACAGCATCACAACAGCTGAATCATCTCGCCCCCTGTTGCGGTACAAAGCCACCAACTACAGAGATTAGAATAACATGATGCCATGATTGATAACGATGCATTCGATCAACCGATAGATTTGCCTTGGTACGATGTATCCTCCTCTAATGATGATGAAGTCAAAAAGTCGAGAACGGAAAGAGGAAAAAATCACCCTAGTAATTCCCTTGTTAGTTCAGACTGACCAAACACAACGGCCCCTCTCTCTCTCTCTCTCTCTCTATTAAAAATTCAGATCTGTAATGACATATTAAAAATCCTAAAATCTTCATCGGCTAAACTAACCAACACCTTCAAAGTTTATCATATGAAATTTGGAACGTTGAACCTTTCATATTAAACATACTATTCTTAACACAATTAAGATGAGGATCAATTTCTAAGACCACTATAACATGTAATTATTATTGATCAATTTCAGTAATTAAAGTATCAGTAATTCCTTAATTACTTAATTACCATGATACTACATGCAGGTTACTATTCGATTTTCCAAATCATTCAGATTAAAAGCATCTCCATGTCCCCCACGGGCTCAGAACAAAGCCATAAACACAATTAGATTCCAACACCATACCCACAAAAAAAAAAACAAAACAAAACAAAACAAAAGTTGTCTAATATTGTTTCCACAAATAAATAATCTGAAGGCTGAAGCTTTAACTATCTGAGAAACCACCTCCTCCCAAAAGGTCTTGATTTATCATGTATAAAATCCTAATTTACTGCAAATTAGAAAACCACATACACACATATATATATATGAGCCAAAGGATGAGAAAATTCCCATCCATTTGCTCTTTTATCATCCGGGGAGCAATATATTCGTAATGGTGCAGCAATACAGGAAGAAGCTCCTGGAGATATTAAATTGTGTACTTGCAGTTGAGAGAAGATTTATATATAATGGGTACGAATACATGGAGAGATGGTAAGATGAGATGGTTGCTTCGGCCATCACGTTGCTTCCGTTGATGGTCATAAATGGTAGAAATCAAGAGATATCAGGGATGGAAGGAAAAAATGGGTAGAAGGTGTTGTTCAAGGCTATGGTAGGGCATGGGAAAGAAGATGATTTAACAAAAGTAATGTTGCTGTCAACCAGAGAGAAACTAAGACCTGTCACCCAAATAGCACACTGGTGATGTATTTTTCTTAATACTACTAAAACTTATTTGTTGCCGACAAACAATCACCGATCGCTAGTTAGAGGTACTTGACCATGCCACGGCCTTCAACACTGAGTTTTGAAGCCTGCAGTTGTTTCTTTTTTGGTGCCTTTAACTGCTGCAACCTCTTGTTCATCTGCATTGTGAACAAAACGTGTCAATAACAAATCAATCTATATACCTTGCTTGGTCAAAGTAGAGACAGAAACAGTGATATTTTTCATTAGTGTTTTGTATCTCAGAAGTTTGAAGCACCGATTTGTTTCTGAAATGACCTTAGGTTCACAAAAGAATGAACATTATGCAAAACTGTCATTTGAATTTGGGGAAACAAACTAATGCAGACTTCCAGAACAATCTCTTATTTAACATAAGCTTATCAAAAACAAATGTCTGCTAGACATGCTAATCAGCATCAACTTAAGAATATGTAAAATGAGAACTGATTCATGGTTCTACGTGCTGAAGGCACAAGAATTTCCTCAATAGTTGTTCTCTGAAAGGTTTAAAACAAGGATCGGACATATATATACCAACAGTTATGGCTCAGTAGTGGACGATATGACTCCATATCAGTCGGTTATTAATGTTTTTTCTAATTTTTTGATGGAATGGAATGATACAGGTCACTGCTGAAGATGTTGCTTACTTGGACCAAGTGAAGCATTTTGGAAATAGAGGCATCAAAGTGGCAGAAGCAACAAGTGACATCTATGCGTACTAATGCAATCAAGGTTCTGCCCTGGTCCGAAACTAAGCACAATATTTAAGTTATAAAATCATCCACCGTTGAAATTAAACCAGTACAAAAACATCATGGAACCAGTCGCACGCTCAAAAGTAGTAAAAAAAACACAAACAGACACTAAGCTCAATTGTTTCAAGTAAAAAATTAAAATGTAAAATATATCTATGATGATAATTCTGTAAGGAAGGTTGACACTAACACCATCCACATGTTTCAGAAACTAAAATACTAACCTTCAACCTACGCTGATCTTGTACAACTTGTTTTGCCCGTGCCCTAACTTCTTCAGGGTCAACCTTGGACTGAGGGCGCACAACAAAATCCAGAGGCAATGCTTCAGGTCTGGAAGCATGTTGCCTAGCAGCTGCATTGCCAGATTTTCGACCCCTGCATTCACATATAGAACATTTTAAAGAACATACAGAACAGCTTTAGTTTGTAATCCAATCCGACATGAACAGAAAAAAATGCTTCAACCACTAATGAATTGTATAGCATTCAACAACCGATTATCTTACTGTGAAAATTCAGCCAGATCAACATCATCATCTCGAGATTGCAATCCAGTAGCTTTAGCCACTTGCCTTAGTGATCAAACATAAAAAAAAAACACAAGTTAGGGAATGACCAATCAAGATCACAAAATAAAATGCACTAGTGCTAAAACAATAGAAAAGACATCCTAGAGAAGTGTGGGAATTACTTCTGAGATGACGGTCTCCTGTATGGAGCTCTCTCATCTTCAAAGCTTCTCATATCCTCAAATCTAGTACTCTTGTTAAATATTGGTCGACTCTGCCCCAATAGTTAAAATGTTAGTTTTAAGAAACTAGATCAAAAACAACTTCAAGATAGTCAAAATTAACTAAAAGACAAACAGCCTTGAAGCCACACCAGACCATATAGCTCAGTACCAATCAGTATTCATTTTCTTATTATTTTTCACTGATACTGGTATAGGTACGTAAACATCTAGGAATACAGGCACCCACCAGTCTGACAAGTTGTCGAAACTGGTATTAGACCAGTATTTAAAAAAACATTGCTTGATGCAGTAAATGATCCAAGTGAAAGGATATATGCTTAAGAAAAATGACTGCATGTTACTTGTATAGAGATTTATTACCCATTTATCAACTAACTCTTTAGCAAGTTTTCTGTTTGATGTTGTCTCTTCATCTGATTTTGATAAGAACATAATCACCTGCATGCAAATATATGAAATCATTCTGATGCTTGCATAAGTATTTAAGAGACAACAATTGCCAGAACAAAATTTGTGTTTCACCTTGCCAAGACCACTCTTTTTCAGTTGTTCTCTCCTGTCATATTGCTCAAGGTCAATTGGGAACTGCATCACAGAAGTAATTTGTCATACACAACTGAGTATTCAAATATGAAAAAGGACTAGTTATATCATGCACCAGCACAGAATTCCACATTGCTAAAACCAATTCAATGATTCTGAAATCTTGATGATTGTCATAGTAGAAAAAATGATCATATTTGTACAAAAAAAAATTTCATCAGAAATATGGAATACTTTCACACATACATCTGAAAGAAGTTTTAGTATGGCTGTTCGAATATTCATATTGGGCAAACTTCCATCAGGTAGGGGTTCAAGCCAATTCTTTAGAAGAGTTAATACACCATGATCCAAGAATTCTTGCTGAAGCTTCTTCCTGCATATAAAATATAAACTCCAAGATGTCAGATCTAGAAACTCCAAGATCTGAGAACAAACAGATTATCCAGTATTAAAACGCATGTGTTCCAAACTTCCTACTGCAGAAGTATGATGGCTCAAATGACCTAACTCTCTTTCTTGCCCAATAAGATATTCTTACTTTGAGAGAACCTCTATAAGCAACGGCAGTTTCCTGAGTTTGTTAATGGCTGGTTTATTTTGCCTGTTTAATTCAGCATCTTCTTCAGCTGTAACTTCTAACTCTGCCATAAGATGCTCAACTATCAAAGCAATTTCAGCAGGCGACTTCTCATTTTTCTTCTTTTTCTTTCCTCCCTTGAAGAGTTGTTTGATTTCATCATCTTCTTCACCCTCTTCTGCCTACAAGGACAAAAGTGATTGAAAATTCCGAACCAAAAGTGCTATCAGTTCCAAATTGACTTGACTGCATCAATGAAAAATAATAATAAATTATAGGTAGGTCACACAACAGTGTCATGCAAGCAACAGAAACAAAAATGAATAGTTGCAATGTATCAATTGTGCTATGCCCACTGAACTAGGCACATTTGCAAGAAAAAAGAAAAGGCCAGCCAAGAAAGGCACTTTGCATCATGAGTGGCATGTGACAAGGTACATATCATGCCAATGGACAGCTAGCACAAGAGGCACACACCACCTAAAACAGTAAGCTGAAGGAAACAAAAATGTAATCAAGTTTAAAAACAACCTAGCAACTCCCTATGATTGATGGCATAGATAATATTATAGTTGTCAAATAAATTACGCAACCCTAGGTGATGCGCCAATTATAGAGCCTAGGCTGTAACCCAGGCTCATAGGTAATAACACAAGCACCAATTTTTAGAAGAAGTCATTCCAACATTTTTTGAATTAGCAAATAAATAATGTGATAGTTACATACTCTTATAAAAAATTTAACATCAAAATATATCTCAGGCTCTGTAGTAGTGTATTTAGAAGACAACTCATAAATTAGACTCGAAGAGAATAAGAAACTGAATATAAAGAATGTGTAGATATATTAAAATAACATACATGGACATATATATATATATATATATATATATATGTATATGTCCATGTATGTTATATAATGGTTTATAAGAACAACGCCTAGGTACGCGAGCAAGTGCCTATGACAACACTATATAATACATCCTTACAACATTATGCATACTAATGAATAAGCAACTAAAAGACTATAAGCATGGATGCTGTTTGGACAGTTCAACAATTAAATCTTATGAGCCAAGCTAAAAGTAACAAAAGCAAAATTTGCCTATAAAAGCAATGTAGGACACTAACCTGAGGTGCATCCCCAGCAAAAGCAGGCTCATTGTCACTTCCATAACGATCTGCGGCATCTACACCACTATCATCGATGAAGTTATCATCATCCACTGTTCTTACGCCTTCTTGGTCATCCTTATTCATATGCAAGGGCAAAAGTGAATATCAAGAAAACATACAATACCAGCCATAATTACAAAAGTACACATCATGATACATTAAAAAATGGATCAACTTGTCCACATGATTAGTGTGGGTTCTCAAAAGGTGCATGAAGTGTTAAACCATCAGAATCAGAAAACCTCCTGCTAAAAACAAACAAAAACATTAAAACAATAGACTATGTGTTGCCATCGGCACTTCACACACAAGTCTTAACTGATACCCAGAAATGTCAATCAAACAATTAAGTTTTGATACAAAAAGATGTAACAAATTACATTAACTTTGGGATGCTGTCCATGTATGTCATCCCTTGTCCATTTATCTTCCAATTTCAGAGGCCTCTAACCCCATGCTCTCTCCTCAGTTTTCTCCTCCAATAATGCCAGCAGCATTCAAACAGCCAACCAATCACATGTCATGCCAGCACAGGACAAGTATGGAGCATAGATTTAAATCCAGCATTCAATTATCCTTGTCTCTGACTAATCAATCCTTGGTTCAGTTGGGTGTTTGTCTCTTAAAGCAGATATATGCAAGGAAGTGCACAGGGAGGCTATGTGATGTATTGTTTTGAAGAGTCAATTCTGGCACATTTTAAATTAATTTCGCCTAAAGTATCATATCAGTCTTAACTATCTAAAAATGTATTCTAAAAAAATGGAAATGCTCCAAAAGCATTTAAAAAAATGAAATTGATACTTCAAATAAAAAAAATACCTTCATATTTCATATTTAACATAAAGATCTTACACTACTGACTTTTAAAAGTGTATACAGAAGTTGATGCTAAAATGATATAGTGAAAAAAAAAAGATTGTCAAGACAAGTAGTAAACTACATAAAATTGATACTAGACCTCAAGAGCTCAACAAACTACATTAAATTGCTAAAAGTCACTCGGTAACCATTACAACTATTGAAATTTCGAATAGCATAAAAGTGTAGTATCATTAATTCATTATATAACTTCACAGCACTATGCTGTAAAAAATGCAACTTATGTGATAGTATGAGTTAAGTTACATCATGGTTGTCAATATAAGTGACCAGCATCAAAGGCCATTGAACATCTAGGAAAGTTAACTTGTATCATTAATAATCAAGAAGAGAGAAAAAAAAGAAAGAGGTAGCCAATAATAGAGCAAAATTTTCAGGTTCATGGTAATATTTTAGGTAAAAGAATAGCGTCCAGACCTCTGAATCACCCCCAGCTATAGTGTTCCATAATTCCTCCATCTCTGGATCGGCCTCTTGACCCCTCGATCCACCGCCGTACCCCTTCGGTGCCGATTTGGACACCTTAGCGGAAGACCAATCCCCCTTAGACGAAGACGATTGCCCCTTTTCCTTCTTCCAACTCCCACCTTTCCCCTCCTTCAGAGACGGGGACGTTTTCCTCATCTTCTTCGAAGACAGCCCTTCGTCCTCCCAATCATCCAACCCCTCTTCACCAAAAGCCGGCGCAGGGCTCCCGGTCTTTTTCACCAGCCTCTTCCTCGGCTTACCACCCTTACCGTCCGCCATAGAACTCATCACCGGCGTCGGCGACCGCTCCCGACGCCGCCAGTCGCCCTCGTCCTCGTCCTCGTCCTCGATCGGGTACGCGGGCTCCGGAGAGGGCTCCCGATCGGAGGGCATGTCGGGATCCATCAGCGGCTCCCCATCTTCGTCCATATACCTGCAGAAAAACAGATCGAAACCCTAAATCAATACAAGCAAATGAAGACTACAAGCCCCAGAAGCGATCGAACGGAAAAGAAGCTAGGGTTCCGATCGGATTGCATACGGATCGTTTTCGTAACCCATGGCAGCGGAGATCTCAGCGAGGGATCGAGAGAGAGAGAGCGAGAAGGGGGAAACTGGCCGAGAAGGTGGAACAAATGCTTATTAGACGTCAGACCGAAACAGATTCTTCAAAAGGCTTTCTCGGATAATAAATGGGCCGAACCGGCCTGGTTCGGTCCGGTCCAACCCGGTACCATACAAACAAGAAGCTGCGGCTTCAACACCCATGAAAGACGCCCGGGTTGGGACCGCCTGTTTATAGGAAAAAAGGGATTTCTATTTTTGGCAAAGCCAACTCGATCTGATTAATATTATTATCAGAAAAATAAAATAGTTTAATGATGGAAATGAGGTGACAGTTTGTAATAAAAAATAATGGTTAAAGAATTGATTTTTATGTTTAAATGATAAAGATATTGTTATGTTTATTGTTGTACTCATTTGTCATTTAATCTCGTTTGGCTATTAATATACTCTTCAGCCAATGCCCATTTCAGACCTTCGATGATGGCTATGCATTCCACCTCGTATAACATTAACAGTACAAGATACATATTTATAGACAAAAGAGGCTAAATTAATATTGTGGGTGTCATGCTAAATTAATATTTTTTAGCATGTACTAAAAAAAATTAATGTTGGGATAATAATAGATTTGTGAAGTTATTAGAAAAGCTAAAATCTTTTTGAATAATTATGTTAGTTGCCATAAAATAAAAAGAGAAAATTAATTTTAAGAAATATTTAAATCCCACCGCCTCAATTCCCGCCTCTTATATGTATATATCTAATTTCCTTTTTTTTCTTTGTTTTCTATAAATTCACCGAAACCTTCCCGCCTAACCCTCATTTGAAAACTTCTTTCCCTCTTCTTCTTTGTTCCACTCCGATCGGTTTCGACGATACGGAGACGGAGAAGGGAAGCTGGAAGGCGGATTGCCGGATCCAGCGGTGATCCGTTGCTTACTGCCTTCCAAGATGAAACCCTCGCCAGATCATTCGGCGAGAGGAGCAACCAGCCCTAGGACGACTGTTTTCACCCGCCCGATCTCGATGGTCTCTTAGCCCTCGCGCCGACGGAGGAGAAACTTGCGCTTGAGTTAGGCGAATATGGTGGCGTCTTCTAGATAACGGATAGCAGGTATAACTACAATTTTAGTACTGCTCAATATCTCTGGTTGTTGAACGAAGTATCGATATCTCTGACGCTATTGAAATGACTGATGAGTATATGCTGATTACGTTTTCTATCACTCAATGCATGTAGATCGAAGTGCAAGGAACTTTTACTTGCATTTTGATGATCATATCTATAAAATGACATGAAAAGATATGTGAAGCACTTAATGTTCTGATCACTTGAGAATTAATGATGCAAACAAAAGTATATTAGCAATCCTCCGAATGTATGCTTTATGATGAATTCAAATGATTGATGCTGTGATTGTATTAATACAAGGATTTTGAGTCTGTCTTGGTAACAGTGCCTAATTAGCTAAAGATGTTGGTTACTAAATCAAAGTGATCTGACTGTGTTTTTCTAACTTGCAGTTAGTTCTAGTAGTTATAAAGTTCAATAGCCTTTTGTTTAAATTGTCTTATCTCATGCTTATGTGCATTATATATTGTGTTTTGAATCACTTGTGAAGAAAGGAAAAGGCTATATAATCTTAGGATCATCATAAACAAAAATATTTCACACATCTTCTTAAAAGCATTTGATTTTTGCTACGATATTTATTGCATATCTTTCAGAAATTAAGCTGAAATAAAAATAAAATTAGGTTACTTTAAATTATTATATTTTTGTAATATTGAGCTTAAAAAGGTTGGTTGGATGTACATAACTTCAACTTAACTGCTTACTGTTACTAATTTGGATGGTCATTTGATGTTAGATTTGTTATGTATAAGGTGCTTCTCATCCTAATGTATTAGTACGATGCCAAAACAGGGAGGTTAAATCTTTTGGAGCTAAAAAAAAGAATATATCTAAAAGATGAACAATGAGGAAAACCAATACTAGATTAAATTCTTTGATTTGATGAACTTAGAAGGTATATATATGAGTGCTTTAAAAAGCTAGGCTAACATCAATTTACGTTCTACCATGGTCAGCAATGTAGCAAAATGGAGTCTAGTGGCCAGGTTTTCTGGAGCCATAATCATTCTAAGCAAGACTTCATGGCTTGCAGATTGTTGAACTTAAGTTTAACATAGCACATACATAGAGTGGTCAACTTTAACCTGATTCAATTTGCTTAGCTTGGAAACTAGTGTCCAATTGGTTTTTATTTTTAGGAAGTGATTAAGGCAGAGTTTAAATGCAGCTAGCTCTTGTTGAAACAAAAAGACTTTACCATAAAGCTAAGCTGGCACCTGCAGATTATTGTAAAATTTTGCAATGAAATACTTGTGGCATTTTCCTTTAACCATAGAATTGACTAAAATGCTTTCTAGAATGCATCTTGGTGTCTTACTGGTGTTGGCCAAAATAACAACTAATTAACATAATTCAATTATTTGCACAAGGAATTAAACGAATATATTCATTGTGACTTGTTGAAAGGTTTGGTCTTTGAATCTGACTCTATATGATCTACTAACTCAAAAGATTTGATAGTTCGCAACCACTGATACATTTAGAGGACTTGAACAAAGGAAAAAAGAAAAGCTTAGGCTTAAGTTTTTCTATCTCCAAATAATTAAGGAAATAGAAACTGTTGCACAAGAATACAGTGAACATGCAATGATAACTTATTTCATTATTACACCAAATGGTTAAAAAGATGAACAAGTTTTAGAAGTAAAATAGATGAGTTTCTTAATTTAACGTCTGTTACCTTGAGATAAAATGAGTTTGATTTCCTCAAATTGGCTATTTGACACCTATTTCTTTTTAACCCTAATTTCTTGGTAATTAGTTTAATGTAGACATTAAACATAAGACATTTGACCGATCTCAATATGGTAAAAGATATTACATGTTGTCGATCTCAAATAGTTGGGACTTATCACTTTGTTATTATTATTATTGGTTTAACATACACTTGGAGGTTGCCATTTCTCATAGCCTTCAGGCTGGTGCAGAAACAAATGTCTTCTTTCCCATTAGATTAAATGAGTAACGAAGCATCTTTAGCATAAAAATGCATCCCAGTTAGTAGTATTGACTAATTCATTTTCTTCACTAGGCTTTTGTACGAGAGGTTTACTTTAAAAAATTCGACATAATTCACTTCTTTTTTTTTCTCCTTTTCTGAAAGAGAACTTTAGGCGCAATTGTTAATGAACAGCTACAGCTGATAAGCAAAGACATATTATCTTATAAGCTTAGCTTAGCGGACAAGACATTACTCCCTTAATTTACAGAAAAGGGATGTGAAGAAGAACAGGAACCACATGGTTTTTGCCAACGACCATAGTTCCATCTCCTCGTTTGATGTAGTCCAAAAGGGAATCAACTCCTGTCGTTTACTATTATCTCAGCTTGCTGTCTTATTAACGGAAAGAATTAGAGCTGCATTTTTCTTTCTTGTTTCATGGATCTAAAAAGCTTTCATCCATCCAACCAGGGAGGAAGAGTATGTTTTATGTCATAAAGATCACATGGTGTCATGTGGAACTCATACAGCCATTGCGCTTCCATTGCGGCGTTCTGTCTCCATACCCAACATGCCTCGCTGTTATTCCAACGCAAACGAAGACGATGAAGAAACCTGCTGCGCGTGCTGCCTTGGCTCCAATGCTTCCTTCCTCCCGTAAGTAAAACGTTTTATGCAATTTAAATTAGAAACTAGTTTTGATTCCAATTTAATCAAGAGCATATATTAATATAAATATTTAGGTTAATGTAGGTGTTAAGTTTTATTTCGTGAAGGACCACATTAGATTATCGTTTCACGAACTAAGAATCCCCACTTATATAATGTCTGCAAATCCTTGATTAGCTCATAGTCTTCTCGATTTCTTCCATCTTTTAATGGCAATCATTAACTTCCTCCACTTAATGTTTCTGCAAAGGACTGGTCAAATAGTGTAGCATGGGCCAACGAGCAGTATTAGCATACAAACCTTGGACTGACCCATGCTGCTCGGCACGAGCCGTGCCGGTGTCTTTTTTGCGACGACAAGACTTGAAAAGAAGGCTATCTTCTATCCAGCACATGGCAGACAAGGGGGCTCGTAGCGCCCATGCCAAAGTTCTTCTTCATCTCCCGTAGGCCAACACTTGTCCTTTGTAACCCCCCTTAAAACATACACAAAGTGGTGTTGCTAACTTGGGCGGCACACGAATCCACACAAATCAGTACGTTATGGCCTGAGATGGATGATGAAACTTTTGACTCTCGAACAGCCTTTTAGTGAATAGAAATAATAGGATTTTGTTTCTGTTCGTTTCGTAGGCTCTTTAGCGGTCAGAATCCTTATCCTCTTAAGGATCAAATAGAAGATTATAAAAATATGCATTACACATTATAAAAATAAGAACGACTTTCACATACTTTGTTCTGTAGATCGGTGGAAAGATTGTTTTTGAGATTTGAACACCACTCAGTTCGTATATAAATCAGCAACACAATCTCTATCCCCTTTTTTTTCGGTTTGGCCCTCATCATAAATGGCTCTACTCTACTGGTTCAACACTTTAACATCTAATTCATCTTAAAACCAGACATTAATGTGTTGAGGGAAGAGAAACATGATCCTAGTACTACATATGATTTTGAAAGATAAATTTACTACTGCTTCTGATGCAAGTTACATTGGTCAAGATTATTTGATAGTTGACCACTGCTAAGAGATTACGCCGTTGTCTTGTTTATATATGAGCCCCATTATATTTTAATTCCCGAGTTCGGTATCTGTTCCACTCATCCATGTCTCTTAAATCAAACTCATTAAGTTGTCAATTAATGCTTCTACATCGGTCCAATTCTCTTTTGATCTTTTAGGCATGTCAGATCATTATTTTTCCTCTCTCTCTCTCTCTCTCTCTCAATGATTGATTCAATATATATGTTCTTGTCGATTAAGAATATATCGTTCTCCAAATTACAAAAATATGTTAGGAGAGTCATATTGAATTATTGTCATTCCTGCGACTCAACCCGATGATCTTTACAGATGAAATAGTTGTCATATTAGTAGAACACTAGAACAGATCATCGATTTTTATGGAACCAATCACTATGATAACGAATTAAATCATAACAAAATATGCCATTTATTTTGGTGGATAGCGATTGAGCTCGATACATCGCATTAATCATATTTGTGACACAAGGAATGGCCTCTCAAATCGGTAACATGTGGGTTTAATTTGTCATTTTATCTACAGTGATCTGTACGATCCTCCCTCAAGTAGCATTTTTTTCTTCCTGAACGGGTCCACTAAATGACAAGAAAATGAGCTGCAGTCTCTCTGGTTGTCATCTGTTGAAGTCGAACTATATTTTCATTGAAATTTTCATTCTTCTCTCAATCGTCACCACGGCATGTAGTCTTATATTCTGAAAGAAATTAGATCCACTGTGTTAGTGCTAAAACCTGTGTTTCTTTCGGCTAACTCAACTTATGTAGGACGAAATCTTGGTAAAAAGTTATTCCTTTAGTTGTTTTTTTTTTTTTCTTTTCAAAAGTATCCTTTTTTTCATATTTCTCAATCAATCTCTTTTTATCATATTCTTCAAAGTACCATTGACAAACCACAATAGCAAATCTCATTCCTTTTGGTGGATTGGTTCATAAGGCTCGTTCCATTTCCTGAGTTACAATATTTTGTAAAACATTACAAGCATATTTAAAAATATTATAAATAATATAAAAAGTATTTATATTTGATTGTTATTATTTATTTGAAATCATGTTTTTATATATTGAGTTCCGAATCAATTTGGTTCAGTTACAGTATTATTATTTAGTTAAAATGTTTTATCGAAAGTATAAAAAATACTGTGATTGACAATGTGAATCTTATACATAGATTAGACCGATTCAACTATCTTGTTAGAATGATATTTTTGGATTATGATAAATAGGGGATGATCTTTTAGATATATGAAAAAATGGAATATCTTGGGAAAAGTCAAAATGATCATTTTTTTTTCAAAATTTCATATATATATATATATATATATATATATATATATATTTAATGGATCCTTGATGGCAAATGATGTTGATTTGATAGCTATGATTAGAGGTCTTTTCAACTTTTGTCTCGTTTTAAACTTTGAGCTGGATCCACGTGTGTGTGCCTTGCACACGAATGGCTACCAATGCATGCGAGAAGATACCGAAACCATATAGGACACTGGATGTCTAGATGGTGGTCACACCGAGTACGGCATCCACCCATATCAGCTTCTAACTGCAACACAGAATTGCGGTTCATTTCCTTCATTCCAATTGAGGTTATGATGCTATTATCATGTATAAAGGAATGACTTGATGATGCAGGTGGGAAGCTACCTAACCTGCTTTCAATATTACCTCTCGTCGTCAATGTGCTCCCGTGGTGGACATTGCTGCCAGCTCGTCGTGCAACCGATACCACTGGCAACATAGAGGCGTGCAGTGCAACGCTGTGTCGGGCTCCACTAGTGTCCCAAGTATCTACTGGGGCTGTCAGCCATTGCCACGGCCTCCACTGTTGCTGCCTGGCCATGACGTTGCCTCTCACTGCAGACAAACGCTGGTCTCCATGCAATCCACCGGTGCACTCTAAATCCCTCAAGATTTTTTTTAGTGTATCCACCGCCGTAGTAATGGAGGAGGCGAAGGAGAAAGGAAGTAGTGCACCAGCAGCGGCAAGTCGAAAGTAATGGTTGGACTTAGTGTTGCTATTGTTTCTATAAACTACGACAAGCAAAGGCAGAGAAGATTTCGTTCACATCAGTGGACCAAAAGCGAGCGGCAGTAATTAGAGCGAGAAATGTGGGTGTGTGGGTGAGGACCCAAAGCCGCCTCTGCTCTATATATAAGTCTCTAGACCATCCCACTTCTCCCCACTACCTTCTTCTTGCAGTTCTCGTTATACCACACAACAGCTTCTCTGTTGCCCCCCCGCCTTTCCTCTCTAAAGGGATCGGAGAACGTGATGGAGCTGTACATGGATGAGAAGTGGAAGCTGTCAAAGAAGGGGAACAGGAAAGAGGGTGGCAATGGGTTGAAGGCGTCCGCCGGCGTGCGGGAGGAAAGTGGCAGCAGACGCAGGGTGGAGGCGCGGTCGTTCCCGAGCCGGTGCGCGAGCCTGGTGAAGGAGCAGCGGGCAAGATTCTATATCATGCGCCGTTGCGTCACCATGCTTATCTGCTGGAGAGACTACCCCTGAGGAGGCCAACGTCTGCGTACGTCCGTCCGTCCTCTTGTCTTCTTCCTCTACCTTTCTTGGCGACGGCCTCCTATGCCGTTCGAGGAGGAAGTGGTAGGCGCCGGAACAAAGGACGATCGGCAAGAGGAAAGTGTAGAGAACGTGATGGTTGTTTCTTTTGGGTTCCGATGTGGAGGTGTGATCGACAAGGCGATTTGGGATGTCGCTGACTTCGACGCAAACCTTCTGTTTTTAAGTGCAGAATTTGTCTTTCCGTGGTGTATATTTCTCAACACGCACCAAGGAGTTGTTTCCAATGTATGATGTCTACATGGTATTTCCACACAAGACTAGGTTGAATCCAGTCCAATTCTTATTTTGCTCCAATCTTAGTTAGCATTCACAGGGATGCGCCCTTCCAAACCTAGAAAATTGGGGAGGAACAGGCATTTGGTTTAGTTTCATGGGTTTGCAAGGGGAAATTGCAATAAATACTAGCTGGTCTTTGGGGACCCAATTTTGATATTTGTGTCGGACTAATAAGCAGATGGTGAGATTTGGTGCGTTTGAAGTCAATGACACATTACTAAATTAATTAATTTTTAGATTAATTAACTTGTATATTTTGGTTAAATTAAATAATAGTACGTAGGTGATATGGGTAGACCAAACCGATCTAGAGAAATTAGACCAAATTATATTAAAAAAACCTCCGGTTTGTTTATTTTCAATTTTAATAAATCAATCATAGATATATATATATATATATATATATATATATATATATATATAATAATAATAATAATAATAAATTTTAACATGTACACATATATTAATTCGCAATAATTTTACATATATTTATAGGCATGCATGGGGGACGTTGGACTCCCACTGCGCCAAAAAAATTAGCAAGCTATAGCATGGGCTGCATGTGTACAGGTTCCATTTCTAATGATGCCCTATATTAAAGGGATGGCCATGGCAAGTCACTAGAGGTCAAATCCATCACAATTAATTGAAAGACATCTCTATGCAAACATGTTATGTCGTGCAGCGCAGAAACCCTAACACCTCCTTCACCCGCTCCATCGGTGACGTGGCCAACTTGAAGTTGACCGTCCCATCTTTGCCGGCGAGCTTCCGGTACTTATCCTTCCTCGTGAACTTGGTGCATTCGAACCCGACCGAGGCCGCCAGGATCCGCTGCACGTAGTTGGCGACGTCGTGCGGGCTCTTCCCGGCGGTGCTCGTCGCCTCCAACGGCAGCTGGTTCAGAAAGGTAACCTCGTAAATGGGCCGCGGGTTCATGAAGAAGAAGATGGGGTCCGTCGCGTGGAGGAGGCCGACGCGGTAGTTCATGGCCACCGGTACGATGCGGTCCGTTAGCTCGGCGAGGAGGGCGCTGAACCGGAGCAGGAAGGGCTCCCTGCATGTGGTGCCCTCCGCACACCACCAGGTCGCCGTTGGCGAGCTCGGCCCTGATGCCCTCCGCGTCCGCTTGCCGGTCCCTCCTCAACCGCACGGTGCGTATCAGCGACAGGATCTCCGAAAGCCGGGAGATTGAGTAGGTGACGGCGGGAACCTTGCGGCTGAGGACCGTGGCCAGGACCACCATGTCCATGAGAGTGCGGTGGGTGCAGACGAAGAGGAAGCCGGTGGTAGAGCCGGTGACAGGCGGGACCACCGTGCCGACCTCGCACGGTGAGCGAGCAATAAAGGGGATTACCCATATGAGGACTAGCAGACCCACCGCGATTCGGATGAAGGCGATCACAACGCCGAGCGGAATCCAGAGAATGATGAGGAGGGCCGTGAACGTCGTGGGGCGGCTCACGAGCCGGCCGTCGTGGAAGATGACCGGCGTTGGCCGGCTTGCTTCCCTGCTCTGTGTTGCGTCAATAGAAAACGGCATGCAGTGCAGTGCAGTTGCTTGCAGAAAGATGAGAACGACTGTGCCGACTCCGGCCTGCATGTCTACATCAGCCTTCTCACCTCCGCAGATCGTCGTCACCTGCTTCGCCAGCGTCTCCTCAGCTCTCCTGAGGAATCCAGTGGCGTATCCGCATCGGCCAACCTCGAGCTCCCGCCCGACCACCTCGTCCACACCAGGGTGATCCATGGCAACCCTTTCAACAACCATCCTCGCCCACCTTGTCACCACCACCCGGCGCTCCACCGAGCTTCCGAACACGTTCCACGCCGCCACACCCACATCGTCCATATAGGACTTGGGCAGCACAGCCCTCGCCACCGCTTCGACCTCTGAATCTCGGACTCCCGCCACAGCCACAAACACCGTGAGCCTGAGGCCGAGCAGACGTAGCACGGGCCACAGGAGCAAGCCCGACGTCTCAAAGACGAGCATGAAGCAAGGGAAAGGGTCGACGTCATTAAGGAGCGTGCCTTGGAGCTCCGGTCAGCATCCATGGTTTCTTCTACGTCCGCCAGCCGAAAGGAATGGCAACAGTAGTTGGAGGATCGAGAGAGAGAGAGAGAGATAAAAGAGATGGCGTCGGCTTAATGTCGTGAGAAGGATTAGGGAAGTAATCGGGCAGCTTAACCATTCTCAACCACCAATAGAATTCCCGGAATGAGATGGTGAATACGTAAACCTAATCCACAACATACATCATCTACTCGCCATTTCCTTAACCTTCTCTCTGCTTCCTCCCTCGGTGGATACCCAACCTTGACCCAGAATTGCTTCTGGTCTCACCTAAGATTACACGAAAACATCAGGAATGAGTCCCATGAGAACCTATTCCTGCTTATCTCAGATGATTTCTACTCGGTCGTCATCATCGTAACACCTTCAACGTTCTTCCACGTATCGTTTCATGGACTCAATCGGGTCGAGGAATATGATATTCGTGCCCATACACGATTCAGGATTTTTCCGCTTACATTGTTGATCGAGATGAGCTCCGATTGGGAAATCCAACGAGGAAAATCCTGAACTCTGTCGGGTCCCGACATGGGATCATCGCTACAGGGATCCCTTTAGGAAAATATCTCAAGAAAAACATATCCACAGGAATAATAATAATTAGTGCCCCCAACACGTCCGCTCACGTGTGAGCCACGTGACAGAATCCAATTCTAACCTCGTGTCGCTTCTGAGATTACATCGCGATCAATAAAACAATAAATCCTTCATTAACGTGAGGGATTGGGTAATAAATATGGTTTATTGTCCGAGAGTTGGGATTTAATTGTCGGTTTTTGGACTCATCAAAGAAGGGAAATGCGGTTTGAATCCGCATTAGATTCAGTAACATTTCGGCTCATTAAACAATCGGGATAAAACCCTAAAGGGTTTCTTGTATGAGCTCGGAGCGATCGCTGCCGTCCGTACGATGATCAGAGGGCCCAGATTGATCGTTCCTTGCCCTTTATCAACCCCGCCCCCCTTGCTGTGTCCATGGCAGCTTACGGTGGGGGCTCGTAGTGGGAAAGGTCGGAACGGGGTTTCCCGATGAGAGATGGCGGAATGGATCGGCGATCGCCCGGCGATTTGAGGCTGCGGACATAAAGATCGAAGCTTTTTGCACCAATCTCTTGGATTCCCCGAGAAAAAGTGGGATCTGGCACCGCCCGATTCCCCCGGGCGTCGCCATGCTCGTTCTTGCCGCGTTCGAGCTGAGGATTTTGGGTCTGCGACCGGGAAATGATGTGAGTACTCGTGTTGATGGTAAAAGATTCGATCTTTTTTGGCGAAACCCCACTGTTCTTGAAGTTCGTGAGGTCGGGAGCTGCTAAAGCTGCGATTTTTCCGCTCTTTCTTGTTCTTGTTTTCTTCTTTTCTCAGGTATCGGCTTGATTTCTGCCCTCTTTTCGTGTTCGTGGAATGGTCACTGAGAGCCCACTGACGATGCTGTCGGATATGGGAGTCCGGTCCGTGATCGGGAGCGGCGGGGATGGTTTTGGAGGAGAGGAGTTGGAGAAGGAGCTGGGTTTGCTCCGCAGGGAGCAGAGGAGGCAAGAGGCGATGGATCGAGAGAGGGAGCTCAACGTTTACCGGAGTGGCTCCGCTCCACCCACGGTTGAGGGTTCTCTCACCGCCTTGGGAGGAATCCTTGGGCGCGAGGTCGCGTCCGGCATGCCAGATTTTTCGACGGCAAAGAACGGATATGGGTTTTCGACAGAGGAGGAACTCCTTTCCAATCCAGCTTACGTCTCCTATTACTACTCCCATGTGAATCTGAACCCTCGACTGCCGCCGCCGGTGCTTTCCAAGGAGGACTGGAGATCCACGCAGAGGCTTCAAGTGGGGAGCTCGGTCGTGGGAGGGATCGAGGATAGGAGGAAAATAAACTGCAGGGAGGAAGGGGACGGCCGATCACTCTTTCTGAAGCAACCGGTGTTTGGTCAGCTGGAGGAGCACCCGGCAGAGCCGGCAAAGGTGCCAGGATCGGGGGAATGGCTAGAAAAAGGAGATGGCTTGATTGGGCTGTCGATTGGGCGCCAGAAGAGCTTTGCTGATGTTGTTCAGGTGACACTCAATGGCAAACAAAAGTCTTTTCTTTGTGTTACCATTCATTTTAGCATGACATCCTGCTTGTAATATGACAAATAGAGGTATTAATCGGCTTGCTCGTCATGAATTCAAACCTTAGGATCAGCATCTATGCATCAGCTTACAGGTGCAACCTCGGATATTGACCATGTCGTCGCCCATTCCCTGTTCTGGATGATAAACATATATCAGTCGATTTATTTCTTCTGTACATGAATTTTGCATTGTTCATAGTTTTGATTTCTCCTCTCTTGCTCTCTTTGAAATTTGAATATCATTCTGGATTGCTTGATTTATATCCTTTGTTATAATATGGCCATTGATTATTCTAGGATGAACTTGTTTGCAAAAGTCCAATATCGGCCCATCAATCGCACCCTGCAACTCGTAATGCCTTTGTTAATGGTCTCGAGTCATCATCTTCTGCTACTACACAGTTTCCGTTACATAAAGAAAGTGCATTGCTTAATGGGCAACAATTTGGTGCATATCCCCAAAGCAACAATGGACCTGAGAAAGTTAGTGTGCCATTGACTCACAGCTTTGCATCTGTTGTTGGCTCATCCCTGCGGCGAAGCACGACTCCTGATGCCCAGCTGGTTGCAAGGGCACCTAGTCCTTGCCTTCCACATGGAGGTCCAAGGACTCGAGCCTCTGATGAAAAGGCTAATGATTCATCCTCTGTCGGTGCTGCCTCATCAAGTACACTCGAATCTAATGATCTGATAGCTGCCTTATCAGGTTTTAACCTGTCAGACATTGGTACTGCAGCTGATGATAATTTTACACATCCAAAGCTTCAGCAGAGGTTTGACGATCGCCATAACACTCTTTTTTCTTCACAATCTGACCAAAACAATGTTAAGGCACACAATATCCTCAAAAGTTCTGATCCAGAATATCCAAGTATGCAGTCTATTTCTAAGTCAACTAAGTTTTCTTACCCTGATTCCTATAAAAGTTCCGGAGGTCAAGCGGAGCTGATAAACTCAGGGTCAGGGTTAAATGGGCTAATTGAATCTCAAAGGTCTTATGTTCCATCTGGTAATTCATATCTCCAAGCACCTTCACCTTATATTTCCACTGCTGGCAGTTCATCTCCTCACTACCAGAATCTTGAGAATGCAAATGGAGCTTTTGCAAGTTCTGGCCTGAATGCATACTCTGAGAATTTGACATTGCCGACGACCTTGCTAAATCATGTTGGCTCGGGAAACCTGCCTCCTCTGTTTGAAGGTGCTGTTGCTGCATCTGCAGTTGCATCTGGAATGGAATCAAGGGCTTTAGGAGGTGGACTCTTTGCATCACCAAATTTAGCTGGGCCAGCAGACTTGCAAACTCTTAGTAGGATTGGTAATCAAACTGCAGCTGCAGCTCTTCAGACATCCCTTAATGATCCACTCTATGTTCAGTACTTGAAAGCAGCTGAATATACAGCACAAATTGCAGCTAACTGTTGTGATCCTTCCTTGGAGAGGGGTTATATGGGAAATTCTTATGCAGATTTGCTTGGGATTCCGAAAGCTTATGTTGAGTCTTTGCTTCAACAAGAGAATCAGTATAACATGCCATTTCTGAGTAAATCTGGGAGACTAAATCATAGTTACTATGGTAATCCAGCTTTTGGCTTGGGCAATTTATATCCAGGTAGTCCTTTAGCAAGTTCTATTGCTTCTCCAGTTGGACATGGCAGCCCTCTTAATCTCAGTGAGCGGAACATGCGGTTTTCCTCCAACTTAAGAAATTTAAGTGGAAGTGTTTTGGGCTCTTGGCATTCTGATCCCACTGGTAACATAGATGAACGTTTTCCATCATCCCTCTTGGATGAATTTAAGAGCAATAAGACTAGATGTTTTGAGCTTGCTGAGATTGCTGGCCATGTGGTTGAGTTCAGGTATACACAACTTTCATGTGGTCTTGACATCTTAATTTCTTTCGCTTATGATTTGGATCATGATACCTCATGTACATGATGATCTTCAGCTTATATAGAAGAATCACAAATTGAATTACCATGTTATCTTGCTGATTTACATTTCCTTGTTCCACATTAATCTATATGTATATTGTTCACATGTATAGAAGGTTTTCTATATTAGATATACCCAAGGATTATGAGGGCAAAGGCCTTGTGACTTCTTACTGATCTTGCTTTAATACACCTTTTTTCAAGTATCTTTATAACTGCTTGTATTACTCTTTTTGGTTTTCATTCTCAACTGTGCAGGGTAGTGGTTATCAATCTTATATTGTGAGTTTCTAATTTACTAGCTAACACAACAACAAATGATAACAAGCTGTTACTCACCGCTATTTGGCGGTGGAATCATGGATTGTTGCTTGCCATCGATAGAGAGTTCATGGGCTAGATGATCCGCGGTTGCTTGTCCTTTCTTGTTGTTTCGAAGGCTTCGTTGCTCTTTTTCTACCTCCTGGAAATGCTAACCTCGTTGATCATCTAACCCTACTAGTACTTTGGTCCGAACTATCTTAAGTGTCTTTTCCTCATGTTATTGTTTTGCCTGGTACTATCTCAAAATTTTCAAGAATGCAACCATTTTAAATTCTTTCAATTAGTTCTCTGTTACATTTAACATTTATGATGATCTTATGGATACTTGAACTATTAGTTTTTACCTTTATGTGCAGTGCTGATCAGTATGGGAGCCGTTTTATACAGCAAAAACTTGAAACAGCTACAACTGATGAAAAAAACATGGTTTTTGATGAGATAGTGCCTCATGCTCTTTCTCTGATGACTGATGTTTTTGGGAATTATGTGGTCCAGAAGGTAATATTGTTCCAAATACAATCAGATTCTGTAGTTCTGTTGTTTCAGTGTATTTTTTTTGGATATTTTATGATGAATCACTTCATAAGGGTTTACAATTTTCCCTCCTTTTAGTTCTTTGATCATGGATCAGCGGCTCAGAGAAGGGAATTAGCTAATCAGCTGAATGGGCATGTATTGGCACTCAGCCTGCAGATGTATGGGTGCCGAGTGATCCAGAAGGTATTGTAGCTCCGAATATCTGATTAGTAATTTATATTTTAGATTGTATTATATTTCTATCTTCTAAGAAATTAATTGATTAATTTTTTTTTGTTGTGCTTTAATTCTCTTTTGCTTCTGCTACTTCCAACTTTTGTGTGGATGAGCAATAGTTTTAATGTGAGTGAAATGTACTTCTTTGCTCACGCACATGTAATTTTACTGTTTCATTGACATGCACCATTCATTCTCTTCATTTGCCCTTTATCTTAAGAAATTAATAATTATGAGATTGCTCTACACAGATTTGTGATTATTACAGCTGATATATCTTCCAAATTTAATTTCTGTAATTATTTTTCTGTTGTCATCATCTGAGATGCCAAGAAGTCCTCTATAGTCCTAATATATAGACTAAGCACTATAAATTTTGGCTTGTTGTGAGATGAAAGCTGTTCATATAAAGCTTTACTGTTATGAAAATGGATGAAAAGGAAATTCCTGATTTTCTGGTTGGCATCTTACGAAAAAAAAAAACATGGATTTGATCAAAAGTTGGGAAACGTGCACTTGCAATGACATGGAGATGAATAGGGAGTTTAACCAATTATCAGGAATTTCTCCTAAATAATAGATATCTTGATGGCTCTTTTGGGGCTAACATTGTTGAATAAAGCTAATCAGTGACTTATCCATAAACATGGATATGATTTGCATACCTTGTGCTTTCTTGAAACTAACACAAAATAGATGGTGTAAGAAGCATTGTTGTGTAAAAAGATGATATATGCTATTCCGATCAAATAACCAAACAGTTGGTTTTGATCTAAATATTTTTAGATGAATACACTGAAAATTTTTGAACTTTTTGATGCATCTTATTCTTTATCATATCAGTATTTATTCTATGATGTGTAAGTGCTAATCTTTTTGTCCATTTAATGCTTATGTTAGAATGTTTAAAAAGCATGAATCTTCATCTATGTGCTTTGTGACATCATAGTTCATGTCCAATAAAACTAATCTTCAATTTTAAACCTACATGATTGATGTTCAGGGAATATACTGGAGGCCTCAGACCATCAAAAGTGGGTTCTAACCCAACTTTAGCATACTTGCATTCATGCAAAATGCAAATGTAAAAGTACAACCACCATTCCCTCCTTTTTTAATTCAATATAACAACTCAATAGGGAACTGCCAGATTCATTTTGTAAATTTCAGTGCATCAGAGAATCGTTTTAATGACTCGCCAACTTTTATGGTCAAAAACCTCTTGTTAGTCTTGCTTTTGATTGCTTTAGATTTTGATGATGTGAACCAATAGCCTCACCATTGCTGAATAGCTTTAGACCATAGACAGAATCATATGGCCACTAGGATCTGAATGGTCTAATACCTACACAAAGTGGGAGCCAGGATATGGTATTGACCCTCCTAGAACTGTAATTTTTTTGGCTTGTTCATGGTGCCTTGTTTTAGCGGCCATTCTGAATTCGACAAGTAGGTCTTAGTAATTAGTGAAGCTAAAAGAAGTGCCATATTGATTCTGGAATGATAAAATGTTGCTTCAAAAGTGGAAGCATGTTTGCTGATATGAGAATTCTCCTCATTGTTCTTAGACTTGTCTCATTTTGCACGGTCTAAATTCATACTTAATAGCAGATCTTACACATCATGAACTTCAGAAGCTGATTTGAGGATTCTATATCATTGTAATTGGCCTTAGATGTTTATTATCTAAAAGTATGCTAGTAGTTGAGTATAATTTTTGCACGAGGCCAATACACTCTTTTATCTGTTGCTTCAGGCAATTGAAGTAGTTGACTTGGACCAGAAGATACAAATGGTTTCAGAGCTTGATGGGCATGTCCTGCGCTGTGTGCGTGATCAAAACGGGAATCATGTAATTCAAAAATGTATTGAGTGTGTTCCGGAGGATGCAATTCAATTTATCATCTCAACCTTCTACGGTCAAGTCGTGACCCTATCTACTCATCCTTACGGTTGCCGTGTCATACAGGTTCAGCCAGTCCATTTTGAGACTTTCATGTGTTGATACTAGATGTGAAAACAGGTTTATCTGCACTTCGTTGTTGCTTTTGTCTCAGAGGGTGTTGGAGCACTGTGATGATCCTAACACTCAGCAGATTGTCATGGAAGAGATTTTGCAATCTGTTTGCATGTTGGCGAAGGACCAGTATGGTAATTATGTTGTCCAGGTTTGTCATGTCCCTAGTACTCCTGTTACGTAGTTGCATAACCGGTATCAGTTTGTTCCAAGGATGTGTTTAGATGAACTATTTAATCTTCCGAACATCCTTTTTGTGATAATTTACATGGTCTCCTAGTCATACTTTCTGAAGGTGGGTGAGAGCCAGCTTAAGGAACCTCAAGAACATGAGTTTTTTCTTCTTTCTCATACATTTATCATTCTGTCACAAATATCCATCCATGCTAAGATTGCTTGCTTATGACTAGTCATCACACAATATTATGCATACGCACATCATAAACTGTGTACTATCTCTAATCTTATGGATGCCTTGGAACAATTTGTCGGTGACTTTTAAAGTTACATTTCATAAGGGGCTTTTCAAATATTTGGCAAGATGCTTTCTCAATATTTTCCAACAAGACATGGATTAACTAATTGTTTGATCACCTTATGATGACACGATATATCTTCTACTCCTCGGATTCGAAGCTTCTTAACCGTATTTTAACATGCTAAGTTGTTGCTTATCGTTTGGTCATTGGATTCATCTTAGTGCTTTGCTCTTTTGCTAAAGTAATTATAGAAATCTTTGGTAGATATCTGACATATATACAAAGGACTGAGTAGACTTGTACATAATATAATGGAATGTCTTTCTTTGTCGGAAGTTGGCGAAACATCTTTGTTATCATACTAATCCAATATTTCCTCGTGAGTTGGAGCCTTCAGTGCTGCTGCTTTGGTTTGTGAATTCCTGAAGACTTGGATGTATGATTGCTCTTTCCAGCTTGTGTTTTCTCTGTATTGTTTTATGTTACAGGAGGATGTAACTTCTGCTCGGTTTATTGTTTACTCAATTGCGATATCTGTTTTTGTTCGAATATCGTTGGATTGACAGCTTAAATCTTGACAGCATGTACTGGAGCATGGAAAGCCTCATGAGCGGTCAGTGATCATTAAGAAATTAACTGGGCAAATTGTTCAGATGAGCCAACAGAAGTTTGCATCAAATGTTGTCGAGAAATGTTTGACATTCGGGAATCTCGAGGAACGCCAACTTTTGGTGAACGAGATGCTAGGCTCGACCGACGAAAATGAGCCTCTCCAGGTTTGTCACCCATGTCTAAGATATGCAATTTTGTTGAACTATTATGTTATTGATTGAATATACTTCCCTGTTTTGAACATGTATTATGGCTGATTTCTCGGACAGTGTTTTAGCTGATAACCTTGTTTGCACTTTGGATATTTATGCACAAATTAGGTGACACTTTTTGCAGTCTTTGCATGTGGTGTCATTTTTTCGCTTCTAATGTTGATCTTTTCATGGTCAAAAAGATATAAACCAGCTGTGTAACTCAACTATTTGGGATAAGCTACATAGATCTTTCCAACCATAAAAATAGATATATCATTCAGATATGATTGTATAATCTTCTTTCATTATTATTTTTAGCATCTTTTATACATTTTTGAAGCATTATGTTAATAGAAGGACCTTCCTGTTGACCAAGTTTTTAATGCTCATTGATTGTGTAATTAGTCATGATCTGTACCGATATTTTTTAAACCCCGAAACAAAATGTCAGGTTTATGTTGATTTTTTCAACATTTAATGTACCGGTGTGTCGTTAATAGCAAGAAGCCCTAATTTTGAAGTTAATTGTTTCCATGATACTTAGTTTTGTGGTTGATAATTGATTTTAGAGGAATGATGTTGCAGTTTGTATCACTTACGTTCTTTGCCCTTTTTGTTCCCTTTATGGGTGGCAGGCGATGATGAAAGATCAATTTGCTAACTACGTTGTACAGAAAGTATTAGAGACCTGCGATGATCAACAGCGAGAACTGATCCTCTCGCGGATAAAGGTCCACTTGAATGCACTGAAAAAGTATACTTACGGGAAGCATATAGTTGCGCGCGTAGAGAAACTTGTCGCGGCTGGAGGTGAGCATATTGATTTCCCCAATTGTTTCCTTTAGTTCATGAACTTATTGTTGTAGTATAGAAGACTTGCTATTGATCTCAAAGAGTTCTATGCTCAATATCCACTTTCTCAACTTAAGTATCGGACATATGTAGGAAATAGGTGATGCTACTAAAAATTGTTCTAAAGATTCTTCTTCTTCTTCTTGTTGCTTTTGATTTAATCTATCTAACCAGTTTCCGAGATCCTTTTCCCTGCAGAGAGGAGGATCGGAGTTCAGTCGTCGTCGTCGTCCTACCCCTCTTACATGGCGCAAGGATGAAGTTGTACAGCTAACTGAGGCTTCTTTTAGCTCCCTCTTTTCTATCTATTTAGGTTTTGTACAAGCTTGGTTGGAAATAAGAATGTCGCGGTGTACCGAAACTTGTACATTTGTAATTTGAAATCTAGCTAAATCATGCTAAGGCTGAGGCTCAGGTGGCTAATATTTACTGATGATGCCCTACAGAGGAGAACATGGTATGTACAAGGTTAATATCCCTGTAAAGAGATGCTAAAAAGAGAGGACTAGGTCTTTGTTTAGGATTTTAAGGTCATTTCCCCTTTTATTTGATCATGGGATGGTATGTCTTGATACACAATTTTTGTTTCCAGTTCAGTTTAATCCTTATCATTGATGGACATGTTAATCGTCTCGTTTTGCATGTCATCTACAGATTCAGTGCCCAAACCATTTGTATGCATGCATGCACTCACAAGATGCACATTGATTGGTCTTTGATTTCATTGATGCTTGATATGAAGATGCTGATGAATTATGTTTCAACCTCTTTGATCAACATGATATAAAGCTAAAGATAACAGAGTAGCAGCATTTAGGAACACAGCAATGGATGGAGACAAAGGGTACAGCTTATCTGCATGATTACAGTTCATCTGTGGTTGCTGCGGTTCATTTGCTCAGGTTAGAGAGGGAGGTCGAGTCCTTTGCCCACTTCTACCCCAAGTATCTGCAGTATCCCCTTGTTAAGTATCTGAGAGAGCAATCAAGAGAGCTGAGTTAGAATTCAAGACAGGCCGAGAACTCCTACTGAGGTAAGAGGAGGAGAACCCACCAGCTCTACGATGAAGGTTCCAACGATGCCAATCATGCATGCTCTTGAGTTCCACACCTCTGCAGTTCTTGTGAAGCCAAGGAATGGCGCCGTGAGCTTCGGTTCCACCTTGGGCGCTTCCACCTGAGAATCCATGGGAAAGCGGCCTCTTGATATCCATCACAGGTGAAGGAGGAGGAGAAGATGAAGAGCTGAGTGTCGCAGGATGGGAGACGGCGTACCCCAGCGGGAAGCTTGGCAGCTCGGATACGAAAGGATTTAGGGTTCCTGAAGCGAGGAAGGGGGCTGGAATTCCTGCTGACGCCACCGAAAAGAGATCGACACGGAAGGAAGGTAGACGAAATCGTTGGGATCGCTGCCATCGCCGGCTCCTTCCCTCTCTGCGCCGTGCGTCGGACGCCGTCGCTTACGCTCCTTCCGGGCTCTATATCTCTCGCCTTATCACAAAGGCCCGCGAGGCGTTGAACGGTGGTGGTGGTGGTGTTGGTGTTGTCCTTTCGAGGGCCACACGATATGTAACGGTGGATGACACGCCATCTCAAATCGCGTGAGTGGGTCCCAACAGTGACCACGGATGGCCATTTATTTATTTATTTATTTATATTATCGAAGAAATATTCATCTTAATCATTGACTCGATATATGATAATATAATCAGTAATAAAAAAAGATAATCTCGATCAATAATTAAGCATCCTATCTTAGTCTTTATGCGGATCAACCACTACTGTACATAAACAACTACTTATAACACTATTTATCCTACTCATTCCCAATTCCGTACAAGCAATGTCTAAGGAGATGACATCAATCGGATAATCTCTGGTCAACTCTTCAATCATCCATCTTATCCAATTAAATTATTACGATATATATATATATATATATATATATATATATATATATATATATATATATATATATATATATATATCAATCATCCAAGCTTCTTTCTCATGGTAAATCCCTCTTTCGCTTGGTCAACATATCAACTTTATAGGTGGAGTGTACACATGGTGTTGATGATAAGGTCAACCACCACCAAACCCACACTGATAGGTTGACCTCAATTATAGGATGTAAGGACTTCGATTATAGGAGTTGTAAGGACTTCAATTAAAAGAGAAACTATATATATAGTTAATAAATATAAAGTGAGTTTAGCATATAAATATATAACATAAAATCTATATTATTATATAATTGTTTTTTAAAAATTAAATGGATAAATGTATTGATTTAATTTTTATTTTATTATTAGTGATGGGGGATAAGGAGATGACTAATTGTAATATAATAAATGGTATGATTAAAAACAGAAAATGTTTGAGGATTAAGTTGAGATTTTTGTCAAGGATAAGAGTAAGACGGTAATTTTACAGAAGCGAGAATGAAGCTGACGGCGTTACTGTAAATTAACGGCGGATGTAGGTCTCATCTGGTGGAGGGCGTTTCTCTGGGCGGCTCTTTAAACGGAGCACGCCACCGGTTGGCTGCGCCGTCGGTCGCTTCCTCTCGTTTGCGTCTTCGACCCCTCCCCAGCCCCGCTGTTGAGTCCGACGGAAGCCTCAATTTGAGAGCCATGGTGGATTTGAGGCTTACGAGGGGCTTCATCTTCTTCGAGTTGGAACCGTAGCAATCCCTTTTTTGAATCCAAGAGGTAATCTCGAAGAGATCCCGACCCGTTTGCTCCGGGTTTCCCCCCTTCTCTGCTGTAGTCGTTGGTCTAGGAATTGGATGTTCCGCTTCATCTCTTTTTGCGCGGTTTCCTCTCTTGGTTTTGTGTGTTCCTGACCATGTAGATCGACAAAAGGCTCATCTTTTTGTTATCTACCTTTTATTGGAGATAGAATCTGTAGATCTAAAACAATATGAAGGACAAATCTCAATTTTCTTTGTTCGTGAGCGTTCTATGTTTCTTAGTGTTCCATATGGACTCTGATATTGTCATTTTTTCGCTTCTGCAGGTGAAGTTTTGTGGGGTTTGGGGTTCTTGGCATTGTCTTGGTGCAATAAGAACTCGGTGGTGGAATATATGGAATGGATCTGTGAGTGTCTTCTCTGGGATGCGTTCATTGACGGTGGAGGAATTCGAGATTCACCAATCAGATAGCCGGAGGAGAAGCAGCAGGAGGAGGAGGAGGAGGAGGTGATTACAGAGTTTATAGGGCGAACAAAAGAAGTTCATGACGGATGGGAGAAGATCTCCTCACTACCTTATCCATGGAAAACCATCACCCCTCCACACTTCTCTCCATGGATCCATCTGGAGGCTCGGTATTGTCTTCGTCCTCACACGAGGATTCGGATCGCGAGCTATTGATCCAGCGGCGGCAGGTTGTCCTTTCTGGTGCTCCCGACATCAATCTCCCCCTCTCCGCCGAGCGTTCTCCTTCCCAGCAATCGTGGATCTCAGACCCTTGTGACATCTTGGATGTCGGCCTTGGCCCTCAGATCTATGATGCAGAGGCCACCCTTCACATTCCGAAGGTCACCGCTGCCCGCAAGTGCACTAAGCGAGGGGATAGCATTTGGGGTGCGTGGTTCTTCTTTAGGTTCTATTTCAAGCCTGTGCTCTTGGAGAAGTCCAAGGGAAAGGTCATCTGGGATGCAAACGGGGTTAATGGCTTCGATAAGTCTGATGTCAGGCATGATGTGTTCTTGGTCCAGCACGACATGGAGAACATGTACATGTGGGTCTTCAAAGAGAGGCCTGAGAATGCGCTCGGGAAGATGCAACTGCGGAGCTACATGAATGGACATTCTCGTCTTGGCGAACCCCAGTTCCCGTTCAGTGTTGACAGGGGTTTTGCTCGGTCTCACAGGATGCAGCGCAAGCAGTATCGGGGACTCTCAAACCCTCAATGTGTCCATGGAATTGAGGTTGTCAGATCGCCCAATCTGATGGTAGTTTGCGAGGCGGACCGCAAGAAATGGGTGGAGCTCGTGGGCAGGGATCTGAACTTTTCAATTCCGCTCGAGGCCAGTGATTTTGAGTCGTGGAGGAATCTTCCCAGCACCGAATTTGAGCTTGAGAGGCCTCCACTGAAGAGCACTTCACATCCCCATCCCAAGAAGTTACTAAATGTCTCGAGTTTGAATTTGTCTTCACAGTCGAATCATTCTAATGGCGATGGGATGGACCTTTCTGCTGTCTGCAGTAAACGCAGGAAAGATTTCTTCCCTCATGTTATGGATGAGGATTTATGCTTTCCTACGAACCCACATGCTGAGAGAGGTCAAGATGTGGAGATGCACCAAGTTGGGACCTCATGGTTGAACGAATTCACTGGTGTAATGAAGCATGCATGTGGGCCTGTGACTGCTGCGAAGACTATATATGAAGACGACGAGGGGTATCTGATAATGGTGAGCTTGCCTTTTGCCGATCGACAGAGGGTAAAAGTTTCTTGGAGGAATGGTATTACACATGGAATATTGAAGATAATTTGTGCCAGTACTGCCCGGATGCCTTATGTAAAGAGGCATGACAGGACATTTAAACTGACTGACCCCTCTCCTGAGCATTGCCCTCCGGGGGAATTCATAAGGGAGATAACACTACCGACACGTATCCCTGAAGACGCTAAGCTAGAAGCATACTACGATGAGACTGGTGCTTTGCTCGAGATTATAGTTCCAAAACACCGAGTTGGACCAGAAGAACACGAAGTCCGTGTGTGCATGCGTCCCCCTCACCTTGGGGCTAATGATCTTCTGTTGACCTGAATAAGTGGTGATATTATGCTTGCCACTAGATTCATGGTTATGTTTTCTTTGGTTAATAATTATGTACCATGAAAACGAAATCTGTCAAATTGAAGTGCATCCTTAGTAATGATAATGTTTTACTGATTAGTTATGATGCATCATTTGGCTGTTTCTTGCATATTAATTGAGATTGTTGAATCATATCCTGAAGATGCTTTTACTCCAAGAATATGTTCTCATCTTGTCACAAGGTTTCGATGAGGATGTTGGATTGAGATTTATTAGAAATGGAGTCTAGTCAATTTTTGCTGAACTTTTTATCTTTTGTTCATACTCATGATGATAGGTATCATATATCACTTGTGCTTCTTGTGGATGTTTCTTTGCCTTTATTAGTTCTGATTACTGTAGTCAAAATTTGATATGCAGCTGTTACTTGTTAAATTAGAAAAAAAATAAATTCTTTTCAGTGAGAGTAGAATTCCTCAGTTACCAAAATAAATATAATTGTTCTTGCAAGGCAGCAATCTGTTAAATGTGCTGCTTGAACTTTTGCTGTATATTTAGCTGCTGTGCAATGGTTGTGGTCATCTCCTGAGATTGAGTACTAGATTTGATTTTACTTGAATGGCATTTTGAAGGAAGAAGAAGAAGAAGAAGAAGAGAGATCCTATGTTCCTCAGTGATAAGTTTATTGGCAGCTTTACATTTTTGGCAGACATGACAGTGACAACAACAAATTGATTTATATGCTGCCATTTTATTCTCTTCCTTCTTTGCACATTATTCATGCACTGAAGATGTTTGCTCCTTAGCTGCAAACATGGTGTTGATGTCCTGTTCCTAAGCTGCAAGTTCTTGAGCTTTGAATCATCTTCACCACTTAAGAGAGCAGACTGGTGTAGTGTGATCTTGCTGGAAGTCCCTGAATAATCTGCTCTGTTGTTTCATTGTAATGGATCTTTCCTTCATAGTACTTACAATAAACAGTGTGGTGGTGTAGTTGGTTATCACGTCGGTCTAACTCACTGAAGGTCTCCGGTCCGAGTCCGGGCGACGGCATAAAATAATAATTATTTTTCCGTAATAATTCGACTTCGTATTTACTACCACATATGACTTCAATTCTTCGTCTACTTCTCAGACGTAATATTCTGATGGTATAAAGAGTAATAAACATCAACAAATGACAGAGAGAGACGCAACAGAGCGCACACGGCCAGATCTCGACAGCCTGCATCGATGGCGATAGAGAGGAGGGAGGAGGAGTGGCCTTCTTCACCCGCTGGCTTTCTGATTACTTCTCTTGCCCGCTGCGCTCTCCTTTTCATCGTCGTCGGTGTCATCCCATCCCGCCCAACTCTCCTGACCGTCGGCTTGCTTGCCGTGCTCTTCCTCCTCCTCCTCCTCCCAGTCACCCCATGAGGGCTTCGCCGGGGGGGCATGGTCCTGCCCGGAGTTACCACCCTTGCTCGCCTGCCCGATCTCCTCTTGGTGCCCACCGACGTCGTCCTCGTTCCATGCCATTCCCTCCTTGGCGAACTCCTCCACCTTCTGCGTCGCCATCGCCATTACTCCCTTCATGATTCCCCATGTCCTGTGTCCAATTTCAGTGGTTCTTGTGGCAACTGTGTTCACCGTTCCATTGACCTCCGCCTCCATCACCTGTAGCATTCGTCACGGAGGTTTTGCTTATGATCCTATCGGTGATGATCGATGAAGAGAAATAATACCTTGGAGGTCAGCTCCTTTGTGCTTGCTTGCACGACATTAGCTGCAGACTGTGCAGCAGAAGCAGCAACCATGGAAAGCCGCCCAAATCCCTATTAAAACAGCAGACAATAATCCACTTCTTGTGTGCAATCTCTCAACTTTTTGGATCTGAGGACACACCCAATGACAATTTCTTGATGAAGAACGTAATTCTGCATGCATGAGAATGGACATCACCTGAGAAACAACAGAGATCAAGTCATCTTGAGAAGAAGCACTTCGTTGGGGCTGCGTCGGGCTCGAACCGAACCCGACGTACTTGCCGCCCTGTGAGGGGGGAATCCCCTCCGGCCGAGCTTTGTTCTCCGCCATCTTCATCGCGAAGAAGCAATCCTTGTCCCCCGGGTGCTGCGACATGGTGACGAGGTCCTCCGTGGACCGAGATCTCAACGACGTCTCGCACCCAACTCCGGTCCCTTTTTGAAGGTCGCCCACTGACTGATTCCTCCTCATGTTCGAAGCCGCCGACGATGACGATCGGCAGAGGTGGTCGTCATTCTCGTCGTCCCACTTGTCCCACCCAGATGGACTCTTCGGCGGCTTCCTTGCGCTGGGTTCGGTGGATTCCTTGACGACGGGCGGGTCCTTCCAGGGTCGGCCCTCGGCGAGGGCCTGGATGCGGTCGCGGTAGACGGCGGCCGCGCCGGAGCTGTACTTGGCGGTGACGTTTACCCCCCTGTGGACCCCACGTCGGGCAAGGAAGGCGTTGAGGCGGTCGTTGCCGCCGCACTCCATCCTCCGTAGCTGGGGCTCGGTCCAGGAGTCCATGGTGACGGAGCGGACGAAGCTGAGGTGCACGCCGAGGCCGCGGTGCTTGCCGGAGCACTCGAGGCATATGAAGACGCCGTAGGAGACGGAGGCCCACTGCGGGTTCCTCTGCCGGCAGTCGACGCACGTGCCGTTGCCCGGCTCCGATTGCAACGCGCGGAGCCGCCGCAGCGCGGCCGAGGACGACGACGACGACATTACAGCTGCAACGAAGTGGATGTCGATCCGAGAAACGTCTGTTCTCGCGCTCGGGAGGGAGAGGGAATGATGGCAATGGGAGGAGGAAGGAGGGGTTGGTTTGGGGAAATGGAGCGAGCTTTCCTCCTTTCCTTCTCGATTCTGTGGCTTGCATCGTTCATGGATGCCTATTCGTTCGGAAGCTTTCGTGGACTGCAACAGATTCAACGTCAAGTATTGTTGCATGCTCTTTAACAGCCTACTGTTTTGTTATGCTAAGTAATTTGCGTCCTAATTTATGTACATAATTATGTTTATAATGACACGATTAATTCTCTCTCCATTTCGGATCAGAAAGAAGCTTCCTCGACTAATGCGCGTATACATAGCATTGGGGCCGTTCGATCCACAGATCGGACGGTCTCGAATCAGCGCACCTCACGCGATGGCTTCCTCCTCGGGCTCCCACAGACCGACGGCCCGGATGAAGCAAGTGGAGCCGCCGACGACCAAGGCGGCGAAGAGGGGCGGTACCACCAGGTCCATCCGCGACCGCGCGAAGAGCCCCGCCGGGACGCACACCACCTCCCGCGGCGGCCCGTCCGTGGGGACCCTCACGGCCGGGCCGCCGGCCGCGGCAGTACACGCGCTGGAGAAGGACGAAGACGGCATGACGGCCCATACGAAGGCGAGCTCCGGCGCGAAGGACGTGACGGCCACCGTCGCGGTGAGGAGGGCCGCCCATGCCGCGGCGTAGAGGAGCAGCGGCCGCTGGACGAGGAGCACCGCCCGCAATGCCTCCGGGAGGAACGCGAGCGTCATCGTGGCAAGAGGTGGGCAAGCTTTATGGTTCGCAGAGAGATGGATGCGTATATAGAGAGAGAAGAAAGTAGTGGGATGGTGAAACAGGTTTGAGTAGGTGAGCAAAGTGGCGATGGTGGTGAGATGAGAGTCTAAACGAGTCGGTGACGGTTTACCTGCGCCCCACCGCGCTGCCATCAGGGCTGCCTATCCAGGTGGCACGATCAGGAAGGTTTAACCCACCTGGAGACGGATCACGTCGGTCGATCTTCGAGGCGTCTTCTCCAGACCATTCGATCAAGTATCCCATAGTAATCTCAAATCGAATGCGAATTGCCGCATGCTTTCGGGATCGATCGGGTCTCCGACGGTGCTTCAGATTTCGTCATCGGTCTCTGCCGCCGCCACCGCGAAGACGCCTCTGACATCAACCTACTCTATCGCAGGATTTCGAGGTGTCCCTGGAGACTGAGCAGGCAGGGCTACATGGCCTTTATTGGCGCTTTCTGCGGGAGAAATCGGTCTAATCGGTTGGGTAGAACTGTTCCGAAGCGAATGGAGGAGAAGGGATTTGAAGCAGATGAATTGCCTAATGTGCTCTGTTCCGGTGCTTTTGTAGAGTTGGGGAACGACTTGGAAGCCGATGAATTCTTGTATGGATTGTGCCAGTCGGAGAAGTTGAGGGTCGCGCACAAGTTGTTCGATAAATTGACGAAGAGAAGGCCACGACTTACAGTGTTCTGAGCACACTTCCGATCGCTTGCTGGACAGAGAGGGTCGAATAGGCTGAAAAGCCATTGAGAGAGGCACTGGAGAAGAGCATTGCGTTTGTGACTTGTGCTTATGGGTCATTCATGGAGGCACTGCTCCGGGCGGTTAGAGCAGAAGGGGCAATCAAGCTTTGTGAGGTTGAAAGGAAGAAAGGAAATGCTTTTGAAGGTGATGGATGTCATGGTCGTGATGCTAAAAATCTTTGCAAAATGGCAGAATTGATGCTGGAGATGGATTTAAGCTTCTCTTTAAGTTGTTTGCTCCAACTGTGCAGTTTAGAATTGGATTCTAGAAAGCTATTGGGAAGCATGGAGGATGCTACAAATTTTGGTTGTTGTGTTAGGCCTGTTGCATCAACATACTCTTTGATGATCCATGGCTTTTTCTGGAAGGGGCATATAGTATTCTTGAACAGATGACAAGGAAAAAGATGCAAGAACATATTATGGTTCTGCACACGTATGCTGCTCAAACTTAACACAGGCTCAAGGGGACAGAAAAATACATGAACAAACTGATCCAAAGTGGGAGTACAGTTTTGTATGCTGGATGGGAAGTGTTTCCAGATTCCGTGACACAAGAATTGGGGATGATAAATTGCTGCAGCAATTGTGCATACCTAGGGAACAGAGAGGAAAGGCCATCAATGGAACATGATTAAGGAAGAGAACTAATTGCAGTACAACTTCTGCTTAATTTTTCTCCCATCTCATGTGACAGTGATCACGAAATTCCATCTGGACTGGTGAGTTTTAAGCTGGCCTTGGTATATGGCAACCAATTTCTTCGCTTGTTTTGCTACATAAGAAGTTTAGTATTCTACTAGTTTCCTGCATATAGTAACATGATATCTTCTCTGGTCTTTCTTAAATACAATGCAAGGTGATTTATGGAAATAGGTGTTATATCTGTGTAGTCTTTAGTCCTGTTGTGTTGTTTCAAACCACAGTAATATTAGATTTGTCATCATCGAATGGACTCAAAGAGAGATAACACTTCTAAGCCCCTCTTATTTAGTTAGAGTCATTTGAACATCCTTGTAATTTAGTGCTCTAAGGACAACCAAGCAGAAGATTCAGAACCATGTATCATAATAGCTACAACTTTCACTGGATCAGAAGACAGTGTCGAACATATCGAAGTCAGTCAAACAGCATATTGCTCCACATTATATATAGATCTACTGACATTTTATAGCGAAAGATAAGGATAAATCATAAGAACTAGCTCTTGATGTCCATTTATTTTGCATTGCAGCAACTGCTGGTGGCATGCACTCACAGGACAGTGAAACTATTGTGGCGTTATAGAGATAGGAAAGTGCATCTATTACAAAGAGTGCAAAGACACAGATTAAGCACACAGCCTCAGTGATTTTTAGTAACACTGCTCTTCAGCTCCTGTTGCAGCGAAGCTGAAGGACGACCATCAGGTGGATTCTGGGCCGGCTTGCATGCCGTCTTCTGCTCACTAACTTCCACTGGAGGAGCTTCAGAGCTGGAGAAGTTTTCAGGGAGAGCAAAGACACCCCGCGACGCATTCCTCTGGTGTCGACTTGGCCTCTCGGACTTTTTCTCCATGGAGATCTTCCTGGAAGAGTGGATGGATGAGATAAGGAGCAGCAGAAGGAGATGGGAATGGTGGAGACTTGGAGGTGGTACCAATAAACTGGGGTAAGAACAATGTCCTCTTGTTGTTGTTGTTGTTCTCTCATGCATTGACCCAACACTATTATTGAGTGGCAGGTAGGTGTCAAGAGCCAAAAGATAGAAGCAGGATATCTTTCTGCCTCTCTCAAAATTACTTGTAAGTCCTCAACACCTCTACCTTGCTATGCTATGATCCTGTCATTGCCTTGTCCAGTTGATTGCTTGTTAGGCTGAATCCAACCTTTTCTGCCTCTTTAACAAGTATACAGACATATATGCACTCAGTATAGCTTAGGAATTTGGAAATTAATCATGCACTTGATCTCAGATCCTAAACCTTTGTCAAAGGTTTGCATGATACATATATAAATATACATATTTAGATGTATGTTAAGCTCATAAACAATCATATTTAGTATGTTTGACAATTGCATTGCATATTCTACTGGAATCTTTTGTTGCAATCAAATCAAATTTGATTTAGATCATTTTAAGTCCCGTAGTGTGATTTGCCTTATAAATCAGATATCAATGAACTTGTATAAAATTTTATGGAATTCAGCCGATCATTGGATATTGTCGAGCAGTGGAAATCCATATCAGTGAAGGATATTTCTAGTTATTTTTGGGATGAAATGAGTTAATCTCTTACAGATGTAGGCAGGCTGGTATGACCGTGAAAGACGTCGTTCGATTGGCCCAATCCCGATCGCCATGGATCGCCATCCAAGCAATCTCCCGCCCTCCATCGGAACTCATCTGACGTGTGGAACTCAGTGATCCAAGTTGAGTCAGGATATCGGGGAGTGCTGTCCAGGCCGGTACGAGGGCGGAGAAGATGGAGACCGGGGGGAAGGCGAGGTACGGCGCCGGCGGTCGGAGGGGAGGAGTTGAATCCAAGAAGAAATCCGTCTCTCGGTCGGTGAAGGTCGGCCTCCAGTTCCTGGTGGGCCGCATTGGCCGCTACCTCAAGTAGGACCGCTACGCCCAGCGCGTCGGCGCCCTTCCTCGCCTTATGATCAATACATGAAGTTTAATCATCCACATGGGGGCAGATGAAATATTTTTCTCATTAATGTACTTAATATTTTATGGCCAATGCTATTAAGCTAACAATATGAAAATGTGGATTTTCAAAATCAACAAATTGAGACAACTCCATCATATTGAATTTGCAATTAAGATTGACATTAACAGACGTAAAATTAAAATTTTAATACTGTTATGATAATAATAGTGAACTGAAATAGAAATTATAATGCTTTATGATAATAATAATCACTTAACTAATAATATCAACAGCAATCATATATCTAAAGGTATATAGGAAAAGGAAAAGCTGACTATAAATATCACAAAGTTACGTCCCATCCACAAGGGATAAATGCTTGCCGGCATCAGTGCATGGCGATTCGAAGCGGGAAAAGGCCATAAAGCGACAGCAGGGGGGCCCATCTTATCCGTTAGGTTGGAGCCTTCCGAAGACCGCTCGAGTGTTCGTCTTCGCTCTGTGTTCCGAGGAAGGAGGAGGAGGAGGAGGAAGAGGGGATGAGCAGAACCTGCGAGAGCAGAAGCTTCTCGTCTTCCCCACCCATCTCCGGATGATTTCGGCGGTTCTCTTCGTTATCGTCCTCCCCGACTTCTTTTAGGTACTACTACGGTCCCCTACTCATCGACCCCCCCCTTTCCCGCTCTTCTCTCCGTGCTCTGTTTCCTCTCGCGAGGTCCGTGCTCTTCCTTCGATTCCGTACTACGCTTTCCTCTCGTATGTTTCTATCGGGACCTAATCGTTCCGGGTTTTCTTTTCTTGAACTTTTGGTGTTCTTGTGGTTACGTGAATCTTGATTTTGCTTCTAGCTTTTCTTGGCATGGATTCGCAGCATTAGTGACCGAAAATGAGGGTTTATTAGTCTTCATACCCTTTGCTTTTATGGATTCATATCGGGAATCGATCGTTTCGGGTTCTCTTTTCTTGAATCCTTCGAATTGTTTTGACGTTGAACTGGATACGAGTCCTTGCGATTTCGTGAACCTTGATGTTTTCGTTTTTGCTTTTCTTTGTAGGAGTTCTCGCCGCTGATGGCTGCAAAGTAGCGTTTCCTCTTCGTGGCGACTTTTTCCTCGTAAATGCTTTCGTAACGCAATCGTTTCGGGTTTTCTTTTCTTGACTCCTCGACGTGCGTGGAGATTGAAGTCCTTGCGATCACGTGAATCTTGATTTTCTTAATAGGGTTTAATCTTCATACGCTATTCTCTCATTGATTTCTACGGAAGTTGATCGTTTTGGTTTTTCTTATTGAATCGTTTCGGGTTTTTGCGATTACGTATCTTGAATTCTTTTGCTCCATTTTTCAATGGGATAAGGAGAGCGGAAGAAGATTTTTGATCGATCCCCAATGGCGTGGTTTCGCGCCGCGTCGGGGGTCGCACGACTGGCCCTCAGGCGAAACCTTGCTCGAACCCCTTACCACGTCGCGAGAGCTGGCGCCCTGCCTCGGTTCCAGCCCGCCCGATGCTTCCACTCGACGCAGCTGCGGCGGGCCGCACCGGTCCCCCGCCCTGTGCCGCTCTCGCGGCTCACCGACAGCTTCCTTGACGGCACCAGCAGCGTCTACTTGGAGGAGCTGCAGAGGGCATGGGAAGCCGACCCCAGCAGCGTGGACGAGTCCTGGGACAACTTTTTCCGGAACTTTGTCGGCCAGGCCGCCACCTCACCTGGTATCTCCGGCCAGACCATCCAAGAGAGTATGCGGCTACTCCTCCTCGTCCGAGCCTACCAGGTAAATGGCCACATGAAGGCCAAGCTCGATCCTCTAGATCTCGAGGAGAGGGAGATGTCGGATGACTTGGATCTCGCCCTCTATGGGTTCACAGAGGCTGATCTGGATAGGGAGTTCTTTCTTGGAGTGTGGAGGATGTCGGGGTTCTTATCGGAGAACCGCCCTGTTCAGACCCTTCGGTCGATCTTGGAACGGCTCGAGCAGGCCTACTGTGGGACCGTAGGGTACGAGTACATGCACATTCCCAACCGTGATCAGTGCAATTGGTTGAGGGAGAGGATTGAGACCGTGAAGCCTAGGGAGTACAGCCAGGAACGACGTCAGGTCATTCTTGATCGACTTACATGGAGCACACTGTTTGAGAATTTCTTGGCCACAAAGTGGAAGGCTGCAAAGCGGTTTGGTCTGGAAGGTGGCGAGACTCTGATTCCAGGAATGAAGGAGATGTTTGATAGAGCTGCTGACCTGGGGGTAGAGTCCATTGTGATTGGAATGCCTCACAGAGGAAGGCTAAATGTTCTGGGCAATGTCGTTCGAAAACCTCTGCGGCAGATCTTCAGTGAATTCAGTGGTGGTACTAAACCTGTAGAAGAGGGAGAAGGGTTGTACACAGGGACCGGAGATGTGAAATATCATCTAGGTACTTCGTATGATAGGCCCACCAGAGGTGGGAAAATGATCCATCTATCATTAGTCGCAAATCCAAGCCATCTTGAAGCGGTGGATCCAGTTGTGGTTGGGAAGGCGAGGGCTAAACAATACTATTCTAATGATATTGAGAGGACCAGGAATATGGGGGTGTTAATCCACGGTGATGGAAGCTTTGCAGGGCAAGGCGTTGTCTATGAGACATTGCATTTGAGCGCCCTTCCCAATTACACAACCGGGGGGACAATTCACATTGTTGTGAACAATCAAGTTGCATTCACAACGGATCCAAAATGTGGGAGGTCTTCTCAGTACTGTACCGATGTTGCCAAAGCGTTAAGCGTTCCGATTTTCCATGTGAATGGTGATGACGTCGAAGCAGTTGTCCATGTGTGTGAGCTTGCAGCTGAATGGCGCCAGACATTCCATTCTGATGTGGTGGTTGATGTTGTCTGCTACCGTAGGTTTGGACATAATGAAATTGATGAGCCGTCTTTCACGCAGCCCAAAATGTATCGGGTAATTTCTTTTGCATATTATCATTTTTTTGGACATTCTCAACTTGGTTCTACCTTTACCTGTCTTATCTTAACTGCCATCTATTGCCACTGGACATCATTATGGCCATACTGACCGGTATCATGTTGAAACAGGTAATTCAGGATCATCCAAGTGCACTTGAATTGTATGAAAAGGAACTTTTAGAATCAGGACGGATCTCTAAAGATGATGTTGATAGGATGCGTAATAAAGTTAGTACAATTCTGGAAGAAGAGTTTATTAACAGTAAAGATTATGTCCCAAGAAAAAGGGACTGGCTCTCTGCTTACTGGGCTGGCTTCAAATCACCGGAACAGATTTCACGTATTCGTAATACTGGGTATGATTAACTTCCTTTATTTCCTTCGCTTGAAATTGTTTTCCGGGGACCATCTTTTCATCTATGAAGCACTGCATTATTATATAGTGTCAAGCCGGAGATACTCAAACGTGTTGGACAAGCCATTACAACTCTTCCTGAGAACTTCAAGCCTCACAGGGCAATCAAGAGGATTTTTCAGCAGCGGGCTGAGATGATTGAAACTGAGGAAGGTATTGACTGGGCACTTGCTGAGGCTCTTGCTTTCGCCACCCTTATAGTGGAAGGTAATCATGTCAGATTGAGTGGGCAAGATGTGGAGAGAGGAACATTTAGTCATAGGCATGCTGTGGTTCATGATCAAGAAACTGGAGAGATGTACTGCCCTCTGGATCATATTATTATAAACCAAGATGAGGAAATGTTCACTGTCAGCAACAGGTATGTATCCCCAGATTTTCTTTTATGCTTCTGTTTAACGTGACTTTTCACTTTACATTGATGTTTATCTCTGCATTTTTTGAACATATTGTGCAGGGCACTTTTGTGTTCAGGATTGTTAGGTTGCTTTTTCTCAACAATGGGAAAAAAATTAGAATACCTTATTTGCCATCACATGCGTTCAAAATACACACATCCCATAGAAAATTGATGTTTAATCATATATTGAAATAGTGAAGTAATCTTGCTGACTAAATGTAACATAACCCATTGCTGTACTTTTTGCTTATCATGTCTCCTCATTCACAGCATTGTGTTCTAGACCCTAGATTTTACGAGTGTTTGTCATTGCAGACATTGTTCTTCAGATTACTTCTATTCTTTGTGCTTTGGGCCCAATCATACGTGTCTTGTATGTTTCTAGAGTTGTAATATATTTACAATGTGCTTTTGGAATATGAATTTTATTCTGTAGACTATCATACAAATATTTTATAGTGCACGTTTAATCCAAGCTATCCCGCTCCTGTTGCTTCCAGTTCACTGTCAGAGTTTGGGGTCCTTGGTTTTGAATTGGGCTACTCGATGGAGAACCCTAACTCGTTGGTACTTTGGGAAGCACAATTTGGTGATTTTGCAAATGGTGCTCAAGTTATGTTTGATCAGTTTTTGAGTAGTGGAGAAGCAAAGTGGCTGCGGCAAACTGGACTTGCTGTGTTGCTTCCACATGGTTATGATGGTCAAGGTCCAGAACATTCAAGTGGGCGAGTCGAGCGCTTTCTCCAGGTAAACTCATGTAGGGTCCTGTTGGTTTTAATGCATTACACATCTCCTGTATGGTTATTGTCCATGATAGCATCAAAAATTAACTAGCCAATTTCGATCATTTAATATATCATCTTTTGCTGCAAAGTCAGGGTGGAAAGAGTGATGCAGCTCCAGGCAGTATGCACAGGCTGCTATTAATGCTGTGCATTCTTTTCTCCATCAATTTAGCCTTCATATTCTAGAACTGCTTTAAGATTCCTATGTAAGACTTTTCTTAATGTTCTAGCTGAAGTAACTACTCATAAGATTTGTCAATTGTGTACAAGCTTGCAAATGGACCATTGTAGATTTATTGTTATCAATAAATGTACAGTATAACAACAATGAGGTGCCTACCCAGAATTAGAATTGATATATTAATTGTATGCAAAAAAACCCCTCTTGTCCATTTATTGATGTAAGCATGGTTGCTTTACTAGATGGGCAAGGAAAATATGGAGTGAGGAGACTACTATAGGGATGAGGGAGGTAGAAGACTACGCGAGAGAAAATGGAGTGAGAAGGACAAATCTCTTTACTAGATGGACAAGGAAAATATGTATGGCTACCAAGCCACAAAGTGAGTGAAAGACTGGGAGATAGATAAATGTGCCAAGAAAGATGGAGATGAAAAAGCTTCATGAGATAATTAAAAAGGAGAAGAGAAAAAATATGGCTACATGGCCTTTAATCAAAACATTATAATGCTTTATCAAAACACATTTCAGAAGGAAAATCCATCATATATTTTATGATTTAATTCTTCTCCTCTCTGCCCAATTGATCTTGCTGTTGTTGAGTTTTGTCTTTCTTACTCAAATATCAGTTGGTTTAGATAGATTTGAGTAGTAGGCCAAATTCCTTTAATTTCTATTCTGAGTTCTTTTGGAAATTTGAATTCTAGATTGATAAATGAGAATCTTAATAAAATTTCAATTTATCACCAACTTTAGGAGGCAATATGCAACTAGAAACATTCTAAACTTGGACTCTAAGACCTGACTCAAAATAGAAAACAAGGCTAACTAAAATTTTACCAAATGATTTAATACAGTTAATCCAAACTCAATTTTGTCTCAAAACGACACTTGAAATATAAAAAAAAAAAGTTTGACTCAAACAATATCCATATTGGTACAGACTTGAACAAAGTAAGAACAAGTCCAAGTTCATTGTATTTAGGCCAAAAATCAGTGAAAGAAAATATCACTCTGAAAATTATGGAAAATGATAAAACCAAGACTTTGACCCACTAAATTAAATCTGATTAAATTCTAACTTGGTCCCATAACAATTGTTGCATTATTTATGTGTGCAAGGTATGTGCTACATTTTGTTTTTGGAATGCCTATTGTTCTCTTTTTTATTTTTTATGAGCCAGTTAGTGAAGCATGCTCAGCAAGGTATGTGCTGCATTTGGTATGCTTTCTCATTGTGTCATGAGGTTAGCTCTTATGTAATCATTGTTACCCTTCTCTTGTCGTTATTAAGGCTGTTAAATTCTCATTTTGATGGTCACTCCATTTTGATTAAGTCTTTGTATTATTTTTTATTCTTATTGCACATGTCTTAGCCTTTGCAAATAAGAATATTGATGTTTGAGATACTGAGATTTTTCAGTAATTTCATTGGTTACAAATCAGTAAGCAAACAAATCTACAGCATCTTTTTAATTATTATAATGGTCATTGATGTAGTAAGTGATGTAAGCTTCGGTTTCATATTTTATTATATAGATTTACAAGTTCTCATATGATTGATTTACTGTTCACGACATGCTACCATGACGGTATTGCAGTGACACATCACAATGGCGCCATAACATCACATCATGGGCATTGTTTCATGCCTATGGTCACATTTTGGCAATTGATTGTGGGCGTGGCTCTTCTCAATTGCCTGTGCTTAGTGTGATTATCTTGTTGGCAGGAGAGCATGATTTTCATAGGCAATATACCCCTCATGTGCTTCAATATAAAATGTATTGTAGCTTCTCCTCCTTTGGGTTTTCCATTACGTAGTATTATTTTGTTGAACTTCTAATTGCAAGATTTTCGCCTTCCATTAAGCTATGTTCTGATTTACTAAATGCAAATGCTAGACCACATTAGGTCTAAATTCTGTCTATGCTTTGTTCTGATGCTGACTCCAACCCACATCTCGCCATTTTTTTTCTTTATCTTTCACAATCTACTGTTGATAACTTGATATTATCTACATCTTTTGTTGGTCTTTGCAGTTTTAATTGATTAGTATTAAACCTAACATGAAATTGCAGATGAGTGACGATAACCCATACATTATACCAGAGATGGATCCAACACTTAGAAAACAGATCCAGGAGTGCAATTGGCAAGTCGTGAATGTGACAACTCCTGCAAACTATTTTCATGTTCTGAGACGGCAGGTGACGACTGTTGGCAAACATGTATTCTCTTAAGGTGTTTTCAAGATTGTTACGTAAATTATTTCAATCTGGTATCCAGCTACACAGAGATTTCCGGAAACCTCTGATAGTGATGTCTCCTAAAAATCTTCTCCGTCACAAGGACTGCAAGTCACACCTCTCTGAATTTGATGATGTCCTGGGCCACCCTGGATTTGATAAGCAGGGAACTCGCTTCAAGCGCCTAATAAAAGACCGGAATGATCACAAAGAAATAGAGGAGGGTATTGATCGTTTAATTCTGTGCTCTGGGAAGGTGATGGTTCTTTATGATGTCTCTTCTATATCTATCTGGCCACTTTTGTTACATTTTTGTTATTTGTTGAGGGAAGTATTGTTACTCCTATTTGTTTCCTGCAGGTGTATTATGAGCTGGATGAAGCTCGGAAAAATACAAAACGGAACGACGTGGCAATTTGTAGAGTTGAACAGCTTTGCCCTTTTCCTTATGACCTCATTCAGCGAGAGTTGAAAAGATACCCAAGTACGTGCCAGTCACTTTTACTTAGCTGAACATTTTAACCTTTGTTGTTTTGCATGTTTGTGTGAATAAATAAAAACCTCAACACTAACTCAATCTCACCTTGGGTTGCATTTTTGTTAAACATAATTCAACAAAATCCATTAAACATATGCTTTCAAGAAACGTGTCTTGTGGCTATTAGCAAGATACATTTCTCTGGTTAAATTTACATTGTTCTTCTATCATGAGTGCAAGACACTTGCTGTGGTTCGCAATATGAAAATTTAGTGGCTAATACAACCGAAACAGGTAATGACTAAAATCATTAGCCCTTTTTCGGAGGTAAAATTGGTTGCCTCATTTCGTGGTATCCCGACATTCATTAATCACCAGCATTTTCTAGTAAGCAGATTGAACCAATTGAAACTTGGTTTCTGGATTTCAGATGCGGAGATCGTCTGGTGCCAGGAAGAGCCAATGAACATGGGTGCGTATTCCTATGTGAACCCTCGTATATATACTGCCATGAGGGCGATAAGCAGAGGAAATATAGAGGACATAAAGTACGTCGGGAGGGCGCCTTCTGCAGCCACTGCAACCGGTTTCTTATCTGTTCATGTGCAAGAGCAGAAGGAGATTTTACACAAGGCGATGCAGCCGGAACCAATCGGATTCCCGTTTTGAAGTAATGTTTCACACGAACGATTAAAGAACCAGTTGTTACGTGTTTGTCGATGATACTCAATATTTGGTATCAGACAGCAGACTTGTCGCTTGTTATATCAATAATGATTGGGCGTGGACGAAGGTCTGTTTTTTTTTTTCCCAGAATAATTGGTAGCTCTTGCATTTATGTTTCAAGTCGACTATTGACTTACCTGTTTGTTTGTTATCTTATGCTGCTGCTTTTTTTTTCCTTTTGGCCTTTTTGGAAGACCGACCCCCTGGCCTTTGAGATCACTGACAGGATGGGTGGGTGGAAGACATCTGCAGGTGGGGGGGGAGCACACGATTACGGGAGGAATGACATCATGTAATTTAGTTGGCTTGGAAGGTTTACCCACCAATACCCCAAATCATCATTGCTCGCCTCAGCATCAACCGTAAAGCCCCAATCGAAAAAGCAGGCCTGGCGCTGATGATTAGGCGAATCATCTTGGCATCCACGTGTCACCACACGGGAAGAAGGTATGATGGATGGATGGATGGATGGAGTTGTGAAGCGACCACATTATCGACGAAGGAACTGATGCCGCTCATGCTACAGCCGACGACATCGGTTGTCGCTTCGCCTCCGTCGACACAGCGAGTGTAGCTCGTAACACACCAAACCATGGCCGATGTTAAAACTGTCGCAGGTCATTCCTGCCGTTGGGGCTCAAAGTTGCAGGACACATCAGTCACGCTTACTAGCATGACCTCACCAGAAAGTGCTACCATCACATGGGCGTAAGCCAGATTGCATCGCTCCAGCAAAGAGAACGGTGGCCCACTTTTGTTGTCTCTGCCGCGATAGGGTTCGAGTCTCGAACCAATTCAATCGACTGTCCGCCTCGCCGGTCCCATTGCTCGGTCGTCGATCCCTCCTCACGCCTCAGACTGCGAGACCACGGAGGTTCTCTCCTCCTGATGGAGACAGGTGAGCCACGCCCTCGAGTACTTGCACATGCGCCGATGCGCGACGGTAACCGAGATGGCAATCGCTGCTGGGCTGCTATGCTAATTCGGCATCGCTGCTGCGGATGGGTTGCCGTGGCCATGATGGAGGAGCTTCGATGCAGGGAAAGCCTCTGTACTGAGCTTAGACATCAGGTAGTGCGGCCTGCCACAGCAGCACCAAAGCTGCAACCCCCTCTCCCTTTCGGCTCATGTGTTTTTCCTCCTCCCCATCGATGACTCGGACAACTACAGGGATCAGACATTAGCATGCCACCAAACCCGCAAGTAGCGGGTCAATGGCGTGGAGCACCACCAGCGGATCTCGACCACGCCCTTCCGTCCATCATGTCGCCTTCTGACCCAGTCAAATCTACCAAAGGATGAGTATTTTCCTTCTTTCCAAATACGATTCAACCGCCGCTGCACCTATATGGAGGGAGGAAGGACAAGTGGGCTGCCCATCCACCGCTCGACCTTCCGTGGAGCTGCTTCCTCTAAAACCTCAGGCAGGACCAGCGTCTTCGTCTTCCAACGACATGCCGGCTTGTACGCCCGCTGCTGCGTTGGTGCGCATCCGTCACACCACCCCCACCCCCACCCCCCACCTTTGCATCAAATAAAGAAGAAGACAAGTGGCAGATACTTGCTGGCTCCACGCGCCCCGCAAACACTCGTCTTCTACCTCAGCTTTTCGGCACGGAATCGACCCCCCCCCAAAGGGAGAGGTGATTTCCTATCGAGAACGCATTGGAGCCCAAATTTATGATATCTGCCCCCATGTGACTGTTTGCTTGGGATATGCTGTTGCCTCGGATACCGTGGCACACGAAAGATGAGATCTTCGTAAAGGACGGCAGTGTTTGCCATCTGAGGTGGAGCGGGCGACGCATTAAGAAAAAGAGTCGAGATGAGCAGGTCGTCCTGCACAGAGTTAATGCCATCCCGGGAGCATGGCTATTAAACTATGAAGCAGCCCGACGCAGCCTCCATTATGCTCTGATATCGCCTTCTCACGCGCAGTGCTCGTGGGCAGTCCGGCTCGATCGCTATAGCATCTGACATCACTCGACCACGGAGAGCAGGGCACGGCCTATATATGCCACCGCAGTAGTTGCCGCAGTCCACCAGGAGGAGGAGGAGGAGGAGGAGGAGGAGGGATACGATGAACAAGATGGCGATGCGAAAGGGACCGTGGACGGAGCAGGAGGACCTGCAACTGGTATGCTTTGTGGGGTTATTCGGTGACCGTCGTTGGGATTCCATAGCCAAAGTCTCAGGTTTGAAGGGGGGAGGCTAGGTAGGCTTACTTTGCCGATGGCCGGCAACCCAAGCTCGCCGCTTAACCCCGCCGCTCGTTCCTCTGTGTCGGCAGGTCTCAACAGAACCGGGAAGAGCTGCAGGCTGCGCTGGGTCAACTACCTCCACCCCGGCCTCAAACGCGGCCGCATGACCCCCCAGGAAGAGCGCCTCATCCTCGAGCTCCACTCTCACTGGGGCAACAGGTCTGCTTCCCGCCTCCCCCACCCCCCCCCCGAAGGCTTCATATCTGTCCACCATGCACGCACACGTGATATATAAGCTTCGCTCGCAGGTGGTCTCGCATCGCCCGTAAGCTCCCGGGCCGCACCGACAACGAGATCAAGAACTACTGGAGAACCCACATGAGAAAGAAGGCTCAGGAACGAAAGAGAAAGGCGTCTCCGTCGTCGTCTTCGTCTTCCTCCTGGTCGCTCACCGACAACTCCGCCGCCCCGGGTAAACCGCCGTCGGAAGACGCGCCGGGGGGCGGTCAAGAGCTTAACTGCAGCGGCACGACGACGGCGCTCGGAGGGATTGGAGACGACGACGATGCTCTCAATGGCTGCTACTCCATGGACGAGATCTGGGATGAGATCAGCGAGCTGAGCTTTCAGGAACGCGAGGACGAACGCGTCTCGTGCCCCCCGATGCCTTCTCCCGTCTGGGAACACTTCTCCTACTCCCTGTGGAAGATGGACGACGAGGACTTGGGCTTCCAAGCTCCCTGATCGAATCCGCCGGGCCGAGTTCTCCTCGCATCCATGTCCATAGACGCGAAGTGCTTCTGAAGGCAACCTCTGTCAGCATGCAGCATTTCTCTTCTATGTTGGGCTGTGATAGATGTTGTTGTGAGGCTCACTGTAAAAATTCCTACTTGTTTGTCTCTAGAGATCTGTAAACAGAGTTCGAATCGGTTTGACTTCTTCTTCCTGGTCGTTGTTCTCTCTTCAGATTTCTAGTCAAGAAAAGCTCAATCCAAGATCCTCTCAGGAGCCAATCTTCTTCTCTGGTAGGAAAGGTCAACATAGTTTCGATGATTGCTCACCGAACCGAACAGATAAGAAACAAGAAGGATTGATTTATACTACTGTTTCATTAAGTTCTTTCCATTCTTATGTGATTTGGCACATCAGAATCTTGTGGTTCATATAATAATATCTATCTCTGGCCAACTTTGACCAAAGTGGAGGGGTCAAAGCAGTGCAGAATTAACAACCTATGTTTTATCTCTGTTACCCAAACATCAACGTGGGAAGGAGATGAATCGTAATTCAACAGAGCCCCACTTTTCCTCTGGCTTTTGCCATGTCAGAGAAGCTGGACAATTTTGGATTGGAGAGTGAGATCAGATTGGAAGATTGTAATATAAATTGGTAGTGGTGATAGGGCTGCTAAAAGATTGATGATTATTAAGGTGTCCTCTACTGCTACCTTTCTGATGGATGGTGGGGTGATCTTTGCTTCAGGTTACTCTTCTTTCCTCTGATACTTCTCTTCTTTCTTACCATCACTGTTATCCCTAATTAAAATAACATGTCAGTGCTCCACTAAAAAACCCACCGAGCCACCACAATATGACACTGCTGCTTCTTCCTCCCAGTGAAATCTTGACCAACAGCTTTTTGAAGTGATATGGTGGCAGAATCCATGATAACGAGAGTTCCATTCAGAAGCATGTACAGTTAAAAGAGAGGAAACAAGCATGGCCACTTTCCAGTCTCGTGCTCCATCTTTGAATCCTTTGCTTATCATATGAGCTCAGCTCATCGAGCCACAAACTTCTTCTTAAGGAAAAGGAAACAGATTCCTCATCTAATGTTGAATGTTCAGAGAACACTAAGATTTCTTGCATTTGAAGCTGCAACTTCTCAGCTGGAGTGAACTCCACCAGCTGTTGTCATCTGCTATCCATCATGATCGAGCCGGTTCGTTAACGGGCTTGACATGGGCCGGGGTTGCAATCACTCGATCCCATCCGGGTTGGTTCTGACCCGCGTTCGAACGACCCGACTCGGCTTTTGTTTGACCACGAACCGAACCTCGCCACATCGAACCGGTTCTCTTCGACCAGTTAAAGCCCCTCGGTCGCGATCCCTGGGCAAAACCCTCCGCTTCGTCGCCGCCACCATGACCAAATTCAGGAAGCTCGGCCGCCACGCCGCCCATCGCGTCTCCATGCTCAGGTCGTTTTCGAGTGCTCCTTCTCCTATCCCCTGTTTCCGTTTGGTTTCTCGCACCAACACTCTGTTTCCCGTCCCGCCGCGCAGGACGATGGTCTCGCAGTTGGTCAAGTACGAGCGCATCGAGACCACGGTCGCTAAGGTGATTTCGACGGGCACTTGGTGGTCGTTGTGTTCTTTTTTCTTTATGTTTATGTTGGTTTTCGTGTGGATTGACGACGACCTCTTACTCCTCCTTGTTCGATGCCGGCCGTGGTCTCAGGCGAAGGAAGTTCGACGGCTTGCTGATAACATGGTGCAGCTGGGGAAAGAGGTATGGCACAAGTTGTCTTCTTGTTCTTGATGTTCTTGGCTTTGAATTCGTTGCAGCAGTTCCCAGATGCCTCATTTTTCTTGATGTATGCTTGGAAGAAAAAAAAGCGGTATTAAAATGAATCTTTCATAAACTTAGGTATAGTTTTGATCAATTCAGTGAGGTCTCTGATATTAAGGGCAAATTGTGACAATGTTGGCGGTGGTGTAACTTCTTGTAATTTCATGTCAGGAGAACTTCATGTTTGAGATGAAACTATCTGCTCCAAATGATCAAACTGGCATGGTAACGGAGTTAATTGCAGGAAAGGTCTGGCTAGTCTTGCTTTTTGAAAAGCTAGCCAGTATGCTCATCTCCAAAAGTGAAGCAAGAAGAAAAACTCTAGAACCTAGTTATCTATTATGCAGAGATATGATTTCTGTAGGTCTCAGATTGTCTATTTCTGACTATCAATGCTTCTTTCAGGGATTTACCACTCGTCTTATGATAATAAATTTCCAATACTCACATATGAAATAAAGACAGTGCTATTTGGGATATTTTTGCCTCTAAAGACAGCGGTGCTAGACTTTTTTATCCTCTATGATACTCGACATAGGTTAGCTCTCGTCTAAAGGATCGAAGCTGAATGCAGACGATCATGGGGTGACTCTACAACGAGGGGCAGAAAATTATTATTCTTCTGTCCAAGGGACTTAATTATGAATGTCTCTTGAACCTAAGAAGATAAGAACAGTATATATGATGTGAATTAAGAACCACATTGACAAAGTTAATTTTACATCTTGTTTCAGGTCCATTTTAGTAGTATTTTTTATATTAAAAGCATTAACAGTAGTATTCAATTTTTTAATTATTCTGAGGGAAAAATGAGGAAGATTAGGGGACCTGGGGGTGGCATGATGGGGTTTATTCTCCTAAGATTTACCCTGGGTCAATGTTAGTAAGATTGCAGATGAGAGATGCGGTCAGATTGTCGACTGCTTAAGTAAACAGTAGGGGAGCTGTTATTATGCCTTGCCAGTAGGATATCGGCATTGAGCTCAGTGCCTTGCTGAGCTGGTTCCCTGACAACAATGGTGGTATTGACTGAACAACGGTCTTTGCATGTATGTTTTTGATCAGTGGCTAGCCTGTTCATGCTGGTAACCAAGTCATGTTGATGCCAATGTTGCGGCATAACTATGGAGGGAGAATGTTGACTAGGTATTTAAGGGCCTTTAATAGCTGGAAATTTGGACAGCTATTTTAGGAACTAATGCTCATCTTGTTGTAATGACTATAAGATTATTTTAGGAACTTGAATTTATTTTCTTTCTGATGATTACACTGTCAACAAGTTGGAGCATAATTTTTGAGGTCTGATTCCCCAGATTGGCAGTGGAATATAATAAGCACATTCTGAGTAACTCTTTGACTACTTCTGTACCATTAGATATCAAGTAAAAAACCAGATTGGAAGCAACGTGAGAAATGAGAACCAGATTGGAAGCAACGTGAGAAATGAGAAGACACATATCCAAAATATTTCTGTCACATGGGTGACTATGACATAGAAAATCTTAGTGGTGACTGCTTCTAATCTTAATACAGATGCTATTTTCTTCAATGTTTTTGAGCTAGATAAAGTTAATCATGTAATATACTTCGTGATCTAGTTGCAAATTCTGGAGAAATCTATGTAATCTTCAGGATAACTGATTAGTGGACCACATGTCTGGCATATCTTGGTTTAGATAAATTATTTTCTATATTTGCTCTAATTTCCTTGTAGTTAATTCATTATTTACTTGGAGATGCTATGATCCACATAACTAGAACCAGATAGATGGAAGTGATTATTGTTTTATAATATCAAGAATTTGATTGTTTACAGGGTACACTTCATGCTGCACGTCGTGCTGCGGCTTTTGTTCGTGGAGATGATGTTCTTCATAAATTGTTCACGGAGTTTGCTTATCGCTATAAGTAAATGTTTAACTCATTCACTTGTTTTGCTTGATCCTTTGCCAGATCTGATCAAAAACATTGTTCAAACATCAGGGATAGAGTAGGTGGATATACAAGATTGCTTCGAACACGCATACGAAAGGGGGATGCTGCACCAATGGCATATATCGAGTAAAGTTCTCTTTCTTGGTTTGCCCTTCTGGGAGGTTTGTAGTGTGATATTGACGAGACAATTTATAGTGTTGAGAACATACTTGTTTTATCCTTGTGTTGTTAATGCTCACAACATATGGAACCATGATGACTGATTTACTTGACTTAAAAAATGGTTATGTTTTGATTATTGCAATATAGGAATTTTTGGTTTTTTTTCATAAACTCCTATCTGGTCATCTTCTTTTGTTATCGTTTAAAGATCTATGCCAGGTTTAATCAACTTTCATTTAACCAGTACATTTAATAGTCTATAAGTTAAACTGTAGTTCTGATGAAGCCTCAATGGTATCTTTTACATCTGTTATTTTCCTTTCAAATCTTAATATTCTGGCGGGGTTCATATGCCAATTTACATGTCCTTGCTTATGTATTTTATTTCTCTAAACTGCTAAAGTTATTCCTTTTACAACCCGTAACAAAGACCATTTTATAGGTTTATCTATGGTAATGTGTTTGCCTAGTGCCTCGTTTTATATATAACCAAGGAATGCCAAAATCATTGTACATTCACCGGAATTGCAAGTAGTCACGATGTGGCACCCATTAGTGATGTTTTTGTCAGCGTATGTATCAGCGGTCCCTTTGGCTACGCAAGCCTGATCACATTTTCTCGTTGTCTATTACGAGATGCTTTCTCATCACATTATAGGTTGTTACTGTGTTGACATACTTTAGACTATGAAATTTGTCTTATTATTTTTTGTTGTATGGGAAGAAATTTTATTACTCAAATTTTATTCCTCATGTCTTTTTCCTAACAATTTTGTAAAACTAACTAACTTGACATCCTCTGAGCAATAGTTGCATGAGCTTGAGTTGATCAGTTGATGTCTATGATACGATCAAAAGTTCAGCACAGTATATTAAATATAATACATTGTGTATTCATTCATCAATTGATTTTGTAGTTATGGCAAAACTAGATCCTGGAAGTTCTATGGATGTTCATGTTCTTGACGCCTCTTGTTGGTTAAATATAGCTTTTACTGATAGCAAGTTAGCTACAACTAGCGCATATCTACAGATGTCCATAACCATACAGGCAGATCTGATATTTGCATGCTGGATGCATATCTAATTTTGGTATTAGATAAAGCTATTGACAGAGACTAACTCTATCGTAAATGGTATAACTTGTTTCAGTTGTGTAAACTTAGCTACATAACATATAACCCAGCATCATAAATACATCTTTTATCGTTATATTAGACCATGTGGATTTTGATTGATTAATTCATAACCTCATGACAGGTTCGTTGATAGGGAGAATGAGCTCCGAGAGGCAAAACCTCCGAAGCCACAACCACCTGAGAGAGCCCCTCTTGATCCATGGGCAAAGTCTCGAGCAAGCCAACAGTGGGCATCTCCTAAAGAGAAAGCAAACTCTGGATCAGAAAACTGATCATTCTGTTTCAATGTGTTTGCAGCTCAACATTTTGGATGCCATTCTTGTATTTATTGCAGAATTTTTGCAACTCGCCGATATGGTGACACAAAATTGGCCCGGCAGATATCAAAGATTGCCATCCTCAACACTGGAGTATGCTGAAAACATGAATGTGTAGGATCAATAATTTCTTGAATCTATAGCCAGAAGGTACGAGTCAATGGTTAAAGATGGTGTTTTTAGTTTGTTTACAGTCTTTCTATGTTGAATTACTTGCATTACCCATCAAGTTATGTAACTGTTGCAGTAATAAAAAGTTGCAGTAGAGAATCCCAGTGGATGAGATTCTTCACCAATATCTGTAGATGGGTATTTGGCTCTACGGTTTTATTCTTCGCCAATAAAAGTGGTAAAGGGTTGGTTTTGAAACTGATTTTTTAATTATTTTTAATTAAAAATTTTGAAGTATAAAAGTTTATGAACTTATTTTAAAACAATATAAAAATAATTAAAATTATGAAATCGATGGTTCATAATTTCTTAATTTTTCAAACCTAAATGCCCAAATCGATGGTACACAAAAGGCGTCTCGAGCAGTTCCACCACCAATTTAGCAAGCCATCACTCCAAGCAAGTCTAAGCTTACAAGCCCCAAAAGAACTACCAAAATAAGCTTAGAAGCACTTCCGGTGGACGATTGCTGGGCCACATTCTTCATACTCCTCCTTCGTTATCGACATCTGCAAATGCCAAACATGCGATTGTTATATATATATATATATAGTGAAAACTAAAGATTTGATAGAAATCCTTGTACCTGCTGGAATGTACAGAGGGAAGCAAGGATGGAGCCTCCCATCCAGACGCTGTAGTTTCGTTCAGGTGGGGCGACCACCTTTATCTTCATGTTGCTCGGTGCAAGTGCCTCGATCTCCTTCCTCATGCGAACAGCAATGCCGGGGAACATCGTTGATCCGCCATTGAGCACAATGTTGCGGTATAAATCTTTCCTAATATCCACATCACACTTGATAATGGAGTTGTATGTTGTCTCATGGATTCCGGCGGCTTCCATGCCAATCAAGGATGGCCGGAAGAGAACCTCCGGGCACCTGAATCTCTCAGCCCCGATCGTGATAACCTGCCCGTCAGGAAGCTCATAGCTTTTCTCTGCGGCCGAGCTAGTGTTGGCGGTCTTCAGCTTCTGTTCATAATCAAGAGCGACATAGGCAAGCTTCTCCTTGATGTCCCTCGCAATTTCCCATTCTGCAGTCGTAGTGAACGAATAACCTCTCTCCGCAAGGATCTTCGTCAGCCAATCGGTAAGGCCACGGCCAGCGAGATCCAACCGAAGAATGGCATGAGGTAAAGCACATCCTTCGTAAATAGGAACCGTATGGCTCACGCCATCACCAGAATCAATCACGATACCTGCAAATATTTAGCATAAGCACCTTCCTTAGTCGAAGAGGCAAAAATAGATCGACCACCAACTCCATCATGCAAACACGATGCTCACCGGTTGTACGGCCACTGGCGTAGAGTGCAAGGACGGCCTGAACAGCAACATACATAGCCGGAACATTAAATCTCTCGAACATAATCTGGGCCATTTTTTCTCTGTTTGCCTTTGGGTTAAGAGGGGCTTCGGTGAGCAGTATACGATGCTCCTCGGGAGCAACACGGAGCTCATTGTGGAAAGTATGATGCCAGATCTTCTCCATGTCATCCCAATCGCTGACGACTCCATGCTCGATGGGATAATTCAGGGCGAGGATACCTCTCTTCGACTGTGCTTCATCACCAACATAAGCATCTTTTTGTCCCATCCCGACCGGAGCACCTGTGCGGCAAGGCCGGCCAACGATACTGGGGAAGACGGCCATAGGTGCATCATCACCAGCAAATCCAGCCTTTTGACAGGACAAATGCAAGAGTCATTTGAGTTTGTAAAGCAAATACCAATTTTAAGTAAAAGAAAGATAAATGCTCATCTGCAATGCAATAAAACCAACCTTGACCATTCCAGTTCCATTGTCACAAACAAGAGATTGGATACCCTCAGCATCTGCCATTTCCTATAAACCTGCAGAAACCAAGTGAGAAAAGGTGCTTCCAGACAAGGAAAATATGAATTTTCTGTACTTTAACCAGAGCACCATTATCAGATATAAATTGGAATAAGTAGAGAAGGTTGATGATACCCATCATATGATAGAACATTAGCAGCAGATGTACAAACAAGATATCTTATTAATGTGTAGCAGTCTAAATTCATTAAGGTGTATTAAGGAATGAATCACCTACAAGTGGAAAACCAAAAAAGAAATAATTATGTCAACCTTGCAATCATGTTTGTCCATAGACATCAAAATAACTTCATGGTGACTTGAGATGATATCAAACCCAATATGCAAGCATGTGCATGCAATGGTCAAGCAGGGAGACTTATTTATACAATTCTAACCCTCAAAACATTTTCTGCAAAAAAACAACTGCATGAAACATACTGCTCCCTCTTTGTTTTCTGATCTTTTCATGATTGGCTGGCACCAATAGCTAACCACATCTAAGAATCTACCACGAAATGGATGATCAGGCGGTACCATATTAATCATTGGCAATATAACTCATGAGGCATATGGAACAGAATTTTTTTGAAGAAACTATCTTTTAAAATCTTCGTGTATTAGCAAAAGCTTCATAATAAAAAAGCTTCGTGTACTAAGCCATCATAATAAAAAAGAGAGTCATTGACCCTCTCTAGACCATGCATTAGCAAAAGCTTCGTGTACTAAGCCAGCTTGAATCAGGTGATCTACATAATGTTCATGAAGTATATGAGATCAACTATCATTCTTTCAATTATTTAAATTTTCTGATTGATCTTAAAATATAAAGGCTCATCTGACACCAGATATTCCTTTGAGTTTTCTAATCATATCAGATGGGAAATACCTTAATGGTATTTGTCACATCTTGATTTTTTTTTTCTTTTTTTATAATATTACATCTTTTCACACATTTAAAGCTAATAAATAAATATTACTTTATTCATAATTTGTAAATATTTATTATAATTCATTTATTAATCAAATCATAAGTTAAAAATATTTATTGAAAAACATAGTAATATCAACTCGAAGAAATATTCAAGTGGCTCTACCTAACGGTAGAGGAAAGTTTGCTCTCCACTGGACTCTAATCTAGTGCTAGTGGAAGGTTGCTCTAAAAATAAAAAACAAGCAAATTCAGCAACGCTGAATAGGAACCCCAAAAATCAACTTAAAATGAATACATAATAAAAAATCAATCATCTCATTGGCGTATATCAAGTACCCGAAGGAATACTCTCTCAATAACGGATATAGAGGCTTTATCCTACGGGATGAGTTTGTATTCTCCCAATAGCGGATGGAGACAAACTCATATCACACTCCCAATAAACGGATAGACTAGTATCCCTCACATGCCAAAGTAGGAACACGTTCCACCCAACAGCGGATAGATGAACCGTCTAGTCATTACGTATGACGACCCGCTAATCCCCGAAGGGAATCGCCCTACCTACCCTCGACAGGGAAATAACATCATCTCACATTGGTCATGTTTATATCCGAATGAAATAACACATCAAAACATCCCTTTCAAACATCATTCATGTTAAATACTACTAATTAACTCTCAATTGACTTGAACCTTAGTTCAATCGTTTTAATTGAATTCGATTTCACTATAACATAGTTGAACCAATCTCTAATCCTCATTTAACTGGAACCATTATAGACTAATATAATTTGGATTAGATTAGGTTCAATCTAAGTTAAATAGACTCAAATAAATCAACTAATTCAGAATCATCCTGAATCTATCTAACCGATTGGTTTGGTGCAATTAATGTTTGAACTCAAATCTAACAATTTTATAATGCTAGGCTAGGTTGGGCTAGCCCATATACCGATCATGTGCATTGCACATGACTGTGCATGCACCACACCAGGTTGGGTCGACCCTTGGCCTATGGACTGGTCATGTGAGTCACACATGACCGCCCATGTTGGGCTGGGTTGGGTTAGCCTGCGAGCTAAGGCTTGACCTACGGGCTAGGCCTAGCTAATGGGTTGTAGCTTGACCTATGGGTTGGGCTTGGCCTGCAAGCTATTTCAACCTAATTTCTATCCGATTTCATATCAAATTGTGACAATATATCTTCACAAATAATTTTATATAAAAAAGCATAACAACACATTAAAAAATAAAATTGGGAGATAAAATTTAATACAAAGAAATAACATTCTCAATTCAACAGGAACTAGAAATCATACTTTCAATATATGAATAATTTTAACATAATCTAATCAAACAAATTTTAAACCTTTTAGAATAACATATTTTAAATTTTAGATTAAAGAATCTAAAAAATTTCAGATAACATATTTTAATCTAGATAAAGACTAAAAGATAAACTACAATATCAAGAAATATCATGCATTCAATACATAAAACATATATAATTTTTGTATGTTTAAATCCAAAAATAAAAACCTTAGAAAGAGGATGGAAGAATATCTTAAAAACTTTAGATGATATATTTTTATATAATAAATTTTTTTTTACATTTAAAGGATTCATAAATATTTTCGAACTATACATGGAATCAAAATAAAAACTTTTATTTTTCAAGGAAGATAGAAAAATTACCTCTCCTCAACACGATGCAACTCCTCGTTCCTCCCCTTAAAAGAATAAAGGAGAGAAATACATTCCCTTAAATAGGAGAAGATGAACCCTCCATTAAAGGAAACTTTTTCTTTTAATTTTTATATTTATTTAATATAAATTTTCATTTAATACACTAACAAATATGACACAATCCTATTTGGAATATTTAATAATTATTTTCTAATTCGCAATGATAAATAAGAAAATAAATATTAATATTTCCTAAATTACAATGACAAGTAAGAAAGTAAAAATTGATTCCTAAATCAAATATTTGATTTGATTATAGTATTTATATAATAATGATCAAAATCTTGTTTGCTAAATAAGTTGAGCTATATTGTTCAACTTCACGTCGTGGCGGAGTTAGCACGGCTTGGTCCAATCCGAGTGCGCAAGATCGTCAACATGGTTTCCTGACCCGAAAGGGTCAGCTCGAGGTTGGATCGGGGCGTTGTTCGCCTGATCCACCCAAGGTGGAGCCGGGGGTTATTCCTCTTCTCCAAGCGATGAACTCCTGCATACAAGTCAAAGTCGGGAGGAAGATTTTCCAACTTGATCCCGCCAATACTTAAGTCAATCAAGAGAGGAGCTAAGAGTATTCAAGTGTTCCAGTCCGACCACCTGCTACTGTTCCGGGGGCGGCTTTTATACCTGTCATTGAACGTCACCGTATGCGGCTGCTTAATAGCTGTCGATGTCTCCGGTGGTCAGCCCACACGCCTGGTGCAGGCGCAGGCCGACCTGTCCGATCCTGCGCTGTGCGGCGCCGCCCCGCGCTTCCCATGTTGCTCAGTACCGAGCGGCGTTGCTCCATACGGATCCAATTTCGAGTTGGCACACCACGTCAGCTTTAGAACGCCATGTTGGCTCCGCCACAGACCGACATGCTTCTGGGGTTGATGTCAGATCCAACAAAAGCACCATAACATAAGATAGGAATAGAATGATGCCAATTTGTATGCTTAGATTTTCGTAGATGAAGAAGGACCAAATAAGGTCAACGAAAACTAATCAACAAGACATCAAGTGAAAGAAAAGGTTATTATCAGCTACAGAATGCCCTACTTGCAGATTAAAGAAGCCTTTAATTCCAGATCACTCAAAAATCTAGAGAAGATAATGGATCGAACGATCCAACTTAAAGAAAAATAGCACGGCAACGAGAAACATTATCTCTAGACAGCCAAAGCATATTGGTCGCTTCGGGCCACCGATCGTAACCTAAAAGCTAACGATCCAACACCAGATGATATCCGAGCATCACAGATCTTCAGATTCACTCGTACAAGAAGAGGGTTTTCAGATCTGGGCAAAGACAACATAAAGCACAGCAAAATACGGATCGAGAACAAGAAGCTCCACAGATGGAGAGCTTACCTCGTCGAAGAAGTTGAACTGAGAGAGACGTGACCTCTGGGCGATCAAACAAGGCTTGGCACCGACAGAGTGAGTGAGAGGAGACGTGAAGTCGGTCGCGCCGCGCCCCCCTTTTATACGTCGGAATGAGCCGCAAGGAGTAAAATTGGGCCGAAATGGACCGGCCCGGTTAAGTTCTACATATGAAGATTTGGGCTGAGCCCTATTTTAGTGGCCTATTTGACATAATATAATTTTCGGAAATTAAAAATTAATTACATTTTAATCTCTTTATTTCCACATTTACTTGTGCTGAGGGTGAATAAATAGCAGCCATATTGATGATGATTAATCAACCTTTCATCCCAACTTTGTCTCGTTTAGATTCATAACCATGATTATAAGATCATTGTAAATTATTTTATTTTAAATACCATATAATTTTTATTTCGTTTATGCATGCATAACATAGTAACGTTTATTTTCTTTTCTTGATTTACACAATAATTCTGAACTATTTAGAAAATAGGTTTATTGATTTAATTGAAACCCAACTTGATTTCACTGCTACATTTTTAATGCATGTGAGTGGGACCCTTCTCATTACTTTATTTATGTCTACTACGTTTTCCCTTTTTTTTTCTTTTTTTATTGAACAAAAATAATGTCTTCTTTAATTGGATATTATTGCTCTCATAAAAAGTATATATATATATATATATATATATATAATTTACATATCAGGAAAATGAAATTAAATATTATTCTATTTTTCATGAAAATATTTAACAATAAAAAAAATAATAGTAAGTGATACTTACATGTCAACCATCTCATTCCCACTTATGTGATCAGAGTGTCTAAGTTCCATACGAGTAAGGGAAGACTATTGTTGCAAGTCAAACCGCGCCGCCATGTATGGAGTCCGGTCAAAGAGAGCCATACGTCCGTGTTTTGAGCAGCTGTTGGCATGTCGGCTTGCACGATTTTTTATGGCCACGTTTTGGGAGTGATGCGTGACATGGAACGGCAAGTCTCATGTCTGACTCCGATCAGCCAATCACATATCCAACATTAGTACGAGATAGATAGAATCGGGTTTGAAGAACCGATATTTAGTTTTTTCTGCAGAAATAAAAAAGGAAATAAAAAATATATGGGATATTCTCAGAACATCGAGTAGGGTTTATCTTGACATTTAAATTATTGTTTTTCATAATTTTGAATTAATTGATTTAATATTACCATAATTATTTTTTAATGAGTTTTATTATAGGAAATTGTTTCAGTAATTATTACTGCATCCGATCCACCCTCGCTATATATACTCTCTCTCTCTCTCTCTCTCTCTCTCTCCGTTGCTGCGAGTCGTGCCGCCATCTTCGTTTGATCGGTCTGCGTTTTCCGGAAGCCTTTGAAACCCACCCTTTGATCGGTCTGACTTCGTCATCTCGGTCTCTCTCTCTCTCTCTCTCCAAGCCAAAGCGGATTCCTCGAGCTTTTGGACTCCTGGAAGACGGCCTTCCACGCCCTACATAACGTTCCCGACCGAGATTCGTTGCATCTGCTAGTGTCTTAATCGTCTCGGGGAACGAGCGTCCGTAAAAGAGGATCTTTTTTGGGGGGATCTAGCTGCAAGCTTTCGTAAAAAGTCAAGCCTTTTCGACATAGGAGAAGGGATGGAAGGCGATTGGTACCGTACGCAGCAGAGTTTCCAGAGCGGGGAGTGGCCGCGGAGGAAAAGGGCTTATAGGGTCTGCGGTGGAGCTTCCAGTAGATCGATCGCTCCTCCGTCTTACAGGCTTGGTGTGTTTACGAAGCGCTTGATCATGTGATTTTAGATCTCTGGTTTGTTCTTTGTTCTTGCTTCTTCTGGGATTTCAGTAGCCACGGACATCAACCAGACCCTCTTGATCTTGTTTCGTGTTTTGATTCTAAAAAAGATCACTTTTTCCCCCGAATTGCTGCACCATTCTCGAACTGCTCGAAGAAGTTTTCCTGTTATGATTGTTTTCTAATGATTTTGTTGGTCATTAGCAGCTATTGACGAGAGTTTTAGAACTTTCTGCGATTAATTTGCGAAAAAGTGATTTTTTTTTCTGGGTACCTCAATTTGGGAAGTTTCCGACTTCCTGGGGTATCGTAAAATTGTGCTGTAGAAACGGCTTTGCGTGCCTCTTTCTTGTTATTATCAAGCAAGATAGTGTCAAATGCATAGGCAGCTAGCTTTGCTACTCAATTTGGCGTTGGTTTCGTTTATCATCATTTGAAAGAGATGGCTTATCTCAAAATAGTCTTATTTTTCTCCATGCCATGTCTGGGTGGTTTTGTCTTCTCTGTTGCAACAAGTTTGAATATAAATTTCACAAGTAGTTTCTATCATAGCTTAGATGCACCTGAAGTCATGTTGTGAAACTTGCTTTTTGGTAGTTAATTCGCTAAGCTAATTGTTCCTAGTTGACACAGTTGATGAGACCGAACTGATCCTAGCAAAAAAGAAGTTTTGATGAGGTTACTGATATCATTATCTGAATAAGCTGGTGCTAGTCATAAAAGTTTGGTCAGATAACCAATACAATTATCTTGCTCCAATTAGCTAAAAGAACTACTTGTTATCACCTGGAAAACCAATCTTGTAATCTAGTTTCAGTAGTTAAAAATTGACTCTAGTTTCCATAGTTAAACAAATGGCCTTTCAATCTCTACAATTGAGATGAATAGCCTTCTGATATCCTCACCATTACATTCCTGCATTTTTTTTCAATAAAATTGTTCTCATTTTTTACCGTCTGCATAAGGCTCTGAATTTGGATATTTTCCACTAGGGAGTTTGAAACTTGATGTTCTTCTCAAGATATGTAGAGCTGAGTGCAATGTTTGCTTAACATATGAGAGGTGATATATTGATTGTCATCTTACATGTTCAACTTTCTTTCAGGACAAGACCATCTATTTGAACAAAGGAATTATTCAAATGTAGAATCTGATTCTACTAGCAACAGTGGCCATCAAAGAGAGGAAAATTCTGTAAGTGCAGTATATCCCTTCTTAGGCTTTTACTATATCAAATAAGCTGCATGACCTATATTACTATACACTTTGACTATCTGATACATTCAGCAATTGGCTACGTACTCTTTTGCACTGTTAGCACACATGGAATAATCTCTCATTTTAATGATTGCCATAAAACATCAGCCTGATCAATTTCTATGTGATGGAATTATCTTTAATGGCATCATCATATCTAAAATCTGAAACTCTATGCTTGCCAAATTTCTATTATTCTTTCTTGTACTAACTATACCAACCAAGCAGCACCTGTTATCCCTTTTCTTCTTTTGTCGAATTCATTGTTCTCGGTAATGTTCTATACAAAGCATACTGACATGCTAAAAATTACTGCGTTCATGGTTTGCTCTTCTGTCTTGGCAGGTTTCATACCACCAAACCGGTGGAATACCAATAAAGGTGCACATGAATCAAAAGATATCAAAGCCATCAGAAATTAGTCACTCCTCAGCAAGCGTAATTGAAAAATTAATGGGTCTCGATCAACTGCATGATCGGGGAATAGTCCCTAAGCAACAGATGCCAAAGCACTGTTGTTTTCAGCAACCATCACTTGCAGCATCACCAGAGAGATTCAGAAATGCGTTTCAAGTCATGGGTTCATCAAAGATGGAGAAGAACAAGACCAAGCCAATTATTAAGACATATCCAAACCTTCAAAAAGGTGAACTGGGTTTGAACTTCACGAGAAAGAAATTTGTTGGTGAAATGGGTTTCTCAATTGATGATACACTTAGTACTGCTGAAGAATCTGCCAATGCATTGGAGGACCAAGACTTCAACAAGGAGCTTTTTGTGAAATTTAATCAAGAACCCAAATTTTTATTCACAAGATATCGTCACAATGTGAATTCTCATCATGGAAGATCCATTACCAAATTTAAATCCTTGGATGGTACTAAATATGAAGGCAGCAAAATGTGTTGCGGATTCGAGAGGAAGACCAAAAGGTCCACTGGTCATAGATGGAATTCCAGCTTATTTCATGACTCATTTAAGGCAGGCAGTAATTTTAGGTCAGCAAATTTACAATATCCAGTCAAAACTGATCCCTATACTGATCCCAGTCAATTTTTTGTTTCGGGACCATGTCTTAAGAAGTATCATAACATGGGAAGTAGCATTTCGTCTCCTAATGATGCTCAAAATGTTCAGCTTAATAACAGAATACAGGCAACTAGATCTAGGTTTCTGGAATTACATGCAAAAAGAAGGGATCAGCAGAGACTGTCCAGTAATGAGGCAGATGTTGTTACTAAGGCAAAGGGTTCAATGGAAATTTCCAGAGATGTTAAACAACTAATGAAACAGCACATGAATGCTGATACTAGAAGACTATCTGTTGTGGAACTTGACAATGCAAGGCATAAGGTTGGCTATGGTCATTTTCACGGTTGCAAGGATATGATGTACTTGGGATCTAAGGATTGTTCTTGTGGTGGAAGTTTTTCAAAGAGAAGCACTACAAATGAAAGGAAAAAGCTCCAATCATTTGATGGGGAAGTATGTAAACTACCTCCACAGGACATGCACATGAACTTAGAGGAGTGGAGGAAAGAATCTTGTGGAAAAACACTCAAGCCAGACCTTACTGGGTTATCTGTTGACAATACTGAATATCTTGATGGCATGTTCTCTGTCTCCAATTGTATGGACATGGATTTGCTGTTGAAAAATAAAAGAAATATGGCTCAAGAAGTGACAGCAGATGTAATTTCAACACTTAATGAGGAAATGTCCTGCAATCATTTGAAGGTTCGTATTGTACTCTTAGGAGGTATATTTCTAATATCTATATGTAGCTTCTGCTTATTGGTCATCAATATCTATGAACACAAGAGAATATAGTTTTTCTCATTCATTGATCTTTTCTGTATACAAAGTAAGACATACATAGGCTGATTACAACCTGTACAACTAAGAAGATTAATTCTATACAATATTTCATTATAATTCATTTCCTATAATATAGGCTGATTTGATACTGATTGAGTGGCCCAAAATAGGGGATAAATTTTCTTAATTATGAGATTATAAAATCCCTTAATTATGAGATTTAGAATCCATTAATCATGAGATTTTCTACACTCTCCCTCAAGCTGGCTCGAAGATATCAATCATTCCCAGCTTGCTAGTTAGATCCTCATAAGAAGATCTTTGAAGCTTTTTGATAAAAATATTTGCTAGTTGCTTCTCTGTAGGAATATAAGTTATGCAGACAATTCCTTCTTCATCTCCTTTATGAAATGTCGATCTATTTCAACATGCTTTGTAGTTTGTTCAATCATAGAACACTGGATTATTAGCAATGTTGATAGCAGCCTTATTGTCACAGTATAGTCTCATAGGAGTTTCAGTGAGTATTCATAATTCTTTTAAAAGCATTTTAGCCATAAGGATTTGCAAATACCATGTGCTACTACTCTGAACTCTGTTTCAGCACTGCTTCTAGCAATAACTGTATGCTTCTTACTCCTCAAAGCCACAAAATTACCTCCAACAAATGTACAATATCTTGAAGTTGATCTCCTATCACTTACTGATCCTGCCCAACTAACATCGGTGAAAGCCTCAATTCTCATATGATTGTCCTTTTTGAATAATAATCCCTTGTCTGGAGTCCTTTTCATTTATCTAAGGATCCTATATACTGTCCCTAAATGTTCCTTCTGTGGTGAATGCATAAATTAATTCACTATACTCACTGCAAGTGCAAGTCTGGGCGAGTATGAGATAGGTAAATCAACTTACCTACCAATCTCTGATATTTGACTGCATCTACCATGGCTCTTTTGAGAAGGACATTCCAATTTATGATTGAGATCTATTAGAGTGTCCACAGGTTTATAACTAAACATCCTTGTTCTTTTTAAAAGGTCTAGGGCATATTTCCTTTATGAAACAAATATCGCATTCTTTGATCTCGCTATTTTCATTCCCAAGAAATATCTTAACTGTCCAAGATCTTGAGTTTCAAACTCTTTGTCTAGGATATGCTTCAATTTTTCTAATTCTGAGAGATCATTATCTATTAGGATAATATCATCCACATAAACTATAAGAATAGCAATCTCCTTTATTTGAGTGTTTATAGAATATTATATGGTCCGAGTGACTTTGAGTGTAACCATGGCCATGAACTGACCTTGTGAACCTCTCAAACCATGCACATGGTGATTGCTTGAAACCATAAAGCGATATTCTCAGCTTGCACACCTTATTCGAGCCATACAAATTCTCAAAGCCGAGTGGTAGATCCATGTATACTTCTTCCCTTAGTTCTCCATTTCGAGAGATATTTTTCACACCTAATTGATGTAAAGGGCATTCAAAATTAGCTGCAAGAGATAACAATACTCGAATAGGATTTAGTTTTGTAACTAGAGCAAATGTTTCTTGGTAGTCAATACCATATGTTTGAGTAAATCCTTTTGCAACCAATCTGGCTTTGTATCTTTCAATAGAACAATATGTCTTATAATTAACAGCAAACACTCATTTGCATCCCATTGGATTCTTTCCCTTTGGTAGATGCACCATTCTTTCTCTTTGCTCATATGCGATTTTTCCTAAAATAGAACAATCAACATCATGTATACTGTGCATTGATTTCTACTCTTTGCTTATTATGTGAAGTGAGCATATCTTCTTCTTTGTCCTTGGAATTGAAAAAGATTTGAGTTTAAATCGTGATACGAATTTTGAATGCCAAATATATCTATTTCATCATCTTTGTATTAAAAGGTAAACAAATTGCATTCAGGAAACATCATCTGACCAACCTTCATCAGTTTGCCTTCCTATCTTCAAGGGTGGAACAGAAACACAGCCACAGCCTTTGGCGAGTAATAAACAAGCTGTACAACTGAATTTGATATATGCACAAGAATTTCCATCGATGGAAGATAATTCAGGTTTGTGATGTCCTTCGATTGCAGATATCCATGACTAATAAAAAAACCTTTTTATTTGTCTGAGAATTACTGTAGGCACATCTTTAACAATCTTTTTATTGCAGAAATATGCATGCAGTTCCAAATAGCCAAGTCAAATTCAGAAGTTACGTGTGAGAATTACTCAGCTTTTCTTAAATTACCTAATGTCAGTAATTTTCAGTCCCTTAAAAAGAATAAGGATTTGGGAGAGTTCAGGGATGAAGAGGAGAGGGACTTCTCATACGTTCTTGACATGCTGATTGAGTCTGGTATTGATGACGCCAAGAAAGGGAGGCTTTACGATGCAAGTGACTTGCTGGAGTATGACATGTGCACAGATGTGTTTGGAAAGCTTGAAAAGAAGTACAACAAGCTTGCCTTATGGTCAAGTTCCGAGAGAAAGCTACTTTTTGATCTTATAAACTCCATCCTGGTTGAGAGTCTTGCCCCGTGTCTGCATCCATGGGTTAATTCTACTCATATGGTTGGGCCTGTGTGGGGTTTGCAGGGACTTGCTCAGAAGGCCTGGGAAATTTTAGTCAGAAAACGTAAAGAACTTTTCACAGGAAATGCAGAGGCAAAGGTCCTGGTCCCAAAATGGTTAGATTTAGAAGATGACATTGATGGGATAGGAAAAGAGATAGGGGAGATGCTGCAGGAGGAACTTCTAGATGAACTTGTTTCGGAGTTCATCCTAGGTTAAATGGCTTTTTGGTAGTAAAAGTGAGAGAGGCAATATCTAGATTTTGCCAAGTGGATTCCCTGTTAATTAATGAGTCCAAGTGTCATATTATGAATAGGGTGTCGGCTGTGGTGAGTTGTTCAACAGCTCAATGTTGTCGTCCGTCAATTCCCATTGTTTGATGGTTCTTATAAGACCAAATGGAATCGTCTTCATGTACTGATACGAGGTGCTTGTGCATCGGTTCGTCAGCAACCGCATACGAGGCAATATGCAACTGGCAGTGAAGTTGAGTACAGTCATGCCAATTCCAGATCAGGCGGTTTAAGATGTTATTCACAGGATTCTCATGACATCCTGTGCAAGATGTTTACAGTGAGTGATCTACAGCAAATGAGTCATGCCATTTCAGGTGGCCCAAGAGATGAAGTCTGCAGCAACAATGCCAGCTTTTCAATTGGCAGTAAAGTTTGGCAATTGTTCCAAATTCCAGGTCAGGCAGCTGGAATTACTAGTTTATAGAAGTCATGATATCACACAGGGTTTGTTGTGATGGCCAATTCACAGGAGTCATTACTCATGCACCCATCCTTGTTTGGTTGTCTGGGTGATCAAGTCCAGCATCTGTTCAAGACCATATGGGAGGGAGACAGCCATTTTGTTATGCTGTGTTTGTTGTATAGTTTACATTTGAAAACATTAGGTGAGAGTGTAAAGTTTCTGTGAAATGCTTGAAGAAAGCAATAGGGGGAGTAGTGAGAGAAATAAAGCCCCTCACAGGGGAAATTTAGGATTTGTTTGTATGTCATGCTGCCATTTTTTTGTCATTCTCTTTTGCTGCCCACACATGTAGAGTCTCAGAAGATTTTGTTGGTGAAATTATTTTGCATTAATATTCAGTGGATCCATTTCTTGTCCTCCAGCCATGATTGTTATTCCTGAAATCAATGAAAAACTGGACTGAGAGTCATCTGTGGCACTGAATTTTCAGTAGCAATATTCTTCAAGATGTGTGGATCATCATCAACCCCCTGCTAAATAATCATATCATAGACTTGTTTGACTGATGTTGTGGAAATCATGAGCTTCAAAGATGGCATATGACAGATAAAATCTTATCTGTTCCGGCTAGTACAGTAATAAGGTAATGGATAAGGTGGTGTTCATCGAATCTGATACTTAACTCTGCTGCGATGCTGAAGCAGAGCACGCTCCAATGAATAAGGTTTTGCTCTGTTCTTCCTTCAGTTGAGATCATGTGAGGGAAGAACAGTTTCTGCATGTGGGAAGTCGTCGATGATTGTTTATTCCTGTTGCCGCAAGAAATGTCGGATCTCGCCAGCTTGGTAAGGAGCTGCTCTGTGTTGTTTGTGTAGCCGTTGAATGGTCTCTATGAAGCCATTGCATTCGAATCCGAGAGTGTGATGAACACGTCGATTGATTTGATCTCTGTCATGCATCTTTGATCTTTCTTCTTTCTATCTTCTGTTCAAGCTTATAAGGACACGATCACAATCTCTCTCTCTCTCTCTCTCTCTCTCTCTCTCTCTCTCTCTCTAGTACTATGGCTCCTCTGTTCTCATGTGCATCCCCAGCAACTCACCTGAGAACTCTGCTGAGAAATCCACGGCGAGGAAAGCTTGCTCTCACAAGGACGAAATCTCGAATCCAAAAGAGTAGGAAAAGCTTGAGGAAACATACTGATAACGATGATGACGCTTTCCCTGGCGAGGAGACTGCGCCTCTTCTCTCGGCAGACCGGTCATCGCCTGAGGTTACCAAGAAAGATGAACCTGCTGTCTTCGGACTGCCATCTTCTACTGCGTCAAAAGAACAGGTTTGAGACTTCAAAGTTTAGTTTACCTTCTACCAACTGAGATCAAATGCTAGCTAACGTTGTGCTGCATTCGCAGGTTGTGCATTTGAGGGTGGCTTTGCATTGCAAAGGCTGTGAAGGGAAGGTCAGGAAGCACATCTCCAAGATGGAAGGCGAGACTGGTTTTGAGCATGGCTTTGATCTACTCTGACTCGATCTCTTTGTTCATATGCGGTACTGATGCTGGCATGCAGGTGTGACATCGTTCGACATAGATTTTGAAGCGAAGAAGGTGACGGTGGTCGGAGCAGTGACGGCGTCGGGAGTTCTAAACAGCATCTCCAAGGTCAAGAATGCTCAGCTCTGGCCTTCGTCGCCGCCATTCTTGCCATCATCATCGTCGTCATCTTGCTTTCATGGGACCTAATTGTTCCTTTCCTCTCTGTTCTTGGTAATGCCAATTACCGTGGCTTGTGAGTCTCTGTAGAAGTAAGAACTGGAGTGAAGAACTCCGCAATGGTGAGCTCAACATTGTTGTCCCTTCTTCTTCATGCATGTAAACCTGCAGCCGAGCCAGACCAATTCAAAGGCACCTCCATTGCCAAACCTTCCATCAATGACAACCTTGGATTCCGCCAAAGAAATTCCAGAAAAGCAATCAATGTAATGAATCATATATTGGCATGCTTAATGTTTACATCAGAAGGTGAAAGCCATCATAATCATCCTAACTTGGACACCACCAAGGACAAAAATCCTTGTTCATGTCTCTATGGCTTCGACTTTGCGATCAAGACAATCGGAGTTTGGGGTGGTCATGGCCGATCTTGTGTTCTTTCTCCGTTCTGGAGCTGCAGGGGATCGTCCTCTCATCGAGCCATGCGATGATATCAGAGAACACTAGATCGATGTTTTCCTGTGGCTCACCGGATGTCAGCGCGTGCCACATCCCAGGATAAAGCTTGAAGGACCTGTCGTCGCTATATGCTGATTCGTACAAGGATTGGCTGACCGATGGATCCGTAACGCTGTCATCTCCGCCATGAACGATTAGGAAGGGCAATGACACCTGAACCAGCCCAAGCAAAGGAGTCATCAGCAGCACAACCCACCATGGAAGGCTTACTCTGTAGAAGAAGATGTGGAACGGGAATTACCTCCTCGAGACTAGTCTGTATGTCTAAGCTAGCTTTGAGCAGTTCAATTCCAGTCTTCAGCCGAGGCTTTCCCTTGTAGCAGTAGGGATTGTTTCGGATCTGCGACGACACAAATCGCAATCGAAATGGTTGACAAAAGGCATCGCAGAGTTGACAAAAAGAAATCTCAGGGAGCTTTCCTCACCTCCATTCTCCATTCTGGGTTTTTGACAGCCTTGTCGATGATGTCCTTGCTAGGAACTATCTTCCAGGTTGGGAAGAGCTTACCCAGCAACTTCAATATGAAGATCACCAATGGATTTGGTTTCATTTCTTCTGAAATCTGTCAAAGATTCAAACCACATAAACATCTACACCGCAGACACAACTCACGAGTTCATCGGTCGGGGAAATGTCACCTTGCACATTGGAGCCACCAGAACTGCGCCATCCCAAAACGTGGGCTCCTTCCGGTGCAGGTGGAGGGCCACAGCTCCTCCCATGGACTCCCCAAGCAGGTATCTCATCAACGTTTTGTTCTCTCTTCTCTCTGAAACAGACATGGCACAGAAAGAGTCAGCGCACGGAAGCAAAGCAGTTCGAGCAATAGCTTCCTGCACTGAGCTCACCACATATGCTCGTGAAATGCTCGGAAACGTCGTTCACAAGCTCGTCGAACATGGGGACGAAGCCTTGCAATCCAGAAGACTTCCCGTGTCCCTCGTAGTCGATGCCGTACACCGCATAACCTGCCTTTGCAAGCTGCGTTCCGGTGCCTGCAGCAACATGAAAGCACACATGTCGTTCCGAACCAAAAGATCACCGGTCAAAGAATTCATGGTCATCACCTCTCATCGAGATGCTGCACTCCATGGCATACCCTAAAAACGAGAAGAAGCACCGCAAATGAGAGACCGATACAATCGTTAATCTTAAGAGGAACGGGGAAGAAAGGCATGTTGCAGAGTACCATGACAAATAAAGATCATAGCTTTGGGGTCTCGGTACTCCGGAAACCATCGACATGTGAAGAGCTTCATCCCTCGAGCATTCAGTATGAATTCCTGGAACAAGCACATCAAGCTTCACACAAGACGAGAAGAAAAGAACAGAGAGGGAGAGACAAACAAGCTTCCGGCTGCTGACCTCTTCGTAGTTGATGCCGTCCATGTCGTTTGCCTGCAGAGAAGAGATATCGCGATAGTGAACGAAGAAGGCAGGAAAACATATCGATCGGCATTGTGCTGTGACCAACCTACCATGCGGCGGATCTGTATCGCAGTGGTTGAAGCGACAGGATGGTGTAGAAGAGGTTTAGATAGAGGGAAGGATGAAGGCTTGCAGGAGTCAAGCTGACGAAGCGAATCGAGACGAAGAGGCATAGAACATATAGAGATCCTGCGACGAGTTTGACGCGTCTGAGGAGTTGGAATTCGTAGCTGTCCTCTGTGTTTGACCGTTAAAAATAGAGCACCAAAGCGTTCCGGATTTGGATGCCGACCACATATTCCATGGAAACCCTCGTTGTTTAAGATAGACTCCGACTCTAATTAAGATTCGTCCAGTCCAAAAATAGTTAGGACGACTGTTTTCAACACGGATATGTACGATAAGCTTCAAAATCCGACACAAGGTAGGTGTCTGGGTTGACTTCCAAAGGAGGAAACGCGCGCTGGAAGGAGGACCTTCCGGCGCGACCATTTTGCACGTGTGGCGGCCAAACATCGTTGACGGAAGCAGAAGAGGAGGAACTTTTTCATTTTTATCAGGTGTGTTTCGTGGAAATCCAGATGTACATAGAAACACAGACAAATGCACATTATTGCATTCAAGAACAGACTAAAATACCTTCCAGAATTAATACCCTGAAGGATTTATACACCATCAGGACTGCTGCCAGGTAAACTATGAGGGAGAAACATAATGATAAATGGAATGCTAGATCAAGTAGGTGATTCAGAAATCGAAAAGAAGCTGCTATCAATTTGCTACCACAAAATAATGGCCATCGTGATGCAACTTATTCTGCAAATTAACAGCCAAAACTTGGAAACAAATAATGAAAATTAAAGAGCAATAAGAGAATCATCCGATGTTGTAATTTTAAGCTTTGATTGCGTACTTCCTCATTGGGAAATACATCTCCTTTTTCTTCTCACGTTCCGTCTTCAAAGACTCCTGCGCGTGTAGAAACAGATCATCACTAAAACACCAGTGATAGGATAAAATGGCAAACACAAGAACTGTAAATTCCGGAAAGCTTTTACACAATGACGGTATGTAATTATCCTAGAATCAACAACCAGGAAAGAATATTTAATCCACCTCTCCAGGCAAACACATGAACTGTAAATTCCAGAAATAACAGTATGTAATTATCCTATAATCAATGACCAGTAAAGAATATTTAATCCACCTCTGACTAATGCTTTACTGAGTCCATTATTATATGTGATGATTCTGAGACGTCAAACCATGCCATCAACATTTCATTTGAAATTAAAGATACCCACAGGGTCGGAAGGGATGAGAAGTTTCTGTAATATAATGGTAAGTTTAGCTTGGATGACCGGCACCAGGGCAAAATATCACTTGGAAGCACCAAGACATAATGTGAAAAGGAGCTTTGCTTGAGAATCAGCTGTTTGCAAGATACATGACCAAATGTCGGATTATAGATAACCAAATTAGAGAAGTTTATATAGCAGAAATGATTTTTTTTCTGTACTTATTAGTTGAATTACAGAAGCCGAATGAGATGGTCAAATATGGATGGCACAATATATTGCACTAGAAGCTGTTAATTAGGAACAATTAGTATCTTCTAAGTTGTATACAGCAACAATTACTTGCTGCTACTGAATTCTTTTACACCGCTTCAGATTGCAATAAAAAGTTACTGAACTAGTAATTGTTTACTAAAAATCACCTAATATATGATGAAAAATGCACCAACAATAAACTAGATATTGACATGATTCCAAATCTCAGGAAGCATTATACTGTCAAAGGCAACAACTAAACTGATAATAGACATTTGCCATGCAAGTTTCCAGAAAACAGTATCTTATCCATTATATTGCATAGAGAAAATGATGCTGACAACATAGTTAGACCAATAACCACTGTTCTAACAATGTGAAAAACAATAGCCACAGATTGCAAAATGTTAAAACCAATTCTAACAATCATCATTCCTTGATGGATTATCACTCTTTTTCCTTGAAAAAAATAGTGACACTAGTACTACCAGGTATTATGCCACTCATCACCAACATTGAACATTCACATGACAAACTTTAGGTTCCAGGCTTCTAGACCTAAAGCACGGATCCTCAAAGATAGCAAGTGTGCTAAAACTTTGGAAGGAAAATCATAGAGGTCAAGGTTTTAAATATTGGTTGGACCGGCATATATCAACTGGTGTTTCTGACTAAGAACTGATATTGAACCATATAGATTTGTATCAGTCAGTGTCAATTTTTGTTTTTTTTTTCATTGATACAATGTAGTACAGGTGAGCAAATCATCCAGTATGTTGGTATTCATTTTGGTCCAACATCGTATCAAAATCTAAATCAGACCGAGATTTAAACCTTGAGATTAGCCATCAAAAAGTAAGTATATGATACTAGTCTTTTTCTACTTTTGTTTTCACCGTACTTCAAATTTCACAAATTAACAACACATAGCCGAGGCTCTATAATGACAAACAATGTTCTGCCAATATGTCTCTCTAGAATAAACTACAGCTAACAAGGCCAAAATCTTATGATCAAAATTCACATATTGAGGAAAAATGACACAAAATACTGGTAGCAGCACCAAAAATAAATACCGCACAAATGTTCAATGAACATTCCAAAAGATCATTCCTTTTGCTACCATTCGGTTCGCATACAACCTTAAAGAACTCCAAAATAAAAAGACAGGTTACCTGATGTTTGGTAAGCCGACGGCGAATAGCCCGTGTCTTCTTGGGGCGGAGATCCAGAGGCATGAGTTTCTTCTTCTTGTAGACCTCCCTCAGTGCCGCCTTCTGCTTCTGCGAAATCACGGTCAACACCCGGGCGATCGACAGCCTCACCACCTTTCTGCCAACCCCAATCAAAGATCCAAAATTGTCAGAACCGTCGAACAAAAGAAGAAAACATCAAGGGACAGACTCAACTCACATCTTCGAGAGCTTGTTGGGGGCGCCGCCGGTGACTTTAGCGACGCGAAGGAGAGAAAGCTCATTCTTCAGGTCCTTCAGTTGGCTCTGGAGTTCCACCTTAGTCTTCCCGCGAAGCTCGTGCACCTTGATCCTCGCTGCAACCAAGGATTACAGAAAGGATCGACCAAATCCTCCTCCACAGCAATCAGAAAAAAAGAGGCATGCATCTTCAGAATCGAATTCTTACCCATTGTCAACGAATCGACTCTCCCGCTTCTCCGCCGCACAGAAATCCTAATACTGCAAAGAGGCGTCTATATATATATATATAGATAGTGAAGGTTCCCCTAAACCCTAACGGCATATGGGGATGAAGTCTCGGTCGAGCATGAAAGCGGTTCGGCTCGAACCAGACCTAAACCGGAATTGAATCAGACCGGAACAACAACCGACTCGGTCCAATGATTCATATTTCAAATCGAATCGGAATTGACCTATTTTGTAGAAAAAAAATCAATTGATGGTTCATGATTTTTATTTTTAAATTATAATTTTATTTATTAAAAATTATTTTTTTATTTTTATTTTTTTAAAAAAAAAATCGATAATTCCAATTCTAGTTTCAGAATGGACCCAATATGATTCTAATTCGATAATTTTAGTTTCCAAAATTTATGGATTAAAACTATCGGAACCAAAGTTAGGTCTATTTTCATTGAGTCTTTAATCGATTTGGTTTAAGCAATGAGATAAATTAATATCATACTATATATATATATATATATAAGAGCAAAGAAGAGGAGGTTCCATCTTGTATGTCCATCACCCTGGCTGCAAGTGGTAAACAGCATCATCAGTTTTCCTTTGATTTCAGTCATGTCGAACCTTTGGGTGACATGCTTGCTTAGTTTAAGGTTTATTTGTCTCCACCTTAGATCTCTTTTCATCTCCTACTGTATCACCAGGGAATCAATTCATCCTTGAGTTGGCTTCTCCAATATGATGTTTGAGACTTCAGCCTCATGCATGTAGCTTTTAAACAAGTGGTGTTCTTCAGTCATTGCCACTCCCATGATCCTTCCTGGCTTTCCATTGATTTCATGTTCTTAGCTTCTCATTTTAACTCTGGAATCACTTCACTGAGCCTTATGCAGATCAATTGCTTCTGCATCCGATTCAAAGCAGTGAGCTGTCTCAATTCCATACCTACTTCTATGGATATATATTTTTTGAAGACACCTCTGTACATAGCTTCGTCAAGCTAAAAAATATCAACATGAGAACTTCCAAACTATTAATCAACCAAGGAAAGAAACTTACAATCGAAGTTTAATCCTTTGATTGCAACAGATTCATGATATTTTAGATCTAGAAATTAAACCTAAGACATCACTACTTCCGAAGAATTTCTTGGAGAAAGCTTCACCAACAGTTCTCGGATCAATTTTGATTGAGCACACAGAACTTGGCTTTCTAGTCCATGGATCAAACAACAGCACAGCAAAAAAACACATACAACTCTTCAATCCTTTTAATGCCATGTTCATCATTCATGTCACTCCACAAGAAATGCTGTCTTCTCGGGTTCACAATCCGGTGCAATTCTGGAAGCAGGAAGTAGACAGAACCCCACATTATTTGCAGTCTTTCTTGCGGAATCCTCCTGTTGAGACTTCTTGCAGTAAGCAATTGCTCCTTGGATCGAGCTCTCCACGTCTGAGTTCGCACTGCTGCTCCTTCGCAGCATCTGTTGTCCATGGAATTCAGTAGAATTCACGCTCGAGAAGGAGGAGGATTTGGAGGAAGCATACGATGTAGAAACGGAGGACTTGGTCGCGGACTGCCAGTGATTTGCACCAGAAAAAGACCTCCTTTCATCCGAGTTCTCCTCTTCCGTCATCTTCTTCTCCTCTTTGTTCTTCACGGAGCTTCCGATTCTGACTCGCCCGAAAGGGTTCTTCTTTGCTGCCTTCTCACTGGGACAATCGGGTTTGCTGAACAAGGACTTGAGATAACCCTTCGAAGCTTTCAGGCTCAGACCGAGCGTGGCTCCCTTCACGAGCTTCAGCTTCCTTGTCCATGCCTTCTTGGGGTGCGATCGGATGAGCTCGTCGGAGAATTCATGGAGCTCGCCCGACTCGCACGTGACGACTGCACTCTTCTCGATGTGGTCCGAGGCGTGTAGGAGTTGCTCGACCATCTGCAGCCGCGGCGGAAGGTGGAGAGGCAGCAGCCTCCCCTTGTAGAAGAGGTCATCTGCAGGGGAGGCCATGGTCTGGCTCTCCGGCGGTTCGCCACTCATTTGGAACTCAAACTCCGTGGAATGTGGAGGAGAAGAGCACAAGGAGGCGGCGCAGCTGAAGTCCATGTCAAAGTACTCTTCTTCTACACACCGATCATTCGGAGCAAGGCTCTTTGCCATAGAAGAAGACCCACTGCTCTCTCTTTCTCTCTCTCTTCTCCCCTTCTCTCTATTGACTCTCCTCAATTGTGTGGTCTTTGGCAAGCAGAGGATGAGACTGCATCAACATGCCATGTTTACTACCGCACTAATCAGCTTGCAGATGATTTGAATTTGAAGTGTTTAGACTCCCAAAACATAGATTTGTGTGCTTCTTGAGAAACACTTAGAAATGATATCTTTCTTTTAGGGTGAGAAGCTAAATGTGCCAGTGGAGTTGATAGCAACATACAGGTGGTATTGACATGAGGAGAGTTGACCACCTTTGATCATTGTTTAGGCTGATATTAAAACCCAAACAGTTGTCATTTCCACATTGTTTAGGCAATTTCCTGATGCCCAAATGGACTGCAAGGACAGCACGTTGGCAAATAATAATCCAAGGAATTTAGCTAATGTTATTTCGTCGAACAGATGGTATGCGAGAACGGTTAGGAGGGACGGCAAGTAGCGTACTAAAAGAATGGCCTACGCGGCTCGAGGCGGCTCCTTTGTCTCGCCGACGCAATGAACACTGACCGCCTTCTCTGCTGATGCCTCTGCTAACCTCGTCCTTCACGCCCTCCGACTCCGGCCTTCTCCTCATGTGGAGACGAGAGCTGTAGGACGACAAGAAGTGTCCCACTTTGGTGTTCGAGTTCCAATATGTCACTTCATTTAGCTTTAATTATTCGAAGGCTTATTGGATCATTTATAATCGTTCTTATCCCGCAATCTAATGGGGTACTTATTCGGCCTCTGTCATCACCGAACCTTCCAACCCATTTCTTATCGGACTTACTCTTCTCGAGAAGCATGCAATTCCACTACTTCGCCGACGCGTGCCCTATAATATATATATATATATATATATATATATATATATATATATATATATATATATATAATATCTCTGTCCAATAAATTTGAGTTAATTGCACAAATTATTTGATCTCACTGTTTTTTATAAAAAAATATTTTTTTGAAGACTTTTTTAAAATCAATTTAAGTTTCAATATATTACATTTAGAGGGATATATACAGAAAATTACAAACTTCAGAGGGATATATTTAAAATATTCCCAAGAAAGTGCACGAAATGGTTTGCGGGGCCCATTCGATGCTTTGTTCGTCAGGAAGGCTACGCTGACACGCGTCACAGCGGCTGCGTTGTCGCGTACCCCTTACGCGCCTCGTGCGCGCTCTTAGGGCTTATATTCAAGCCAGTGGCAGGAGCTTTTGCTCGCATCTCTTCCTTCTTCTTCTTCTTCTTCTTCTTCTTCGTCTTCATTATCATCATCTGCAGAGTCGTTCGCTTCTCCACGAGGTGGTATGTGTCTGTGCATCTTGTTCTATTACAGAGAGGTCTGTTGTTGGTAACCCATACTCTTCGTGCTTGACATGAAAGAGTGCCTCGACACTCTTTTCAGATAAAAGCAGGAATTGAGCTGAGATTACCATCATCTGTTATGTGATCAGTTTATATCAGCTTGAATGGATCTTGGTTTGTATATTAATGATTTGTTCTCTTTTAAGGCTTTATTCACTGATAGGAGAGGAAGTATTACCGGCATCAGGAAAGAAACTTGTCACTGTGAACAAAACTTAATTGGTATATGTTGGAAATCGTAAACAACCAGCGAAATTGGTAGCAGTAATTAGAGAGGAGGATGCCAAATATGAGCATCGACAGCATGCGTATATGTGGTTTCTTTTGTTAGAAATCATTGAAAAGAGGTTGTGCATGTAAGCTAAGCATGCTTACATGGTACTAAAGTCGAATTCTACGCTTCCTCCACATGTTGCATCGAACATGCTTGCAAAAATTACAAACTGAAAGAAGAACAAAAAGCTTATAGTTTGTCGATACTTTTCTTGCTAAAAGGTATAGTTTAGGGAAAACAAAAGCTTATGGTTGTTCTTACTGAACAACAAAGGCCATAGCCGCAAAAGATTGCTAAAAGGTTTAGTATCAGGTCGAAAATTTCGGTCCGGATTTGGTTTTTGGATAGAGGCTGTAAACAAGAACTTGAAACATGTTCATCTCAAGTATGGAGTACCGGAGATCTATTTGATATTATGTTGTCTTTGATTTTTTTTGTTTGCTATTTATTTTTTTCTTTTTTGTGGATAATTATTCTTGTTGATATTGTAGTACTTTGTGCTCTGTTATATGAAGGGGAGCTGTGACAAGTTAAAAATATCAGGAACTGATTAATGAGAAATTAGAAAGGCAAAAGGACTGACTTAGTACCAAACAAATGGAGCATGAAGTTTGACATCTCCTTTCTATTGGGGTCACTCTCAATTGCTATTAAGTTTGTTTAAGAGACCTGACTGAGTCATGTTTACTTCATTAGTATGTCAACTTACTGTTCTTTATGTATGCTTTCATGAAACATTCCATCTTGCTTAGCTTCACTATTTTATAACAAAGCAGGATACGAAAGGAAATTGAAGGGAAATCGAACTAGGAGGTGTCATTGATCTTTAAGAATATAATTTTGATCCTTTTTCTTAAAGATTTTCTTGAGACTCCTAAATTTATTTTTATGTCTTAATCTGTTCAGAAAATTGGATCTCCTATATTATCAATATTTCTTTTTGGGCTCATAGAGAAAGTTTTGATCTCTCATATTCTCAGTTATTTTGTCTTAACCTATTGAGAATATGATCTTTTGTCTTGCCAATTTTAATGTACTTTAATGATCCAAAAAATATGTCTTGGTCAAATAATCATCTTTTGTCAAGCATTTATATGTGTGTAAATCGGGATTTTGTTTCCTAGGAGCAGCATATCGTTATCGAGTCACGTTAGACTATTAGTGTTTCGCCTACGTATGCATCAAAACATTTTTGTCGATGATTTAAAATATAGTAGTTTCATCGGGAAGATAGGCTTGGCATGAATTCAAATAAATGAATGATGTGTAATATACGGAGAACGATAGGCAATGTTGGCAACTCCTGAGTTGGATGTTTACGTTGACTATGGTAGCCCAAATTAGGAGACAATGATGTATTGATTTTATTTTGTGTTCTTTCTTGATAATTTACTTTTTGTAAGAATGATAACATAAATTCTTTCATATCATTAGTAATCTGTCTCAGATGATCTCAATATTCATCCATCATTGTTCAATTTGTTAGTTATTTCTATGCTCTGCAATGGTTTCTGATCTATAGTCAATTGTTCATTCTTTTGTTTTATGGCATATCAATTACACATTTCCCTTTGCTTTAAACAGCCATCATAGCAAAGTGAGATGGGAGATGGAAAAATTAAGTTTGACGGATCAAACACTACTGAGAAAGGACTCTTTTCCAACATGATGTACGGATTTTCCGAATATTCATCGGCCGGATATCCACCTCAAGGCCACAGTGGATATCCACCGCCACATGGATACCCTATGGGGCCTGGTTCTTATCCTCCACATGGATACCCGTCACATTTATCAGGTCCTTATCCTCCATACCCGTCACATGGATACCCGTTGGGAGGTGTAACACATATGTCAGGTCCTTATCCTCCATATGGCTATCCTCGCCCTCCTGGTCCACCCCCTCCACGGTATCATGGTACACATCAACAGAATGCAATCTTGTTCTACTCTTGCAGTTACATGTTTTAGTTTGATGATGTAAATCGAACTCTTTCTCCAGGATATGGACATGGCTCTACCGTAGGGTCAATGCTGGCTGGGGGAGCAGCAGGTTACGGGGCTCATCACCTGTTGTCGTCGCATGGGCACCATCACCATCATTTCCCCGGGCATGGAATGTACCATGGCCACCCTGGTCATCATGGCAAGTTCAAGCATGGCAAGTTCAAGCGTGGCAAGTTTTGGAAGCATGGAAAGTTCGGTGGCAAGTTTAAGAAGTGGAAGTGATCTATCTGTAAGGTTGTTCCGATGACTGAACTGGTTGTGCTTGCTGTGGCTTTTATCTTGAGAGGAGGGAGGGTCTGCTCTTGTTTGTGTGATATGAATGTTGCAGCTATCATCGTCTGCAAACACTCTACTCTGAGACTACTGGTGTTATCTATCCTTCCACAACTCTGTTGCTGTTGAGTAGTAATTTACACATAAACATATAGTACCTGTGTCATGGTTCCATGTTCTTCGCTTTGACGTGGAAATCATTTCTTCTTCTTTCTTTTGTTGTTGGTCATCTTCTCATGTCACCATTAACATCCACACTCTTTTTTTGGAAAATTAAACTATTTAAGTTGCTAACTTTTTGATAATTAAAATTATATAAAAACAATGTGATTAAACAAATATTTTGTGGTATTGTTTTGATGGGGTCTGCAATCAACAAATCTTCATAGAAGATAATAATCAATTAAAATTACACAAAAATAATGTGATTAAAATATATTTATGTTCGATTAACAAGTTTTCTTAGAAATGAGATTATATTTCCGAAACATTTCGTCCCATTAAATTGGCATGCGGAGATCGGAAGAATAATACGCCGAAAATATAAATGTGGGTGGGTGGGATGCTTCAACCGAAAATGCAGTCACTGAGCTCACGACTTATCTAACGACTAGGCGTGGCGAAACCAGTGCTTATAGCCGAGCCGAGAGCTCCTGGCAGGCATTGGTGTCGTAACTTGAGTCGTACATTGTTGTTGTAGGCAACGACCGCAGTCGGGCCAGTTAAGTACTCACGTTGAAGCCCTTTGCCCGCCGACTTCCGTCGGAGTCGCCCTCGCTTGGTCTCGGACATGGCTTTCTGCTTCGACCTAAGCATCCCCTTCCTCGAGGGTGACAGCGGAGGCGGCGGCGCGTCGTCGGAAAACAAGGCGCGGAAGGACGCTTGGCTGAAGGCGGTGGTGAGGGCCATGGAGCTCGGCTACGCCGGCGTCCTGTCGGACGCGGACCGTTGCAAGATCGCCCCCCCTTCCTTCTTTCCTCCCTCCTCAAGGCCTCCGTTGCCTTCCACCGCGACCTCCTCGGGGGCGCCCCCCTCGCCCCCCCCCTTCCGCCATTACACCCGCTTGACTGTTTCTGCCCACGGCGGCGCCTTCACCGTTGCCCTCAACGGCAGCGCTCTGCTGAGGACCTACGACCTAGTTGCCCTACGCCCTTTGAACCAGGACGCGTTCGACGAGGCTTGTGAGTCATCCGAGGTGCGATCTGGTTATGGCTTTGTTCTAGGGTTTATAATCTATTCATTGATTTCGGGTTTCCTGGAAACAATTGGGTTTTAGTGGTAAAATGCACTTCGGAATCAGATAAATCTTGATTTCTTTACAAAAATGTGTTGCGTGTTTGATGCCATAAAGAACAATGTTTGTTATCGTATTCAAGAACGAAGATGTTAGATGAGAATCAGTGTGATTGATGGACATGGGCAAGTAAGTGCTCATAGAGGAAGGGAAGTTCCTTTGGGGATGTTAAGAATGGAAACATATCCGATAATGGCCTTACGATGATGTGGTGCACATCCTCTTCTCCGATTGGTGGTAGAGCAACACAAGCCTTAGTGAAAGAGTTCCTTGCTAGACATATCAAGAAATCAGTTAACCTTCTTGATCACCTCTTATATTTGGTTTTTTTCTAGTTTCAGTTTCGCATATTCAATTAAATGATAACACATTGTTTAACCGATGTAGTAGACTTAGTGGTACTTCTTGCTGCACAGTTGCAGAAGCATCAGGTGCATTTACCAGAGTTGTAAGTTAGATAATCCATTGAACTAAAGAATGTGTAGAAAATCCTTATAAAAAGAACTATTTCCTAAAATTTCATTTCAATTCTAGAGGCGGCATGACTTTTAGTAAAGTAATAAGGATTCTTGCTTCGTATGACTATACTCATTCTTTCAAGTGCTTCTGACTCTTGTAATCTGTTTTTGTTGTGATTTTATATATATTTTATGATAGTGGCTGTTGTTATGATGGACTTATTATCTTTTAAACTGTGTTGTTTTGAATAATTCCATAGTTTTGATTGAGGTGCTGAAGTTTTAATAAATTGATGACCTGATTGGGGATCAGATTAATTATTCGTTATCAAAATGTTAGACAGGTTGATATAATTTCAATGGATTTCTCCCAAAAACTTCCCTTCCGTTTGAGGCTTCAATCCATTAAAGCATGCTATTCAGATTCTGTGAGTATGTTTATTTTGTCAACTTGTTACAGTTCCTGATTTTCTGTTCAGATCTGCTTATACTTTTCCTGCCTATGTCTCATGCAGCATGGATTATATTTTGAAATAACCTACACTCATCTTATAGCTGATGCTCATGTTAGGATGCAAATCCTATCAGATGCCAAGGTGAAACCAGTAATTTTTCTTTCTCCGCTTATTTGAGAAATCCAATTTAATTTTGCTTTTATAACAAAATGTCATTTTTTTTCCTAAACTTGAAGCCATCTTTCAGAGAGGGACTCGTTCAGTGTATGCCATTGTTAGTTTTGAAGTACACTTATTTCCTCTAGACCACTTATTTAGTGTGTGAGAAATATTTAATTTGTGTGAGAATTTGATGTTCTCTCATTAATCTGGTTCGTGTTGAAATGTTTGTTGTAAGTTGAAAAAAGTGATAATCTTCTGTGTTTTATTTAGTCGAGAATTAATTTTTGAGTTCTTTTGACATATATGGATCTGCTTTGTGTTTTGGTGATTACCGGTTCTTGAGTCCTATAATTATCTGCATGTTTGTCATAAAAAACTCAGATGGTATTAGTTGCTCTTGAGAACTGTCTCTTGTATGCATCCTTCAGTCCGAAGTTATCATATTCAGAACCTTCTTAGAAAAACCTTTCATTTTGTTGTTGTTATAAGTCATTCTTAGTTGTTTGCAAGAAGAGGAAATCATAAAGAAAGATTATCCTATCCTGCTTATCCTTTGCCTTTTAAGAGTTTGTTTAAGCCTATTATTTTCAAGAAGAAACTATTCAAACCAAAAAGAATGAGGAAATTTGTAAGGTAAGACGAGTCCATTAAGTTTTAACGGGCATATTTATTGATATTCCTTCACTATCAGGCTTCCATTGTTTTGCATGTCTTCTTTTTATCCTCTAGTTTCTGTTCCTATGTTCTAACTTTTGTCGGTAACGAGAGTTGTCATTGGCTCATATAGCAATTCTCCACTCAGCTAAGTTTGTTTTTTCCTAAATACTTTGGTAGTTGATGATACGTTTTCAAAGTTAAGCTGAAACTCTTAATTAACAGCATGTAGTCCTGGAACATCTCCAATCTTTTCATATATTTATTTGCTATTGTTTTTGTAAACAATATGGGCTTCTAATCTGTTATTTAGGTCAGCCAGTAAGTTGTCCATGATCTAATAATCATTGATATTATTTCAGTATGTAAACAATACTTTTCTTCTTAACTTTCCCATATGTATATACATGAGGGTTTTTTTTTTTTTGTATGACTATGGAACCCCTGTTTGGCTTTTGTGGGTTTCAAATGCCAAAATGAACTGAACCCATATTTTGTTGGCTTTCAACTTCTCAAACTGAACTGAACCAGTTGGCAAAAATTTTTGGTTTGGCCAGTTAATAAGCATTATGCTGACAGATTCTCCCACAAAGATCAGTATGCTAAACCTATAATACCCGTTAGTGGGAACCTGGGTATTTATTAAATTGGTATGCTACAAGAAATAAGGGGCAAAAAATGGAGGCTAATGGGGTCAAGAGATGTATCTGAACATGCAACAAGTGTTGTGGGCTATTTCAAAGCAACCAGTATGTTGGATTCTCCATTTTGCCAATATCTCAAGGCTTTGTCAAGTTGATAACCAAACAACATCCATGGCAATTTTTAGTACTCAGGGCATGGTTAGCTGTCTAAAGACTTGAGTAAATTAATGTGTGTCTTGGACAATGAACAATGATGATATTTAGTGAGTAGTTAAAATAAGAAGTACTAAAATGATTTAGAACAAGTTAAATTGTTAAAGCACTGTTAATAAAGATGATCGTAAATTTAACCTACCGCTGTGTTAATGTACTCATTTTCTGCCTGTGGTAAAGGTTTCTTGGAAGTATGATCATAAATTGATATGAAAAGAGTATGAGGTGAAGAAGCAATGACTAGAAGTACTAAAATGAGTAACTGTAACAATGATGTTGCAATTGGTGTTGTTGAATTGGACACTTAATGGTAATTATCCATCAGAGTAGTTGTTAATGGCTGCTAGTCCTGACTGCTGAAGTGAATCAGTTTGGAGCAGAAACTGCAAGTATTAGGCTGCCTAACATCTTGTGGATGTTTTTCTATTCCTAAGGTGATGCTTTTCTTGGAGTTCTCTGTGATAGAATCTGCTGTGTGCAGCATGAGAGGGAGAAGTAAATGAAGAATGACTATCGTTGAAAACAAAGGCTACTTAAATTTTCTTTTTACAGGAATAGTTATATGATTGTTTCTCCATGCAAATCTATAAAAATTATACAATTCAGATCACACTGTTAATAATAATAGCTGGCAGTGATGGATGCTTTTGTGTTTACAGTGCCGACCTACAATTCTGTGGTTTGACATGCTGCCAGCTTTTGTTCGAGGGAATTGGCAGAGAAGACCTCCAAAGGGGAAAAAGTGGGATCACCAGTGATGTCTTACAGAGGAAGAAGCTATATTTTAAGTCTAGTTTGTATAAAGCACCATCCAAAATATATCCTCGCTTAGTTCATTCCGGCCGAATCCTTCGAGTTCTACGACTGGTGGCCATGTGGATGGATGTATCGTTGAAGCATCTAACTTGGCTTTTCATGCTTGGTGGGCAAACTTTGGTCTGTAACAGGTCCAAGAACATCCAAAGATGAGTTACACGGAATGCTGCCGCCTTCGAGTCACTTTAGTACTCGGACGCCCGCCGCTTGGCTCTCTCGGTCTCGCGCCCCCTCGTGCACCGCCCAGTGTCTGTGGGACCCGCACACCCCTCGCACGAGTCCAGTGGGCTTTCCTCACCGTTAAAATGAGCTTGCTGGTGCTCTCCCTCTCCTCAAGCTCAAGGACCCCAACAACCCCATGTTTCTTTCCTCCTCCTCCTCCTCCACCACCGCCGCTGCCAACTACCCCTTCGGCGAACCCGGCCTCGACCGTCCGGAATTCGGCTCGGCCGTCGCTCCTCATGGCCTCATCACCGACGCCAGTGGTTCCTTCTTCCATTTCCCCTCCTCCATTCCTCCCTATTCGTCCTCTCTTCCCACCGAACATTATCTCCACAGGAGCAGCAGCGCCCGTTCGCTGCCGCTCCGCCGCCACATTCTCGGCCCCCTCAACCAGCTACAGCCGCCATTTTCGTCGTCCCCGACCTCCTCCTTCTGCGACTACCTCGACTTCCACGCCGCCCCGATGAGGCGGGTCGTCAGCACTGGCGATCTCCAGGTGACCAAAAATCTCCACCTTTAATCGTCCTCGGGTCTTAAAATTCTCATCTTGAATGGTTACTCAGTACTCACGTTCGATCTTGGATCTTTGCTCTTGTTCGACGGCTTCTTGTGGCAGGGGGTCGACGGTGTGCACGAGAATCATAGCCACGAGGGAGGTGTTGCCGGAAGAGTCGGTCGATACAGCGCTGAGGAGAGGAAGGAAAGGATCGAGAGGTATAAGAGCAAGCGCAATCAACGCAACTTCCACAAGAAGATCACCGTATCTACCGATCCTGTTCTCCTTCATCAGCTGTCTTTTTTCGACGGAGTCATCATACCAACACTTTTGATCTAAATGACTTGGCTCTTCATTCCAGTATGCATGCAGGAAGACATTGGCCGACAGCAGGCCGCGAGTGAGGGGCCGGTTTGCGAGGAACGGTGAGACAGGGACGGAGGCAGAGGCAGAGGTAGAGACGGCGACGGCGGCTACAAACATCTTCGATGGCTATAGCTACGACAACTACGAGCAGAACCAAGGCTGCAGTGTCGGAGGTGGCAATGACGGCGAGTGGTGGAGCCGGTTGCAAGCGGCGCTGGCGACGGACGAGGAAGACGAGTACAGCTACGACGACGATCTCCTCGCCAGCTTTGCCGACGTCTTCTCCATGGACATTCTCTCCTCAAGTCTGATGAGCAGAGAAAGCGCCGAGTAAAGGAGGCCTTATCGAAGATGAAGCAGCAGCAGTGAATTCTTCTTGTACTCGTCTTCTAATGTCTTTCGGTCAAACCTCGTCGCAGCAGCTACAGTTTCTGTCTTCTCGGTTCCATAAATTCTACATATACTCACTGCCTTTTTCTTTTTGAGTTGATGCCATTGCATTAATTCTGTGCATGAGATGCTGCTGAGTCTCTTCTCTTTGACTTTCGAGAAAGGTGGTAATGATTCACAGAGAGCTGAGTGGGAGTCAGCTCTAATCAGAGGACTCAACAGAGACCAATACAGTGAAGATAAAGAAACATTCTTGTCACTGCTTCCACTCATTCTCCCAAACCAAGTAGAATCGATCCTAAAAACCAACCATCACAAACATTACGAAAACAATATGATTATAATTTATTTAGCATGTGTTCTTGACTAGTTTGTTTGGCTCTGTGGATTCCTGTCATCATGATGAAAGAGTGGAACACAACGAACAACACACTCTAGTTGACAGATCATAGCGCTTCCAAGGGAGGGCTAAAGCTTCCACAAAGATAACTGTAGCTTTGGTATTTGGAAAGGAGAGATAAAAGACGAAATGGAGAATGTTTGGTCAAAAAAGCGATAGAAAAAGAGGACACTCACTATTTTTTGGCTGAGCTTTTGGAATAAGTTCTCTCACAACATTAGCTTACCTAATGACATGATTTGAGGTGTATTCTCGGTCGCTTTAGTGACAACCCACTCCACTCATCAGCTTAGATATATATAGTAGTAGCACTCTTAATCCAACTGCATCAACCGTACGTAATAGATGTAGTTGGAAGAGATCAACTCAGCGACATTGAAGCCTTTGATCCAAGTCTAAAGAAAGCTCCTCACTGTCACCTGATGATGAAGATGTTATTCCATGCACGAGGAGGACAAGAGATCTTTCCGGACGCAGCCTTTGCACATGAGCTTCGAGGACATGCAGATCACATTAATATCTCACAAACACGAGAATCTAAACCTCAGACAAAGGCTGTATGAGCAGGACGAGGAGGAGGAGGAGGAGGAGGAGGAGGGCAAGCAAGGAAGAAGCCCACTCCGTGTGATTCCTCCACCACTAAGCTGGATTGCACTTGATATCATAATTATACCTCTATGATGAGGATGTGAAAGTACTCTTCTACTTTCTGATGATTAGGTTTTGTGTGCGCATGGCGTTCCAAAGAGCCATGGCCAGCCAACTCCGGTCAATGGATCCTCACACTCACAGGCAAGTGCTGCAAGTTGTTTACTGAATCTGAACCGAGCTCGAGAAGCATCATGAGGGCCTAAGACAAAATGTATCATAGGAACAGAATGATGGACAAGGTTATTCAATCATGTGTTCCACTTAGCAGTTGGTGGGAGGGGGAATGATGAGTTTGTGGAGTTCAATATATGAGTTGCAGGAGACAATGGAATCTAGAGTCATGTATGTAGTGGACTTTCTTTCAAGTCCATTCATCAGTCTGAGAACATGCCAAGAGCTGGGAAAGCTACCCTTTGGATGCTCATATTGACTAAGCAACACTCACATACTTTGAATCTCCAAGTCTTTGAAGGATGATTGAGACCGTAATACCTCATGATGACCAAGGAAGGCATTTTGAAGAGTGAATCGATTCAGTGAAGGAGTGCTGCAGGCTCTTCTGCTTTGAAGAGTGAATTAACGAAATGTTACAGTAACACAATATAAAGCAGTAGTAGAAGAATGCATCATAATAAATAAAGGAAGCACAATATTGAGTGAAATAATGGAAGATAATGTGACACTCTCATGCATCTATCTATCTACCCATCGATTGACTAAATGAATCAAATGCATAATCAACAGTCTCAATAAAAAAGAACATTATCAAAAGAAAATTATTAATTATAATCAAATATTAATATTTTATTATGTTTATAATTTAATATCCATCACCACAACAACAATCCGTTGTAGTCTAGTTGGTTAGGATACTCGGCTCTCACCCGAGAGACCCGGGTTCGAGTCCCGGCAACGGAATTTTACTTTATATATCAATGAAATGTGAGTTATTGCTTTGGGAAGCGCAAAACGTTTATGTTTCGTTTTGCTTTTTGTTTTTGTTTTCTGTTTTATAGAGGGAAAACGTTTCGGTAAACCGTGATGGGGATATACGACGGAGTCCCATTGCTCTTCTCTCCTCTGCCGCGCGACTCCTGTGGGTCCCACGGCGTATTCTCTCTCTCTCTCTCCCTCACAAAAACCAGCGATGACGTTCGGACCCTCCCGCGGACGGAGCCTGCCTTCCCCGCCCGGCGGAGACGACAGCATCATCCGCCTATCGAGATCAGCGGCAGCGCCGCCTCAGCCACCCTGGCCCATCTGTCTCCAAGAAAGCCCCTGCCGCCGCCGAGGACGTAGGAGCGGGGGCTAGATGGCGAGGAGACGGAAAGCCCGCGGGGCGTCGAGGTGCGGCCGTCGGGGGCCGCCCCGAGGAGGGCCTCTGTGGGAAGAAGCTCTTGGCGGAGCTCGGAGGTCTAGGGGCACGGGTGGGGAAAGGAGAGGGGACGCCGAAGGCTCCTCGGGAGCTCAGTAGATCTTCGTGGTGTCGCTTGCGCCAATGCCCGATTCTTGATTCATCGGCAAGAACTGGTACGCAACATTCTTTGCCCTAGTTTCTGATGTAATCGTCGGCAAGAACGGCTACCGCGCCAAAGAATTCATCGGCGAGAACTGGTTCGCGAAATCTTTTCCCTAGTTTCTAATGTAGAAGTCATCTCTCCGTACGATCAAAACTTGGAACAAGGCAACTTCGTGGAGGGGAAAGAGATGGATCTCTTAATTCCAGGTTCTTGATCTCTTGGTTCTTTCTTCGATTTTTGTGGAGGGAAAGAAATGTTCTCTTGATCTTGAAGTTCCTTATCTTGTTTCAGTTAGAAAGGTTTCTTCCGCTCTTTTTGATCAATAGGATTGGGAACTCATGGAGGTTTCCAAGGGAGGAGCCAATCTCACATCATAGTTATCTTTAGATTCCATGAAGTTGCTCTCAACTATGAGCCTAAACCATCCTTAGTCTTCACTAAAAATCTTGATACAAGTCTTGTATGTAACTAATTCCACTAAAATTGAAGCCAAATTGGAACCATTTGTGTTGTGGTAAACAACTTGGAGCCGTGGCCTCGGGGCCGACGCTGCTCGGTTCGGGTCCGGATGATGGGGGATCTTCCCGCGACGGGTTTCGAGTCCGCCGAGGTGGTCGCACGCGGTGTCCGATCGGGACGGGGTCGCCTTTTCCTTCGGGTAGGAACTCCTCGCCCGCGCGTCCAGCGGAGACCTTCGGCTTCGCTCCTGCACAAAGGTCGGGTCGGGAAGCTCGACCCGACCCCTCCGACGATCGAGTCAGAAGATAGTGGAGGGGATTTCGGAAGAAGAAGAGTTTTTTCTCATCCGTCAGGCCCCCCATTTCTGTTCGGAAGCCAGGGCTTTTATAAGGAAGTTTACTGTTGTTTGATGTGCCCGCTTGCAGGGGGCAGGCTGGTAGCATCTGACATTAGCGTTAGCGTGGCGTGAAGAATCGAGCTTGAGTAGGCGTTAATGCGCCTCGGCCGGTGTTCTGGTCCGTTTGACCGGGTGCTGTCGTGCCGATCAAGGCGTGAGGCGTCGGCTGACGTCAGCCGAGTCTTATCGTAATTACTATCCTCATCATATCCCCCCCCGGAAAGAAGTTATGCGTCGGTCGTTGTAACGGGAGTCCGAGGCATGACTTCAGCTTTCAAACGGGCTGGCCGCGCAGGCGCGGTCTCAGGGGGCGTGTAGCCGAGGAGCACGACGCAGGCGGGTTGGCCGCGCAAGTGTGTCTCGGGGGCATGAAGCCGAGGAGCACGACGCAGGCAGGCTGGCCGCGTAGGTGTGTCCCGGGGGGCATGGAGCCGGGGGCAT